CATTTGATCTTGCCGACTCGAATAATGATACGTTCGTTTCAAATACTATAAAAGATTTATTTAAAATAAACTGACTTGACAATAATAGGGTTATGCAGAATAAAGTCAGATTCTTGAGGCAACGAAAATTACGAAAATCCAATGCAAGTGTTTCCCCCTATTTAATCGATTTGTAACTAATCGAAACCTCGAAAAAAAAAAAAATTTATAGTACTGCCGGAAAGACACTTCCCACTATAAAACAACGATTTCACAATTGGTGAATCGCAATATATAATAATGCCTCCCGATACGTACGCGCGCGTGTAAGGCCGCCCGAGTTTTATAATCGAGTGGTAATCGGAAAATACATAGAATAGTCGAGTTTTTTGCGCAACCTCTCGGCTGAATTATTGCTTTCCGGTTATGCGAAATTCAGCGCGCGTTTGAGCAATTTCACGCGAGATTTTCATGCCGTTGCTGCTGGCTGACCTTAGAGTTTCGTCGATCTAAATATATCATGATGCTTGATTTGTGCGGAGGTGGAGTTTTAATCTGAAAATTGGTACGTAAATAAAAGTCTTGATAAACATTGCCATTTCGGCATGACGCGTGCGCGAGTGCCTACGATTATGCAAAAGTAGTGTACCAAGAAATCTATCGACGGTTCGAATATGCATGAATTGTAATTATAAGTTTTACGCTTGTCCGATGGAAAACAAAAATGATAGGCGCACGATCTAAACGTCCATTAGCGCAGCGTTGCCTCCTTTAATAAATTAAAGCACAGCGATTAGGAAGTCGTCCAGTATATCAACATATGCTCGCACAACTGCAAACTATTAGATATGTTTTTTGTTCGTTAACGCACACAACGGTTAATTAGTCGGTATACGCAGGCAATGATCCATAGTCATTGATTCAACATCACGCAGGTATAACTGTAATAAAGTCATAGTTATTAGTCAGTTTGTCTTATCGTACAACTTGATAAATCTCACAAGACAGCGCAGTGAGTAAGTCGTTAGTCGGCGTCGATCGTCTAGGTTAGTAACAAAGTACCTTACGAGTGATTTACCGGTGTGCCGCGAACATATTCTTATCTATCCAATGTCTCCAGATGTATGTATAGATTCGTAGCTTTTATTTGCACAAAGCGATTAGGAAACGAGTTGTGCTTTTATCGCTTACGATGCTGTTAGTGCGAGAGCTTTCTGACCATTGCTTTTTTTCTGGCGCTTTATTGTAAGGTATTTTACTTATTTATGTTACGTGAGTTTTATGACGATGAGAGATCAAAGCATTTCTTGTAATATAACCGTCGAATTGTTTTTTACATTCTGAGCTAACAGATTCACAAAATACCCAGTCATTCATTATGATTCTTCCGACTCTTCGTCGCACGCTCTGCCATTGTTCATGCCATCGAAACCTTCTTCTCTTAACTTTACATAAAGAAAAGATGTTTTAAAACGCTCTACATTTTTATCAATTAATCATCAAAACTCTATACTACCTGCAAAGTCTTTTGTTTAAAGAAGATCGTGTAATTGAGAAAATTGTTAAAATTTTGTTTGAGAAAAATGTTGAACAGTTCGTGGAGAATGATTTTTGATCGAAGAATTTAACTTACAAAAGCTTATTAAAACCTTTCAGAAATAGAAACAAGCACAAATCGAGAGAATGAAGGGTATTTAGCGTGGAAACTAGCCACCGACAGTAAACAACTTGGAAAAACAAACGTTACCTCAACCTATAAGCACTGAATGAAGAAAAAAAAAGAAAAGTCGAACTCGAGACTGCACCATAAAAACCGACTGCATAAGCTGAAACGAGAGCGCACGCACAAAAGCCACAATGTAAATGCTATAGCTGAGATGAAATATTGCGAACATGACGTGGATTATTAGCGAATGCCTTCGTCCATGTGTTCTTGCAACTTATTAAACAAATTTAATACTCGACCATTATTTATTTGATGGCCGATGCACGATTTCCGCTCTCTCGCATCCCTTCGGTATGCGCCGCAAAAAACAAACGTTCCGCGCTCGTACTCGGGACTTTATTTTTGCCTGTCTGCGGTTCTCACATTTTCATGGAAATGCGCAAGTGATCTCGTCGTTGGCGACGACACAGGCACCGAATGCTTTTTTTCTCGTATGGCTTCATTGAATGACCCAAGTCTGGAATACTAGGATCAACTTTTCGTTGGCCAATATAAAACTATTTGGATTTTGATATGATCGAGGAAAGAAATTATTTTGTAAATAATTATGATTGCCGGCGCGGCACAAAGGCGTAAGATATTCGAAACAACCAGAATAGTTGATCCTCCTTACGCGTGCGTTACGTGCAACCTTAACAACTCGCCAAATCAAAGCATCCATTAATGTAACGTCAAAACATCCAGCGCGATTTTGACAAACGAATTGTAAGCTGCCGCGTTTGCGAAATCCGCAAACAAGCGCATTCTCGGATTTCATTTTTGAGCTTCTCGACGTTATGGTGGAAGATATCTTTCTCCCTCTCTCTCTCCGCGACTTATGTATAAATACCAGCTCGCAGGAATGGCTAATAATAGGTAAAGCTTTGGCTTGCTGGCCAACAAACGTAGCCACCTTTCTTCTTCTTCTTCTTCTTCTTGCAGTAGCACACGCAAGCTCTCACAACGCTGTGTGTATATGTTGGAGCTTTTAAACTGGGCGTCATTACACATTCCCAACTGTACGCGTGCACCACTCGAGCACTGTGTTGAGCATGCTTCTTATATCTTTTTTTTATTGGCGTTGGCGTTATGAGGATGAAAAAGAAATTCAGTACTTTTCGGAGGTTTTTCTCGTGGAGATAAAAATACAATTTTTTTTGAACTTGAAATTCACTGGATTGGGTGGATGTGCGTAATATATGTAGGTCACGGTTCACTCTCGTATAATAAGTTTCGTATTGGTGACAATCACTACATTTATCGTTTTAATCATTTGTTGTTATGAATTTTCAATGTAGACCGCTACATTACGAGGATTTTCGTAAAGCTAAAAGTTACTTACTAAAAAAATAAAATGACCAACTCCCATGTATACAAAAACACCTTGATCAATAAAAGTAAGCTAAAGACATGCGTGCACACCCTCACTTCTAATGGCTATTTTCGTGTATTTATAAATGGCATGTATATATAAGTCTCGGAATTAAAGTTCGTCGCGTATTCGTCCCTTTGGCGCTTGTCGCTCGTTAAAAACGACCTGTACACTGACTTGTGCGTATAGACCTTGCACTTGCTAATTTCACGACGCGAGAGAGGCAGCAGGCGATTAAACATTCGTGAGGCGTTCGCGTTGTCGTCGTGCGAAATGTGACGTCTATTTGGCGAGACAGTTGAAGATACGCACGCCGTATAGCTTGACGTGTGATTTTTTTTCTTCTGCAAGAAGCATTGATAGTTTTCGTAAGAAAGTTTTGGGAATCGACGTTGAATGTTGTAATGCATGGGAAAAAAATGATTCAATTATACGTGGCGATCCACATATCCGAAATCGAAGCAATACGAATAAGTTCCGAATTACGTCACTCTGTATACGCGGCATATTGACAATACAATCGAATCATCTCTAATCTAAAAATAAGCTTCGCAATACATCAATCAACGACAATAATACATGCTTTCGCAAATCGATTCTCAATTGCTATACGTCGCGCAGAAAGAAAACGCGCACCGGAAAGGTAATTGAACTCTTTGGCATTCTTAGTGCTGTCTTTTTAATACATATTCGTGCGCGAAACCATTGGGTCATTATCCGAAAAGAAGTGCGACGAAGGCGCTAATGCAACTTAATTAGCCGCTACGTGACTGCATGTGTGCGCGATGATGCTATATGTAACCATAAGTGCATGTGGATTTTTTATGGACTTGATCGAGCTAATTGAAAGGAGCAAGCGACATTTCTTGGAAATTAAGGTGAAATTATCGATCCGCTCGAAGTCTTGCCATTCAGAAAAAATTGTATACGGTGAAACGCATTCTAACTGTTAAGAAATTTGAAAATAATCATTGAAATGTTGTCGAAAAGACTTTAAACAAATGTCCTTAAATTTGAAAACTCACTTCTTTTGAACACAATCTCTGTTTTCTTAACACCTTATTTGTTCAACAGAAATATATAAATCCTTTGAAATAGAGAATGTAAAAGTACAAAGTCTGTTTTCCCAATACTTTTCTATACACAATTAAGAATTAAAAAATTATGTTGAGCCGCACTTTTAGTTTTTATTTATAGTAAAAGAAAGGCTGATGTAAATAATTATTGTTCGTGCCGAAAAATTTTGTAAAACGCTTAAACCCCTACGTTCAATTGAAAAATTAGACATTGAATACTTTCATTTTGATAATAAAATTCATTTAAAAATTGATATGGAATTTCACAAAATGAAACAAAATGCAACTATGAATAATTTATTATCTAACTAAGTAACTGTATTCGAAAAGATATTTGATATTGATTTGAATTTCTCAATAATTAAGAGAAAACTGGCTCAATCACTAAATTTGAATCAAACAGTTCACTCTTATAACTTATTACTCAATGTGATCGTCTAGTTGAATAAAGAAACTTAAACACCACACACTTCCATTATATATTTTTCTCCACTCAACTTGTGTTTTGCCGCAAGCATGTAATAGCTTGTCACAGGCAATTACAATTGATTCGAGAAATCGTGATGGATCTAGATTAATGAGTTAGACGTTTTCGTACTATTAGAGAGATGTAAGAGAAAAGGAGAGAGTGGATATAGTCGATATTCGACGATGATGATGCAATCTGTTTTCAGCATGGTCATATTAGTACAATCATTCTATTGCGTAAAGATACGCTTTATTTCCAGGAACGATAAGAGCGATTGCTAGCCAATTAAAAATTAATTTAAAAACAGAATAAAAACATTGATCACGATATAAAATCCTTTTTTCTTATTATTTTTGTTAATTTACGACACTAATTTCCATCTAAAATTTCAAATTTCAGATCGTCTAAGGACAACACCAAGGAATCAAGCAAGAATCTATTCTGTGTTGTACTGCCAGTCTCTATTTTGCTGATCAACGATGGCGGACGTGGCAAAGAACAACAAGTCCATGAGCGTCGTAAGTAGTAACAATGGTCTTGGCAACAAGTCCAAAGTGAGTGGTGGCGATGTGGTGTGCAGTGTGCAATCTAACAACGGCATGATAATTGATCATAACAACAAGCTAATGAGTTGCGAGGACAACGAGGACAACGACGACGAGCTGATCCTTGTCAACAATACGCGCAACGAGCTGGAATCATCCACGAACGAAGACAAGAGTCTTCAAGAGCTCATCGAGAGTGAATTGGCGTTACGAATATGTGCCAGTGCACAGAGCAACGACGACACCGAGGGCGATGAAGACATCGAGGAATCGGTTAATGCACCTCCTGAGATTACTAAAAAAATCATTTTAGAACCGAGGCAAGTGGTGAATCCTGTAGACGTCAATGCGGAATTCATTGTCAAAGAGATTGATCATTATACTCTGATTGGCGAACCTTACGAATTCTCAAACGGTCACGTGAGTCCGGAACAAACGAATATGGACGAACGTGAGGACTTTATCGAGGATGAAGTATTTGAAGCTCAGACTGAGACGTCGGAAACCGAAGTAACGACCACGACTTCTGGTCCTTCATTACCTTCGGCTTACGAAGCCAATTTGGAATTAGACTCGGATAATCAACTGATCGATAATGAGCAACAGCAGCAAGAGGAACAAGTGACGATTAGCGATTCTTGTGATGTTGCTACTGATGACAACTCGTCTAATCCTCAGTCGGTTATCTCGGCTGAAAAGTACCTTAACGAAGAGGAACTTGCTCAGCCGAGTATCTCCGTCGACGAACAATTGCAGAAGACGGATGCCGATGAGCTTCCACACGACGATGACAACGACGACAATGAATTAGACTCATTCAAAAACGACGAGAAATTGCAGGATCATTCGGATCAAGATACCAACTGGTCAAGCTCGACTTTCATCGAAAATGAGATTCGCGACAGTCACGCTAATCTCAGTCCGCAGAATTTCGAGGAAGAAACTTTCGATGATCAGATTTCTCAGAAAGAAGCTTCGGGTATCGATGAGAAGACTTGCTCGTTTTATTCAACGGACCCCGAAACCGTTGACAATGACCAATCAGTTGACGACTTGAAGCACAATGACACGAGCAGTATAGACATTATCGTCACACATAACGACGATAGTATTTATGACAGAACTACCAATGAGTGCAGCGAATTTTACAGTCAGGAGAGCCATTTCGAAAATTATTTGGAGAAGAGTAAACTCGAGGATAGTACCAAGGAACTTGCACCTCTTGCTACACCCGACGAGATCAGCGATATCTCAAATGCATGCGATGACGTAAGTTTCAGCTTATTTTGTTTGTTGTTAACAGCGTAATTTCAGTTTTATTTTTGGACAGGATTTTTAGGGAATTTAGAAGATTCTACGTATGTACTTAATGTGATTTTTTGGTTGTTTTTCGGTGTTTTAACTCGAGTGGGTTTCTTGACATTAACCTTGGAAGAATAAACAGTGTTCGATATCGGCTTGAAAAAATGCACATGTTTTTTTTATCAATAAAAGGCCTTTGCAGCGCCCTTTGTGCCTTAGGTTCTAGAGAGTTCAGAGTTATTTCTAGCATATACTTTTGTGCTACTCTAATGGTCTATATTCTCATTAACATATATAATATAAAGTATATGTTGTATGTCGTGTCTTAGTCAGAAAAAATCTGTGTGTGTTAGATGCTTTTAACAAGAATGTGAATCTTTATGGTAACTAAAAAATATTTTCAATTTTCAATTGAAACTTAACATCAAAGATCAGAAAAAAACGAGCACTTTTAGAATTAAAAATTTATTTATTTCTATTTTTAAAGATAATTTACACTTTTTTTAATTTTATAAGTGCCAAAAGTTGAAAATGACCTTTTATTATTTCATCAATTTATTCAATAACGAAAACAATTCAAACCTAAGATACTCAAAAACTATAATTATGTAATCATAAGTCAAATCAATTATAACCAGAAAAAAGATTAGTTCACGCTCTTATTGACGAAATTTCCTTCTTCTCAAAAAAGGCCTCCACGATCACAGTAATTAGTTCCACTAGCTCAATCGGCATGTACCCGATGCATAAATTGCACGTCGCCCGAAAAAAAAGGAGCGTATAAAACGCACGTGTATGCACGAAAAGAAGGGAAGCAACTCTGTTGCGCGACTGCCGATCGAGGTCAGCAAGGCGATGATGATGACGGTCAAGAATCGTCTTTCGCGTGTATATATGGCAATCAAACGTAATTGAGCATCGTTTTAGAAGCAACAAATGGCTCCTCGTGATTTATATTCATGCTGACGTACGTCTGTCCGTCTTGTCGTCTCTCGATTTAATTGCTTGGCAATCACAAAATTTCTCTAATAATGCAAATTAAGGTAATTGTGGAAAAAAAAGGAGAGAAATTGCGGTGTGTGTGTGTGTGTGTGTGTCAGCGCGCGCGCGCGCTCATGTCTGGTTTCCCAACGATAGGTGCGTCCTCTATACATACACGGCTGAGAGCCGTCCCTTAAGCCGTGTGTTCCTCGCTCGGTTGCGCGCCACTTATTCCCAGCACGCCGCGCCGTTGCTTGTAGGAAGTGTTCGTCCTTCTTCAGCGACCCGCTCACACTATATGTCTAGTCGGTAACGATCTTTGATACTCGACGGTACCACATTGTTTCAAGAGTGCTGTTTTTCCCGACGTTGTGCGGTTCATCGAGTAATCAGTGATCCCTCTTTTAGTTGCTTTGTGTGAGTAATTGACTTTCGATGTTTATCGCTCAAAATCGGTACGCGATTTTTGGCGATCGCTTTGCATTTGCGTGAATCTTGAGAATCACGATCCAATTAAACGGCCGTGCCATTAAGCAAACGGTTAACATTAGCGAAACAGTTACAATTGAATATTCATCAAATGACCAAACTGTGGATAATTGATAACCGATGTACCGCAGAGGAAAGAATAAATCACAATACATCAACAATAGATTAGAAGTGTCGAGCGTGAAAGGACTATCCAACTATGTGCTGTCAAGAAAAAACTGCCAAAATTTTCTCTCTCTCTTTCAGAGTTTTCTCTCTTTCTCTCTCTTTCTCTACCGGAGTGGCTGGTGGTGGGAGTTTTGTGTTGGAGAAGAAGAAGAAGAAGAGTAGGGCCGGTTTCTATATCCTTCGAGAACGGGTTTTTCTCCCCTCCTTCTGCCGTCCGTTTTATTTCACAACGCTTTTAAGCATCAAGGCCGCAAAAGCTAAAGGCACATAAGAGAGTCCGGGCGATGCGCGCGCGCGCGCGCCGGAAGTGCATCCTGGTAGCGTCCAATTGTCTTGCGCGTGTGCGCATCCTATCGTCGTTTCTTTCTGGCGGTATGTCGCCGACGACGAACGAACGGTAGGCGCGAGTATAGATAGATCGAGCGTGCGCGAGTTTATTTAGTGCACGGTGCCGATTTTTCAGCGCCACGTGCCAGCGCCACTAGCACGACTTTTGCGCGGAGTCCTGCGCGCGCGAGTGTGGGTAACACGCGCCGATATCTCAGCTTTCGTCGACCTCGTTGCCCGCAGACGCGCGCACCCGCCGCTCGCTCGCTACACTCCACAGTGTCGTTGACTTCTCTCCACCACCGCACTGCCGCCGCCGCCGCCGCCGCCGCTGCCGTTGCTGCCAGTTTTCTGTGCATGTGTGTGTCTCAGTATGGGTGCTGTGCGCGCTGTGTGTGCGATTGGCTAAATTATTATAAACACGTGAGCTTATTCATTTTATTTTTGCGGGCGAGTCCATGTGTCTCTTTCACAAACGCTCGGTTGTCTTTTAGTCGTCATGAAATAGTATCGATAACAGACATTCGATGATAAATAAAATATTTTGTGATTTGTCGTTGGAAACTTATCTCTGGTTCGAGTGCCGACATTTTAATACACAGTAGTCACTAACGTTATGTACTTTATCTTATTCAAATGTCTCTTATCAAAACTCCACTCAAATGTTACTTTGTTCTTCTTATCGTTTGCACATTCTTTACTGTCTTTTTTCGCGAATACAATTTTCGCATTCTCTACTTCTTTTTTGCATAATTCTTCTGACACTTTCGATATCCAGCTAAGAATCCTTTTTTTTTTTCAAGTGTTTAAGTGAAAACGACGATCCTTTTTATTTCGGTAGATGCGGTTTCCTTTGTGCTCCAAAGTCTCTTTTACATAAAAGTATCAGTTCGAATTAGAATAAGCCTCTCTTACGCTGGACGGTTTGCCAACATTGCTAATGAGCTTATTAAATATTACGTCAACGTTGTTTTTAATAATTGAATTTTCTAGATTTGTAATCGATCGAAATAATAAATTATAGTAGTTAGAATCAAGGTTTAGAATTTCTTTCTAACTGTAAACACGAAAATGTAGATTATTGCTTCAATAAGCTATTTTATTTTACGGTCTATTGAAAACAGTTGTAATTGCATTTGTGCATTTGTAAAAAAAATATATTCTTGATGCCCTGTAAATCACAGAAATAAATAGCCACTTGTACCAAGAAAAATTCAATTTTGAGTGCACTGGCTTGTTGTAAAAAGAAATCTAGATTCGAGAGTAAGAATATTTCTTTTCTGGCAACTGCATTAAATTGTAAAAAAAAGCTATATGAAATATAATTCAAAGGGCACTAATCAATTGCAAAATTTTTATTATAAATCTTCCGGCTGTGAATGAATTGAATTTTTGCAAGTTTTTGAATTGACGGTTAAAATGTAGAAAAGTGTAAATTATTTGAAATGTTATCAAATTTTGTATTATTAAAATACTATTTCTCCAAAAGAAATAAAATCGTATGCAAATTAAGTTTCAAGAAGAGCTATTGTTTTATAATAATCGACTTAACTTTAATGATGACATAATATTTTAAAGTATGAATTTGCCATTTCAATTTTTACAAACGTCGCAAGACGGTCGTTTGATTCTTTAATTTATGATACAATATATTTAATAACAGCATAATTGACATTATCAGAACGTAACAATCTGTACGATGAATAAAAATTAGTGTCTGTAGAGTAGGAAAAATTCAGTATATATTTCAAAGGTGTTGATCGAGGAACTAATTACATATTAAAGTTTCAAACAACAAATTGACATTTAAAATTGATTCGGGTCAACATTCATCACTTGATAAAATTGTCATTAAGATAGCAAAGTTAAGAAAAAAGAGTACAATTTTTTCTTCTTCCAATCAATTCTAAAATAACGGTGAACTCTGAAAGAAAGAAAACGAAAAAGAAAAATAAGCGACCCTCTCAACGTCATAATTGGCGGTCCGTAAAGGTTGGAAAGCCAAGTAAGTAAATGAAGGAAAGAGAGAAAAGCAACCGCGTCCGTGCAATTAACTCACGACAAGTTTTAATCAGAGGAAAACAGAGCGTCGTTAACAATAGGTTCGGCGCTGCTGCTAGCAATGCATATATATTCCGCTTCCTTGCCTCTCTCGCGCCGACGGCTGCTTTCTATTAATGCATTCGACAACGTCGACGATGTAAAAAGGAAGATGTGTCTATGAATTGATAGCTAACGGACTTTTTTTCTCTTTCCTTCGCATGTTCACCCCGAGCAATGAATTTTAATCGCCGAAGACGTGACGGCTTGGTGAACATAGCGCTGTTTGACTTTATAAAGCTCTTTAAAAGCGACAATCAATGGTAAAGAAAGGAAAGACAGTTTTTACTACGGTGCCGAGAATTGATTTTTTTTTTTATGTTGGATGTATACTGTGCTGAAACTAATTGCCAGTCTGACACGGTATAGGATTTTTTTTTAAAGACTCGAATAATCAAATGCACATACAATTGACGGCAAACGGTACGGTGACTGAATAGGAAAGCACATCTCACCTGAACATTTTCATGAATTCCTTTAATCAAAGATGATTCTGTAAAGTTTTTAAAGAATTATCACAATTTTATGTACAATCATGTCTTTTGGCAACAGATTTACAAGATCTTGTTAAAATCTTTCTACTCGGGACAGGCAATTAATTTTCAAACAGTTGAAACAGTGAATTCATTACTAAAACTGTATAATACAACAGTAAAAATAATCTTGAGCGACGGAAATTCAAGCTGTAAAAATTGAAATGTAACTGACGAAAATCTAGATAAATCCAGATAAAGGGCCATAACCAACATTTCACACAATTGTTAGCACCAAATAACTAAGTCGTACAAAGAAAAGAAAAGAAAGTCAAACATTAGCATGTGCATAGACAAACGGAAGAATTGAAAATTGATGAAGAGAGAGGGAAAGAGAGAGAGAGAGAGTTTTCTGAATGTAACAGTGCAGCAGCATCCGCGCGATCGTTAAAACGCCCACTTCTTTTGATAGACTTCTTCCTTTACAACCTGCCGCGCTGCGGCAAAAGGATATTTGATTACGCCTATATAAATGAGTGGTTGTTTTCTCAAAGTGAAATTGTATAGTAGCTAAGTGGTTATGTTACTATACTATTCCTAATACTGATCGATCTATTAACAACGAGCATTTTGCTCGATGAGTTTTCGATGTATCGACGCAAAAATATAACTGTTTTATGCTCGATATTTGCTTTTATAGGTATTCATTAATCGTTGACGATATTACAATCGAGAAAAAATTATACGAGCAATTGATTCTTCAAGATCGTTAACATCGATACCCCTAGAGTGGCATTAATTAGATCGATAGGAATGCGAATAGACCTGATATCCCGATCTCTGCTCATCTAGCGACTCTAGAAAAAGCACAAGTAAAGATGAATTTTTGCTTTTTACACAGAGCGAAAGCCGTAGCGAGGAAGTGATAACGTCGAGCTCAGTGGTGAGCAGCAGCACGAGCACCAAGAAGAAGAAGAAGATCGAGGCTGGGGCTGGCAGCGATGCCTCGCCGAATCACACCAAGACCAAAAAGACTAAGAAGAGCAAGAAGAGCGAACTCGAAAAGGAGAACATTTCCGTGGTAATGTAGGATTCGTTTACCATTCCGATTCTCATCTCTCGTATAATATTCGCCATATAGTGCCATCTACCATTAAATCGCTCAAAAGCATGTTAAAGCTTCGTTAATCATTTCGCAAACATTGTCATGCGCTTTATAGAAGAAGAAATTAAAGTCAAAAGAGGCCAAGTCGGAGAGCATGCACACGAGCTCGCGGCGCTCGTCCGCGGATATGATCGACATTTCTGCTGAAGACGATCTGTCGAACGTCAACGTCAAGTCACTGGTAAGTTTCGCTGCCTGTGGCTGCTTTTCGTCGCTTTTCCTTTTTCTTCGTTATATTTTGCTTTCTTCGTGCGCTTTGAGGGCTAAATTCAAATAATTGGTTTGCAGTGCAAAGAAAACGTCTATATCTCCCGTGTTTATTCACTTAAGACAATTCCAAACGCTAGCTAATCGTGGCGCATGATCTACAGCACCTTTTGTTATATTCCACGTCAACGTGAATATTTTCAGAAAAAATTACCGACGATACACTAAAAGAAAACCTTCTGGAGAGTGCATCGACATCGCTCGAATTAGCCCGACGTATTTAAAAAAAAAAGAAATACGCGCGGACAGAAAAAATAATCGATTTTGTAGCATGTGTGTGTGAGTGTGCGCACGCGTTGAATCCCCCATCTTTTATGTGTGTTTTGAATGTTAAAATGTTGCATGCAGACACAAACGTACGTGGAGGAGACGACAAGCCGCGCAGAGCCTGGAAAGCCTAACAAAGTGGTCATTGCAACTGGCGTGTCGATCAAACAGTTGGTACGTGTGCATTTTTGTGTTGATTTTTTCTTTATTTGTCTGTTGCATGGATTAACTTTTGTTTTTTTTTTGTTTCGCGTGTGACTAACAGTGTCGTAGCTTTGGCGACGTATCGAACATGAGTGAAGATCGGACGAATTCGACCGGCAGTCCTGATACAAGCCGATTTCAGGAGGTTCGTATAACCAATGTGATTATTGGAGAGAGGATCCTGTTTTCGAGCGTTAATTATTAATTCTCAAATATCGCTTTTAAGCTGTTTTCTTTTTGACGCCGAGTTAATAATTGTTTTAGCAAATATTCGTTGCAAAAAAATTTTGATAAAACTCATGAAAATATGATGAAAATTGCACAATTTCGAACTTTCTTAAGTCATTCTGTATAATTACGTTGCCTTTAAAAACAAAATTAAAAAAATCGAAAAAGACAAATATTTACTATATTGATACTAACCTAAAAATTGATAAAAACAGAACTGATGAAAACAAAAACGTAATAAATGTCGTATTTAATAATACTGAACTCAATGATTTTTAGTGACTGTCGTACAAAAACAATGTAACTATATAATGATATATAATGATACATAAAAGTTCCAAATTGGTCAACTTTTCATCGTGTTTTCAACAAAATTTTTTCGCTATCCATTGTTTTAATTTATTACCGTATAGTCGAAATTATTTATAAATGAAATAACTATTTTTATATTATTAGATATAATTTGACATTTTTATAAACTCTTTAAAGCTGAAAATTTTGTAAACAGATGAACGAAGAAAATTCATTTAGAGAAACCATAATTATTCAACAATCTCTTGGCGTTAGAAAAATTAAATCAAGTTAGAACTTTTAGTTAGTGATAAATTAATAAACTAACTGTACTCGAAAATCTTATCAATGGAATCGTTAGATAAAATCTAAAACTATACTTGAACTATAGTATACTTGAATTCTTATAAGAAACTAAGAATAAAAATTGCTTAATAGACAGATTTAATCGAATCATAAAAATATAACAGAACTAACAATATTTGGCATGTTGGCTGCAACTAACAAAAAAATAATAAAACAATAGCGAGCGAAGTCAACCGGTGACCTAAGGCTATTCGAGCAACAGGAACGCACCAAGTACTTCGCTCGCGACATCGTTTTCGCCAGCGTTAACGTCAAGGCTCTCGTAAGTATTTTCAAGAAAGCGCAATAACAACACGCTGCTTTTCTTTTTCTTTCTCTTTCTCGTAGAAAAAAGGTATAGGCGAAACAAAAATTTTTTTGTCGCAACGTTTTATAAAAAAAAACACGCGTAACCTCGATAAATAAAATAGCAATATTGTAAAATGTCAAGAGACAACGAGTTTCTTACCTCGCGCGCAAAAGTCGTATTTCATGATCAGGAGAGAGAGAGGGAGAGGGAGAGAGAGAGAACCCTTAATAATAAACTGCGCGATGACTGCAGCAACATTCGCTAAAGAGACTTTCACTCCATGCTAGGGAGGTAAACACTCGTTTTAGCTTGAACAGTTTGCTCGGAATTTTCAATTTTCACTTCTCTCGTAGGTTGTATATAGAGGGGAAAAGTCAAACGAAGAGGTTCCCCGAGAATATCGGGTTACATTATGCGCAGCTCTCTCGTTTTCCGCTAAATGCACCAACGCGCTTCCTTCGTCTATATTCCGTGGTATGTGGGAATTCGAATATCGTGACGATTATTGTGTAGTTGAGGCTGCTTTCGCTCTAACTTCTAAATGTCGACTGTTATGATGATTGACCTGTGTTATACGTAGACCAGATACTTAAATTCAACAAGAAAGTAGCTTCTTGTTGAAAGCTTCTTCGAATTGAAATAACGAATCGATATTTATTTTCGGCAACAAATACCGATAATAAATTTTTATCACTTGCATTTATATAGAAGGACTGGACTGATTTTACAACTCATTCGCGTTCAAATATCACTTAATATTCTAAAACGAACTTGGAAATCTAACTTTATCCATTGACGTATTACATCGTGACAGCTAAGTAGATTTTGAGATTCATTTTGAGAGTAGAGCTGTATGATCAATGGTCTCGCAATGTTTTCGTTGTATAGTGCGCTGCACCTAGGTTCAAGCTTCCCTTGTCAGATTATCATATCGCAAACAAAATCGACAGTAACGAGACAACAAACAAGGAAAAAGAAAAGCGCGGACGAAGTACCAAAAAATTAAAATGCAAAAAAGTATGAATGCGTATGTCTAGCGCGCCTCGTTCACGAACCTGGCGAATCTTCAGCGTAACTATGCGGACAAAGCGTTGCATGAAAGTACAAGACTAACGTCGTCATTAATACGAGCAAAGCCACCAGGCTCCATCTTCGAGGTAAGCTCTCTCCTCACTTTTTTTTTTGAAATTCGCTCGGTGAAATTTGGTATTCGTTAAATCGCACAAAAATGCTTATCGCACTCGCACGTGAAGACATCGACTCAAGGCAAGGTGTTCTCGATCTTCTGTCTCGTTCTCGCACGACTTTTATTAGCATTTCACGCCAGCTGATTTACGACGGGCTGTTACTATACCCTGTGTGTGCTCTGTTTACACGATGCATGTACCAAATTAGAGCTAGGTTGCGTGTTGCTTTGGCTTTTTTCGGGAGGGCAGGGAAAACGACGATAACTTACTCGAGCAAGACATTTGATGTGGCTCGTGGGAAAAAAAATCGGCAGTGGCAGTGTTTCTCAATTGTTGGAAGTGAACGTTATGGTGATTGATGATTGTTTCTTTCGCTTTATTTATCAACATCATTATGAGCACGGAAAACATGACAATAACTTAATGAATGCCTCAAAATGCACAACGAACAAATATCACATTTCAAGTTCTGATGCTAATGGAATTTCAACCTGCTCTTAAATAATCGTAGCTGGAAGAAAAATTGTTTTACAGTATTTTGCTAAAACATGCTATATTTAATAACATTTTACTTGGTAATGACACTTCTTCTATTCTGACTTTTATTTCTTCTTTGAAAGGTCAAAATTTTTATCATATTATTTTTCTTAAATTTTTTATTTTTACGTCTTAAAATATTGCTTGTATATAGAGCAAGATCAGAAATATTTTCACACAAGTGGATTAGAACAATGATTTTTATAAGCAACCAACGGACTTTAAAATCATTAAAAGAACAACAATGAAATAAAAGAGAACGAAGGTTTGCGTTATCACTCCAAGAGACTTGAAGATTCTTTAAAAAATGATTTTCAGGAATACCTTGTACAAACATAACAAATAGTTTTGCGTTTAGATTACAAAAAAATCTTACTTAAGAGAAAAATATTAAAAAAGTCGAAAAACAAAGTTATCCATAACATTAGATGTTAATTTTGTCAATTCAGCGTGTCGAAATATATAATAAAAAAATTTCCAGTTCTCTACAATTTTTTTTATATCTAGGTTGAAATGTCATTGGCACTGTGAAAATTATTGAGCTTGATAAAAAAGGTTGCTGCACGTAATAATACAACGATAATATTATCACATTTTGAAAGAAAAAATGGACAATCATCACGACATCAATCACTATAAATACATCATCACTTTATATTCAAACGTATCCTCAAATGACTAAAGAAAAGATCTTCTAATTTCTTGCAGAAATCGAGCTTTAACAAATTTGATGCCCTCAGCAAGAAGTCATCCGGTGCAGTACTACACGTGCGTTCAGTGGACGCAGCCAAAGTACAGCAGCAGCTCAACTCTGTAAGTTTCCTTTTAATACGACCTTTACAGCTCCCTTGCCAGTACATAATCACAGTTTTTAACTAATCAATATTATAAAGATCCAAACAAAATGAACAAGATTATCGACGTTTCTGTAAACGAACAAAAATGTTTAGCACAAACATCTAATTATTCGCGTCAGAAGAGAGAAAGATAAAGGGAGTGATTCCTCTTAAACGATGTGTGAAAGCAGGCGATTCTTAAATTGTTCATGACTTTGGCGGGAGGCTAGCATTTTATACGATGTGTTGATTCTGCGCGTGGAGCTTGTGAGAAGGAAAAAAATTTATTACATTCGACGGTCTTTTTATGGTTCGGACGAATCGATTCCGTGCGACCATCAAATCAGTAGATAATATTAATGGGCAGATTTAGTTTTTAATCGAATTGTCATTCCACAAATCATTGAATTTTCATTGTCGATTTGTCGTAATTGAACATCGTCTATCCACGCGTCTTAATATTTAATTTATTCGTTGAAAATCCTTCATCGAAGTCCGTTGTCGAAGAAAAGCTTACATGTAATAACTCATAAATCTACGGGGTGAAAAGTGTCTCGTCGATTTATTACGCTTCGTCACACTCGCACACTCACACACAGAAGAATCCCGTTCGAAACTGGTTTCCCATCCCGTATCGTTAATAAATTGATAATCCCGTTTTTCTCGCGCTCGCGCGCCAATGTTTACGTGCCGGCTGAGAAATTTTCTCTCAACGACGACCTCGTAAATTTACGATCCCGCGCCAGCGTATTTTAATGGGCACGCGGCTAAAGCGATTATTGACATTTTTTTATTTTTTTGTTTGCCATTGACATTTATTTTTTCTGGGAGATGTTATGCAGTTTCGAGTTGCAGATATCTGATTTTGTTAGCTAGCGGCTGAGAGTTATCATTAAAGAAGTTTGTCTCGTACGGGTTAATTATGTCCACTTAATAGAGCGAGTAAATTAGTTTATTTTGTTTCTAACTGAATTTTCCATCAAGCTATCAAGTAAATGCTGTTTCGGAGTGCTGAATTACTAATTTACCTTTCAAAATTTTTAATAATCTTCAATTTCGCAGAGTAATTATTTTTCTTATTGTTTGAGTTTATATTAGAGCAACTGTTGATTAAATATAGAATGTCAATGCATAATAAATTCCAGTTACAGCATTTTTAATTATCAGTATTTATTTTAGAATAAATAATTTGTTATTGTGAATGATATTTTTTCTCAAAATTAATAATAAATATTCACTGTTTGAAAATGAATTTCTTAATTAATTTAGTTCTACAATTGAAAAACTTTTATTCGTATTTTATGTATATTCTAGTGACATTGTTATGAAAATAGGAAAACTGATTTCTTATTTTTTGCAATATATTTTTTATCTTATAAAATTTCAAGGATCTTTCATTTTAGTAACACATAGTTTTCATTCGAAGAAAAAAGTTTGCTTTTTTTTAAGATTTCTATTTTGGCTATTGTGTATATTTTTAGACAACTTGAATATAGCGTTAATGTTATCTAAATCATTCAGAACCTAAGTAATATATTGCAAAACACTACAAAGAGTGTCAAAGTACTTGTCATTCCTACCATTTAGAAAAATTGTCTCTGTTACCTTTCAGTAGATGAAAGCGATGTTACACTATAACTATCTCGTATGAGTTTCATCATAATCGACTTATTCAATCAACGACAGTTCATTAAAAAAAAACAAGAAAATTAAAGTAATTTTGATCGCGCAAAATATAAAAGTCAAAGTGTTGATTTGTACTTTTCATGAGTATCACTTTTTTAATCTAATGTCATAATCCCCTTATAAAAAAGTCATGACCAGATATGAAGCCAAGATAATCGCTATCTGATTGGCTCATACAGTATGCATGTTTCTATTTGAATCTAACCTAATCTAATTTAAAAATGTTTCATCAAAATTGTGCTAATTTCGGTTTTGATTTAAATATAAATATATAAAAACATTTTAATATTTTTAATTCAAATTGTTTGCATGCACGTATATTATATTTTATTTAAAAAATTAATTTTTTCTTTAATAAGTTTTGAGAAAAATGCTATTTCTTCGGAAAGCAGAAAATTTAGAAGGTATATTTCCTCTGCATTGATTGTAATCTCTGACAAAAGTCCTAAAAATTGTCAGAAAACCAGAGGTATTGTTCGCTTTTAAAAAGTGGAGTTGACGCATCTTTTTTGAATAACTTTATATTGTGGAGACGTATTTCCTTTCACTTTCACATAGAGATAGTTTACCAGTTAAATTAGCCTTCGTAATCACAGTAAATAATTTACAAGGTAAAACTTTTGACAACATTGGTATAGATCTACGAAGAAATGTTTTTAATCACGAACAGCCTTATTTTGTCTTGGTAATCAGCGAAGAGAAAATACAAGTGTCAAAAATTATTTTTATATAGAGATATATTCATAATTATTAAATTGTTTAAATTAATTTTATTAATATTTTACAAACATAAACTTACTTTCACTGACAAAATATTTCATAACATCAATTAAACCATCAATAATTATTAATCGTAACTTAATAATGGAAAATAAAAATATAGGTTGGTGCACGTGAAGCGCGCTATTTAATTTCTAGTAGATTAAAAGAATCGTATGAGATGAATCTATCACTGATTTTCCGTGCATTGTGGGCTACCAATCATCCCTCCAGGTTTCAGAAAAGTAGATAACCCGGTACATTGGTACTGTTCTTGTCTGCATAGCTAACATGGAATTATTGAAAAAATCATAAAAGAGAAAAATGTAAGAAAGCACGTATATTTTACAATACGCAGGTGTCACAGAATGGCGAAGCGAATCCGAGCTGTCGCAGTTGCGGCAAGGTTGTCTTCCAGATGGAACAGACGAAGGCCGAGGGTTTGTGCTGGCACAAGAACTGCTTCCGTTGCGTGCAATGCAGTAAGCAGCTCACCGTCGACAGTTATCAGAGCCACGAGGCTAATTTATACTGTAAACCTCACTTCAAGGAACTTTTCCAACCGAAACCCGTCGAGGAGTCCGATCAACCTGGTAAGCTCGCAGTTTTGCTAAAAAATTGACGACTGTGTGCTGTAAAGCAGAATTCGACCAAAAAAATTTAGTATCGATTAAAAATGGACATAATTGCAGAGAAACCGTTAAATGCCATGTAGCGGATTCCTCGGATCGCAAAATGGTCTTTTGATTGCGCGCTTTTATATCACATGCAAATTAAGACGTTGAAAAAAGTCGCGTCACTTCGTTATATTACACGTCGTTGACCTGGATTGAATCTTGTAAAGTAAGAGTAATGGTATAATTTTGTATATATTCGAAAATCCCGACGATTATTCGAAACTATGCCTACAGTAACATTAATAAATACGTTATCTATCAGATGGCTACATCGACGAATTAGTTATAGACGTTATTTCGCATATCTCGCTTTTTTTCATTTGATACCTTACAAAAGAAAGGAAGTTCACTTGACTAATAATGCCTGCACCCCTTGCGAAACGACGGCGCGTGCGGAAGTACGTCCGTGACATTGAGACGCGAATCAGATACAAGCAGCGCGCTATTCTCGTAGGCGTTGATTCATCGCTAGCAGGTGCTTAGCGAAAATCTCTCTTGTTTTTGTTTTTTTAATGAAGGCTTAGTGAAATCATTGCAAAGACTCGAATTTGATGACTTGATTTTTTCAATTAGTTTGCGAATAGGCATATTGAATTATGTGTGAAATGTTCCTTGTAGTGCGTCCCCGAAAGCCAGAGTTGATCATACGCGAGAACCAGCCAAAAGAGTTGCCACCCGATGTAGTCAGAGGTAAATCCTCGAGTGGCTTTGACGTTGTTTTTTTTCTTTTATTTTTCATTGTGATTTTTTTTCTCTTTCGAACTAATATCATTGGTGTAATAATTTGAAAGACGATCGATTATTTGATTTTTTTTTCTTTTTTATTTTTTTTCTCTTTACTAAAAAAATGTGATAACTGTTGTAACACGTTCGAGATGATGATGATAATTTAATGATATAAATTTATTTTTTATACTAATTTCAACTAAAACAACTATTTTTCTAACGCAAATAAGTTAAATTGTTTTTCAAACAAACCATAATAATAATTGTGCCATATTAATCAACAGCGATTTACAGAAAATGTATCAACGAGTACAAAAGGTGATAGAATGCGAGTGTACTGATATTCATTTTTTATTTTTGCAGCGTCTGACAAACCAGACCTCGGATTGGAAGAACTGTCCGCGTTGAATGTTAAGTCGCGCTTCCAGGTCTTCGAGAAGGCCAATGAGCAAAATAACGACATCGAAAGATCATCTTCTCAGGTCGCGGTCAAAAGGTCGCCTAGTATACTCAGCAAATTAGCCAAGTACGTATTTTCGTTTTTTTATCCCAGCTGGCTTGAATTTTGAAATTCAATTTACACCAACATCTTATTTAATTGTGGCATAATAGAGGACAGTTTTTTTCACGTTACGTACAAAATTATTCTACGAACGTTCAGATGAGAGTATGAACTATTTCAAAAGTATTTTATTTCTAATTTAGATTTACAATGTTGATATTTTTTATAAATTTATCACAATCATGTTTCTCTTATTTTTTACTTATAATTATAAGCTACATTGGAAAGTCTATAATTACCTTTTCGATATCATTAGGTATTCGCAGTCAACCTACGTTGACAATATAGCTAAACATCAGTCGTGTCATAACTTAACGTAAAAAATAAATAAACAAATATTAATTAATGGATGTATCAATTAGATTCCAAGCGAAAGGAATGGATATCGGTGTGACAGATGACGTCCTCAACGGGATTCCCGTCGAAGAATCCAGCGAGAGCGAAGAGGAAATCGAAGAAGAGGAAACGGAAGGTAAGAATACGGGACATAATAGTAATCGACAATAAGAGTTTATGGAAAACAGTACAGTTCGATCATTTTCTTTTACTTTTACTGCATGTATTCTATATCGTGAATCTCATGAACATACAAATTTCGCCAACGCATATCAATCACGCACATGTATAATTACAAATTCAATTTTCGAAATGCTCGCTTTTATGAATGCGAAAACCAGAAAAAGAAAGTCACGCATTTTTCCCGAATAAAACTTCGTCACGTGCGCGAGTATCAAATTGCTCTCTTACGGTCGATTGCACAACTCGCAGCATCGGCAGGAATAGATCCTTTGTTTTACCCCGCGCGCGCAGTTCTGCTATACACTTTCTCCGCGTGCACTGTCAGCGGTATATACATATACGTCCCTCCCGCCTGTGCGGAGATCGAATGACGCCCGCAACTTTACGCCAAAGTTACATGCACGGCTCCGCCGTGGCAATTAGTATTCCGGTACCGCGCGCGCGCACGAACTATTAGGCTTCCTTGTTATTTTTTTCAATCGGTCTCCATATGTGGTGCGAGCTGAGAGTGAAAGTGACCATGCCATTCTGAAAATTGTACTTTTTAAAATTTGTTTAAACCTGTAAAACATACCAATCTAAGTAACTTGTGATGACTTACGAAATGAAGTTGTTCAATATTCAAAAGAATTAATAAATGATTCTTTCAGTAGAATTACCGTTTACTAATATCGTAAAAGTATAATTATTGATTTTTCATTGATCGCGTTTCTCCAAAATTGTTTCTGGTCGTAAAAAATATGATTTATTCAAATACTTTTTCTAGGGTAACACAATATTAAACTATAAAAATAAGTAATTAACAATACTAATCCAGCATTTTTTTGCAGAAACAGAAGAGACAATGATCATAAAATCAAAACGCGGCAACCGTGAACGACCGATAAGCTTCACAAAGATGGATGACATGAAGAACCGTTGGGAGACGACAAGCCAACAGGGTAAACGCGAATCTCAGCGCGAAGCACGCAAAGAAGAAATCGCTGGTATACGCTCGCGACTTTTCATGGTAAATATTATCTGCTGCAACGTGTTTTCATTATTGTCTTCGTAGAGTTATTAAAGTTTTTTCAAGGATGGCATTATTCAAATTTATTTCGAATTAAGTTCGACGACCATAATGAAAAGTCGTATAATCGACTAAATAGATCATCTCTTGAAAAAACAATTTTAATTTTCCATTTTAATTCTGTTATTTTGTACAATAATCTCACCAAGACATTTGTCAACATTATAAAACACATTTTTTCTATTGATGCTATATAACACATTTTTGCAACAGAATATACACTTATGTACGCAAACACTTGCCAATAAAGGTCGCACAGTGCGTGTCTTTCTACTATCCTCATTCTTTAGTTCTATGTAGAGATTATACAGATAATCCTCCAGCTAAGCTGTTCGTTGTTTCACGAGATTATCTTCTTCGCAGTTACTATCTTCTTGTTAAACTCTCTTTTTCTTTAACCGCAACATTCTAATGCTATATATAGACAATTAAAGATATAGTTCGATTGATATATCAAGTCCATTCAACAGCTTTTCATTGAATTAAAAAAAAACCAAATCATCTTTAAAGCTTCACAGGTATTGGACGAAAATAGCTCTCTCCTCATTCCGTATATATATGTCTGACCCAGAAATCTCGGTCAGAGTGAAAAAGGGCTCTTTCTGATGCGACAGTTGGCCATTTGTCTGTATTAACTTACGAGTTTCTCAAGCGTGCAAGCAACCAAGCTTATTATAGGCCTATTTACCGAGAGAGGTCTTTTGCCGTATGCTCACGGATAATGGGTTGAGACTTCACGGAATTTCAATGCGTAGCGTACAAAGTTCCTTGATATCAAGTTAATTTCTGTGCATCTCTTACAGAAAATCAAGTCGATTTATCTTACATACGCGAATAAGTCAAATTGAAGCAAAGATATCAAAGATATTCGTTTATTATTTATTCAAAATTTTTATCAACTATTATTGTTACAAAATTCCTGTTTCAAATAATAATCTTCATAACCTTTTTACTACGATCAATTCTGTCAGCTAATTAGTTTACACAATTCTGTACACAACGTTTCCCTTGTTAAATTCAAAATTCTCTTCTCAAAACGTACCGGTATATATTAGTTCCCGAATAATCACGTCTATGTGAAATTCCAAAAACCTATAAAAACGCATTAACTAGCGCCACCATAAAACCAACAGTATACCACAAGGTTACACATCATACAGTACCGACTCACAGATAACTTATTTTGGGGATGGTAAGCAGGGTAAACAGGGCAAGATGAAAGAAATGTACCAGCAGGCGGTGGCTGATAGTGAGAGGGTCACCAAAATAAACGCTGCCGAGGAGATTCAACATACGACAAATGCCAGATCGATTAAGGAACGTTTCGAACGTGGTGAACCTATTGGATCAACCTGTGACGAGGAAATCGAAAAGAATAAGGTTGATAAACCTGATGAGGAAATACTAGCTGCCGGTACGAACTGTTATTAATGTATTAAAATTAACAATGTTTCATAAAGAATTATGATTATATAAAGATCGCATGTAAAACTGGTAACGAATATTTATAATCACGGTTATTGTTATGTTGCTCATTATAATTACTTATTTATATTCTATACGTAAAAGTGAATTAATTTTCTATTCAAACATTAAATATACGTAAAAAGCTGAAAAATATTTCACTACTCTTGAACAATAAGAGAAAGAAATGATCAATTCTTAACTGACAAAATTTGTGAATTTGTTAACGTAAGAAATAACTTTCTTCCCGGGTTTATACAGATGGTCCCAATCGAAATCGCCGAATATTTCAAGGCACATATTTTTAGCGCTGAAGTACTTCAACTATAAGATTTATACCGTGACTCAGAGTCACTTGGAACGGGAACATATAAATCTCACACACTGAATAACATTATTTTAACATTGATGCAAGATAAAATTAAATTCCTCTCCGTTTTGTATAACATCATTACTAAAATTGAATAATTCTTATCAGTAAAATAAAATTAATAAAAGAAACAAAACATTAATGTTTTAATAATAATTGTTCGTATTTACATTTAAAATTTAGTTCTAGATAAGTATCGATTTCGAGACTATAATCCGTGTAACATACTTTTCACGCAAGCTTTCTATTTTTTTTCCTTCTAGATTAATGATTTTTATTTCACGAACTACACACACACACACACACATCCACACACACGCGTGCGCACGCGCACTAAATAATTCACGCGCGGTGAATTCGTGCAAATAATTAGAATCGACCGACCGCGCGTATTTCCATCAATTTAATTAAATTCCTAGAGTGTCTACAGAGAACAGACAGAATGTCTGATTAATGAATTGATGTTATTTTCACGGCAGGAATCAGTCGAAAATCTCGCTCACTATTCTTGGAACTGGACGCAACTGCCGCGAAGGCGGTTCGCCCGGTGACGCCTAATAGCCAACAGCCCAAAGTGCCAGCCGACGCGCCAAGGCGAGCACGTGATGTAAGTAAACACTGCTAGAGAGAGAGAGAGAGAGAGAGAGAGAGAGAGAGAGAGAGAGAGAGAGAGAGAGAGAGAGAGAGAGAGAGAGAGAGAGAGAGAGAGAGAGAGAGAGAGAGAGAGAGAGAGAGAGAGAGAGAGAGAGAACGTTGTTAATCATCTTTCAGTCTCGACATAAAAAAATACGTGTATCGTGCGCATTATTATAGTTTTTTCCGAAACACGTGTTTGTGTTTAAGCAGTGCAAGAATTTTTCTTTTTAAAAATTGTATTTTTAGTCGATATGTATTATTCCTAAAACAATTCATCTTTATTATTATTGTTTAATATGTTCACTGCAACATAATCCACACTGATTCGAGAAATCTTTTGATCCAATGTGGTTTATTTATTCCATTTGCTATATATTCCATTGAGTTTATAATTCTGTTTTCTTGCTTTATGGGCCCTAGCAAACAAACATTTAGAATTTCTTTTTGAAATGTTTATATAGAATTTTAAATCGTATATTTGCAGTTTCTGAAACTCAATATTTTAATAAAAACTTCTTTAATTTGGGAAAACATCCCTTTTCATATGCATATATGAGGCTTAAAAAATTATTTACTTATGTTTATAAATAAAATGTGGATGACCATTATGGCATGTGGACTCAAAGAAATGACAATATTATTTGCAGGCTACACGACTTACTATGGGTTAGGCATACTTAGAGTCTTACCTAGTCTACATATAAGGAAACCTGAAATAATTTTCGATAAAATGATCAAAATTTTTCACCCGGTATTTTTGGGAAAGATTTACCTATCTCTCCATGATAATGAACGTGTTAATAAAAATGTTTTTTCTTGCATTTCCAGTTAGTTTTCTTATTATTGGTTGTTACGAAAATTTATAAAAATTATGGTTATTCTTTCATACTTGATAAGCGGAACGTATTAGTGCTACTCACAAAAGAAATTTGTTGAGTTAACTACACTTTTAAAATAAGTGTTTAAAAACAAAATAAAAATATATTTAATAAGAAAAGAAATTTATTCTTACTTTGAGAAAAATGAAGAAATGAGAAAAATGGTCCATATTTTAACAACAAAAATGCATTATATCCTAAAAATGTAAGATTTATTTTTTATTAAGTAGTTCTCAGCTATAAATAAGTCTCTGTAAATTTTTCATCTCAAACAAACCAAAAATGGCAATTATGAACGTATCTTCTAAGCTTGGCGAAGAAAGTAAAGAAGCATCTGCATAAAATTTAGCATTAAAATTCGCCATACTTAATAACTACCGTGTAAGAAATCTATAGAATAGAAAAACAAAATATCATAGGCATTCATGGGACGACAAGTGTCGGATGACGTGGTGCGAAGTACCGACACTACGGAGGAGGTGCAAGTGGATGTATCCGACATATCGAATAAGTTTAAGTTCTTCGAGAGCTACAGGGAACCCGAACGTGCGCGCAAGCAGTTCCGGATCACACCACCACGAGACGGACAAGTCAAGGTTCGCTCCCGTTCGCTAACGTCAACAAAAAATGTTCTTTTTGTCACATCGAACTTTTTGAATCTCACAATTGACGGCTCGCTACAATTTATAAAAATTTTGACGACCTATAATTTCGTGCTTTAATTATGATAAATTGCAGCCTATTAAAGTAACAGCGTGTGTGTGTGTGTGTGTGTGTATTGAAAATTACAAAATCATCGGATGATGTCCAACCAATTACATTTAAACTTGAAGTCGTTTTAGAGGCAAACAAAAAGCGCTTTGCAAATCAATCGAGTGATGTGTTTTTCTGTGAGTTGTGTTAACAATACGACGTTGTTTTGTTGCTGCCCAATTAACCGGTTCGATAAGCTTTTTAACGCTATTAACAATTAGAGTAGATAAAAATATCCTTCACTAGTGACGATTCTATGGAATATTTTCCGATCTGCAATCTGCTCGCCGTATTCGTTAGAATTTGCACTTTGATATGGATTGTTTATGTCTGTTTTTGAAAGATTCGAAAATCATTCTTTCGCGAGTATTAAAGTATCAGATAAGAATCGACTGATTCATTGAATATTTGTGCCAGAAGCTATTATTATTCTGCTTCCTGCGTCATACAAATTTTTCGTTCTTCGTATTACTTTCATAAATTTCAGTTTTTGTTTATTAACAAACACTATTGAAATTCCAAAAATAAATTCTCTACTGATTTCTCTGTATGCTATAATATTTCAAATTTGTAGCAAGTAGTTCACGTCTCAAACGTGTCATGTATGAAGAGCTTGAAAATGGGAATTTAATCGCATGACCGCTGGATCAATTAGCTGTGTTAGAAGCTTACCAAATGAAGGAAGTACAAAAAAGTTGAGTGACTCGGTAAGAAGAATCTTCCCATACAAGAACTAATCCCCACTTGGAAATCATATTGCAATTTCCTCATAAAAAAACGATATCTCTAAGTACCTGTGCATTAACTAAAAGGATGACTCGGTAAAACTCAACGCGACACGTTCGCTAAGAAAAGGAAATCGTTAGGCAGCGTAATTACCGTAAATAAAAGCGGTGAACAATGGCGCGTATACGGGGTGGTAAATGCACAGTTGGCCGTAAAGGCGAGCGAATAATAATAAAAAGCCGTAAAAAGCGTGCGTGCGCACTGGGCGCCTTGTAAAAAGAGAAGAAGTGGCTTGCGAGGCCGTTCACTGGCGACGACGACGCCCGAATGTAACAAAGACCATGTGGCTGCGTTGGCAGAGCCAGACACTTGCTTTATATCGTTTCCATTTCAAGCCATGTCGATTGAAGTGTATTTTGTACCCGGCTGATCATTCATCAGGAACGCAAGTAGTATTCCAATGTCCAAACGGACAACAGCGCGTTATCGCACTGATCTATTTGAAGCGGTCTCTCGATCGAGATTACGTTTACAACGCATCGACTGATAACGCAAAAACCCGCGTCGTCGTTATCAATCGTTCGCGCGAGATTGATGTATATTTCGCCGAAAGCTTATCCGCGCGAACAAAGAGTGCGTCGACTCCGGCTTCGGCACTGGCCATAAACAAATTAAACTGACGATTAAAAGAGGAAGAAAGGGGAAGGCATCGAGCAGAATGTAAGCAAACGAACGTATATAGAAGCGGAGAGCAGGGAAAAGAGAAAAATAGACTCCAAGATGCAAATCAGAGAGAGAGAGAGAGAGAGAGAGAGAGAGAGAGAGAGAGAGAGAGAGAGAGAGAGAGAGAGAGAGAGAGAGACGAGGCGGGACGAGGAGTCGCGTACAAACGAGAGAAAAAAATTCTCCTCTTTTTTTCCTCTACTCGTCGCATCCGGCCGGTCTTTTTACCCTTTCGAAGTCTCCATAATCCAAATGCCACTGTTCTTGGGTAAAACCCTATAGATTGGCGATGAAAATGCATAATTTTCGGAATGCCCCAGCGCAACGAAGGCTGAGAAGAGTCGGTCGGGCGGGGACCTTCTCTCTCTCCGGGCCTTGTTGTCCTTGAACCCCAAGAGGGAGCGAGTGTGCTCTGTCTGCGCTTGGTTCGCAGGCGAGTTAATATATATACCGTTAGTGTGCTCACATCCTTCCAGTGGTGAGGAGCTCGTCTCGTTCTCCAAGGCCTTGAGGTTAGTCATTTCGGGGATTGTTTTCGTCTAATTCAATTTGTCTCTCGCCGTGACTCACGCGAATAATACGACGAGGCGTATCACACAACATCACGGTGGAAGAAGGGGACTGTCTCTCTCTCTCACTCTCTCTCTCTCTCTCTCTCTATCTCTCTCTCTCTCTGCATGGTAACACATCGCGGCGTCGGTGCACACAATCGAGCCAAGCAGTCGCGTCTCGAACGTCTTGCCCTGCAGGTCCCTCATTCTCTCCGTTCTGTTCTCTCGGCCGTGTTGTTTGTGTCTCTGCGTGTGGAAGTTAGTGTGTGTGGCAAGCAGCCTTCCGATATATACAGGTGGCTCACGGGGAGGTACGTACGTTGACATTTTTTCCCCGAGAATGGCCCGCCGGGGAGTTGGGATGGCGAGGCGGCTGACGACGTCACCTTTACGAGCGATCTACCGGCGACTTGGAAGCGAGCGCGGGGCAGCGCGAATTTCACACGTAACGCCCGCGGAAAGACGACGTATCTCGATCATGCAGCGTCGCGCGCGCGTTCTTTCGCACGCTGCGTCTGCCTCACGCGAACTTGACCTCGATTCCCCGGTAGCAGCCTCAAGTTCAAAGTCCGCAATTACACGCGCAGCAACGACAAAAAAAGCTGGTATCGTAAAGCATCCGACAATTGGCGAGGAAAAACACGCACTTCCATTCCCGGACAGCGCGCTGTCTATAAAACTTGCTTTCGCGCCGCGCACAATGCTCGTTTTCTCGCGAAAAAAATGTTTGCGAGTTTTGGTAGAGTGTGCAGATACGCATCCTGGACTGCTAATAGACGCCGCGCTTTCCAACTGCTTGTTCTCTTTCGAAGCCTCGCCGTCGATGCCTGCGCACTCGAAAGCGCTCTAGCTTTTTTCTCGCTCGCTCGCCTCTCCTCTAAACGTCGTTAACTGGAGTATGAAAGCCAAGATTCGAACGAAACGCTCGCTGGATTTATACGACTCGTGGAGGATGCTTGCAGTCCCTGAGACGTCCACGAAAATCTTGAAACATGCTAATGCGAGCCACCCACGACTCTCCTCATCTTTCTCTCCCGAGTAATGTACACCGCAGGAATGCGCCTGGCCGAGAGTCGGAAGAAAAGAAGGAGCGACTCGCGCGGCCGACTTTTCCCTTCCACGTACACGCGTCCGTCAATTTCTTTCCTCTATTTCGAATCAGCAAAGTCGACCAGAAAAGAGCAACGATTTAATGGCTTTGCACTCGGTTTTCACTCTTTTAATTGAGATAAGTATGCGCGCGTGTCATGACTATTTATCAAATGCGAAATTCAAATTGAAGACGAGAGAACAATCGTGTTTTCTCGCACGCGTGCTTTGAATTGTAAAGTAGCGTAGCAAGATTGATCGCGAAAGAGTTTACTGAGAGCAATTAGCAAATTGCTCAAGTTGAGTTCGAATTGGATTTTGGGTATCGACTACTCGAAAAAGAGCAAAGCATTTTTGACCGCGTGTCTCGTGGCTCAAGATGGCTTTTCCAATAAAAATTCAATAAATATAGTCGAGTGTTGTTTCCTTAATAACATGGAATGAGTAACCATTTGTGCTGTGTGCAGCTTTCTCCGTAAAAAGTCCGTCGGTCGATAAATGCGTCTTTGATTTCTGGAAACAGATGGATTCGCCGGACCGCGAGATCTACCGTGACCCGGAAGTCATACGCGCGGACGATCGCACCGAGGAGGTTGTGCGTACGGACACTGCACGCAAGATGCTCTCAATTTTCCGTCAAATGGAGGAGAAAGCCACCAAGGAGGACTTGCCGGATGGGCCCAAGCCATTGAAGCGATTTACGCCACCACCCGAGGATAAATTTGCCAAGGCGACTGCCTCGGAATCCGACGAGGACGAGGACGAAGCTGAAGAATCAGATGACGAGGAGCACAATCCAAATTATGTTAGGGCTTCCGACAAGGTATGACATTAAAAATTTTGGCATTGATTTCGGATGATCAGGTGCTTTTCTTTGCGCGCACACCTCTAGGTAGAGGACGAGTTTTTAAAGCAAGCGAGGACTGCGGCTCGAGCCAAGACATTACGCGCCAAATTCGAGCATTGGGAGACGAGTGACGAGAAAATTATTAACCAGCAACAGCAGCAGCAAGCTGAAATGGACATCGCTCAGACTGACGGCACCCAGCCTAGCATCGAGTCAGCGAGTTCACTTAGGGCTCGCTTCGAGTCACTTGGCTCGCAACCTACCGAAACGCCGCGTACAACCAAAGTCAAGGTCAATCGATTTGTGGTGAGTTCACACATGCATTCCATCAAGTCTTCCGTTGATAATCGTGTAAATAATAATTCTTTTTGCATGCGAGTTTGCAATGTTTTTTCGCGCTGTTTGACCCTCCAACTCGCGTGTTGCACCTTTATATTTTTTTAAGTGTGTAGCCATAACAATACCAAGTAATTGTCATTTATTCTTATTGTGCTAATTAATCTACAGTTTAGTTTTTAAGGTTGCGTTTTTTATCTGTTATTTGTATTCGATTCGGCATGTTGAATTAATTTTTTTTTTTTTCAATTTCCATGTTACTACTAATTTTTGCTGAAACGTATTCTTAACTAAACAAATTTAGAGAATTTAATAAATCTAGTTTATTCTTAACTAAACAAATTCATAACTAAACAAATGTTGAAATAAATACAGCAAAAATTAGTGAAAAACATTTATTTTGTAAATCATTACGAAATGCAGAAACCTGCGGAATGAGTTCAATGTGTAACCTAATGCTTGCTGATTGTTCATCACGCCGATGTCTTATTTTTCTGCTCTTTAAGTTTTCTCCCTTGTTTTCACACAAGCAAAATAAGTGTGTTGGCAATATTCTCAGCTATCGAGTAACGGTTCTAATGATTTACGATGTATTCTTCACGTAACAGTAATCGACCTAATGAAGACTGGAAACTGGATGCTACCGGGGCTAAATTAATGGACGAAGAGAGAGAAGCCCATGGGTGACGATTAAAAAAGGGGGGTAAAATGATATCATCGCATAAAAAAACAAGGAATTCAAGGACAGGAAGTAACTTCCAAGTGCACAAGCGATGAAATCTACATTAATGATTATTGATAGTGATTATTGCGTTTAACGATTATGTTAAAATATTTAATTATTACATTATCAAATGATGTGAACAGGGTTGAATGTTTTTTTTTTATTTTTTAAACATTGAAGTGTTGTATTTTGTTCTTCTCTTTTTTTGCCAGTGAGATATTTTTGTACTCTCCATTGACTATATTTTCCGTATTTTTTATCTTTGCCAATTAGATTTTTTTTAAGTTACTTACCATCATATTTTTACTCTAAATTACAAAAATATTCAACCCTGTATAACTAGTATATTATATAGATAGCGTTCTTTAAGTTTTTAGAGATGATTTTAACTTGAAACGTTGTGCGTTTTTAGCGGATTTTATCAATTTTCGCCGGAGATAATAATTACTTTGATCTGTTAATTTTCGTTTACAACTATTTGCCAGTGATTACAAAATGCACGCGCGAGAAGTATACAAGATAAAAAATACAAGCAAAGAATTGAAATAGTATTTAAATAAATGCAATCCAATTTGTAATGCTAACCAGTGCCAATATCAAGGAATTTTTATGAAGCTACTCTAATAATCACCTACAGTAATTTTTACAGAACAAAATCTATTTATGATACACGTCTAACTAAACAACATACACATTTTGTAAGCAAGTTTGTAACGAATCTATTTCACTATGCGAGATTTACAAGTCTTTTTATATAAGCATATTTCGGCTAATGAATATCATAAACTGGCTGATCAATCTAAAGCAGACCAAGCTTATGAATTTTTCACTGTTATCACAGCCAAAAGGCAATCCATTGGGCTTAATTAATTGAATAAAATGATACGCGCGCGCGCATGTCTAAGAGTGTACACATAGATACAAGAACTAACATTGAAGTTTCTTTTATATTGAATATTTCATGATATTTTTTATTAGTTAAACGAATAAATAATTTTTTCCAACCGAAAATTTAAAAAAGCAACAAAATGCTTTTAGTCATCGATCAGTGTATTATTAAATGTTACAAATGTTCATATTTTTCTAGCGATCGTAACAAAAAAATTATTTAACGCGTGAAACAATAGTAAATTTTTACTCGTTTTTCAAATTTTAAGAACAAAATAAGATTTCGTGCATTGGAAATATTATACACAAATATTCGTATGCCATTAATCAGATTGTAAATTAATGTAATTTGTACGGCAACCTGTAGAGAAATTCGTATGCTATTTAACTTTCATAAATACCTATACGAAACTTCTCAACGATTTTAAAATTGCGTTTGCTGATATATTGCATCATAAAATTTATAAGGGCACTCGTCTCTATATTTTTGTTTATGCATTTCTTCCAATTTTATTTCTTTTCTTTTTAGAGTACAAAAGTACTTAATAAATTAATCGTAAACATGAGTTTTAAGAGTAATCGTATAATCCAGACCGTCTACGTATGTACATGCCTAGCGATAAATAAGCTTATGTGTATAGCTCGTGCGTTTGCGTTTTGTTGTAATACTCCGAAAGAAAAAAACGAAAAAAAAAACATTAAAATGCATTATATATCCGGCTACTTTGTCAAAGCGCGTAATATTTTATATGATACACGCACACTGACAACTGTAGTGGATATGAAAAAAACCAAAAGTGAAAATCAAGTTTTTTGAGGGTCGAACTGATTTTTCTCAATAAAATGGAAATTGTACTTTATCTACGGCAAGCCTTTTACTGGACCTACTGATCACGTTATTATTTACACATTATTTTTTATTTCAGTAACTAGTTTTTTCCGATTTAGATTTTTTTGTTACTTTTTATGTTTTGACTTTGAAACAGGAAATCCAAGCAAACTGTATGGATGTATGTGAAAGCTGCGAGAAGAAAGTTTATCCTCTTGAGAAGGTTGAAACGAACAATAAAATCTTCCACAAACAGTGTTTTAGATGTCTGCAATGCAACTGCATCTTAAGGTATTATTAATTTTATTCTGAAACAAAAAAATCGCTTGGAATTTTTTTACAAGAAGAACAAACGCTATTCTATTGTTTTAGAATGGACACGTTCACGTTGAATAACGGCAAGCTTTATTGCATCCCTCATTTCAAGCAGCTGTTCATAACGCGAGGCAACTATGACGAAGGCTTCGGCGTTGACCCACACAAGAACAAGTGGTCAAGCTCGGCGACGACTCCGCAGGCGGCGTCAGTCGCCTTGCAAAACGGCGACGTCTGAATTCCATTTTTTTTATCTCTCTCACTCTCTTTCCCTTCCATTTTTGTCCCCTCTCACTTTATTCTTCACAATGCTCTGGTCTCAGAGGAGCGAGAGAGTTTTAACACTCTATTTTTTTACAAGTATTTCTCTGCATTAATTTTTTAATCATTATTTTACTACGTGTATGATGATTTACTCGTTGGAAAAAGAGCTGAGCGTGCAATATAAGTATGTGTGTAGATAAGGATTCGAAATTTCTTTTTTTATACATCGAAAGTCTCTTGCTAAAATCAAACGTAGTTCGAATTATTTCAACAATCAGTGATCGACTTTTTTATATGATATAGTTTAGTAGTTTTTTGTCTTGAACAACGAATTTAATTTTATATAGAATCGAGATGGAATTGTCGCATAGCCACGCAAACAAAAAAGTCGCGCGCTTATACGATTGTTATTGTACTTTATCTGCTATTGATTAACTATACAATTATTAGTAAATATGATTATGTCACGTTTGTATCATACAGTGCCACATGCGCTCATTATACTTGTCACTCTTTATACCCCTTTTACATTCCTTCGTTGATCAACTTGTGTAAAAGCTTTTTATTTGTCGATGCAATATATTTAATTACAAAATATTTTTATATCCCATTCGCTTTTTTTCTTAACCAAAAAAAAATTCTCAAGAAATTAAGCAATTATGTATTTATTCTGATTGCAATTTTTATTCAAATCAAATATTTACAGATGGATTGTAGTATATTGTACATACTTAACTCGATAAAGATATATGATAATCAACTTTTTTAACGTTTTTAATGAAAAGTATTGTAGTAGAATACAGATTTTAGATTACTTTTTTTGAGAAATCACTTTTTCAGTAAGTCGTGTGATATTGTTTTACGTCAAAATTACACATAAAATAGTTTTCTTTTATCAAGGATTACAATGATACCTTGTTATTATTACAATGATTATTATTCCATGAAAGTTCAATACAATCAGAGTATATCCATTGTAAATATTAAAGATAAAAATGTATATGTACACGTGTAATTATTATAAAAAATATTCATTGAAGTCGTCCTCACAAAAACGCCTCATAATACAGCGTTTATAAGGAATGGCACATTATTGTTCGTTATTTTATTTACGAAGGTTCCGAGTGATCGTTATTAATTAAAAAAAGTTTATCGATTTTGAAATTATCACCTAAACTGTACATAATAATACGTATACAAACTTATTATTTAATGTATAAAAAATACATTTCTAAATTTATCTTTTATCTTGAATCACAATTAAGTTTCATATTCAATATTAAATTCCAAAAAATTCTTTTTATAATTTAAATTATAAAAAGTTTTAATCAATTTTTTCTTTAATATATCTTTCAAAAACTATCTAGATGAACCATCGTGCTTTAACGTAACGATTATTGTCAGAGATCATCTCATATTTTTAGCCATTATTCAGTCACTAACAAACTGAAGTTTGTCAATTTTTAAATTATTGATGATTGATATTCTATTTGTGCAGGTTTCATAATAATTTTCGTCAAGGACATGAAATAACAATTGACAACTAACAAAATCGACATTGACTTATTCACAAAAACTTCACATTTATAGTTAATAGTATCAAACATAAAATTAGTTTGCTGGAACACATGTATATCTTTAAGTATCATTGATCTTTCATGTGTATATTTAATGAGTATGTAGCTATTACTCTCAATTGGAAAACTTATTTGAAATATTTTCTATAGCTTTATTCTATTTAATATGTTGGATTGCTTATCGTTCAAACCCAACATGGATAAATTCTTAGATTATATATGAAGGATGATGTATGTTTTGTTTTTTGATATTAAAATTTTTGATCAATTATCTACAATTACCTTCGACATTGAAATTGAGTGAGAATAAAAAATTTGATATTTTAACTCGAACGCGCACAAACTTTGATTTTTAACAAGTCTTTCTAATCATTATTGCTTCCCAAAAAACCAAGCAAACTGAAATTAATACAGTTTCAGTGTTCATCTATGCATCGTAATTGTGATAACTCACATAATGAAAAGAGGAATCATAAATTCCTGAAATACTTTCAAAAAGATCTGTGCTTATGACGAACCCTGTGTATCTTAATCACACACGCATGAATACTGAGAAGTCTAAAAAAATTGTTCGATCTGATGAACCTTAATTTACATATGATATGCTATAACATATACAGCTGACGATCACTCGGAATAATTGAATTTAATTGTATGACTATGTGGTAAGTAGTCCTACGTGAACAATCAAGGAAAAAAGCTAATTATTGTTATTGTTCTCAGCTCTGACACAAGCTACGAACGTCAGACTTGGGATCGGGACTGAGCGAACTCCAGTCAGTATTGGCGCAACGCGGCAATGTCAATCCTGAATGGCTCTTTGATTTGCGCGAAGGTCTCTCCTCTGTTGCATCACATATTCTCATTATCTCGTATTGGTTATCCACTAAACTATCTATCCAAGCTTCCAATTGTCTACCAACTCGTATTTGCTAAAATTCCAATGAAGAATTACGCATATAACATATTTGATTTTTTATGCATAACATTTACTTCGCTACACACCTTGGTATCAAATTCACTAGGATCTTTTGGATGCACATACGGCTTCAGCACCTCGAGCCATTTATGAGCCACACCACTAGATACATGATAATCATTTATCGGTCCCCTGTTAACTTCAGCCGCCTTTTCTCGTATGATCGGCATATTTTTCCAATAAGCCAATGGCGTCACAAGAAATTCCAAGTAAGCACAGACTTTGAAATCAAGAACCACGAACACACGCCAAATTCCAATGGCTAGTGGTTCGTTCAGCTGTGATTTTACGTGTCCATTCTAAAATCCAAAAATAAAAGCCTACATATTTGAATTGATATTCAATTAAATACTTACAGACATAGATTCTTCATTAAGATAGTTAATTTCAGCCACTCTATCCATTGGATCGAGCCATAGAATTGTCATGTTCTGCGGCATTATCGAACCCGCGTCAAACTCGTAAGACAAGACTGGATTCGACAGAGGACCGATACTTCCAAGAAAATTTCTAAACATTTGTTCTTTCTGATCGTAATCTGTATTCACCGTCAGACTCAAAGTTTTCGTGCTCCATGGTTTGTTCGTTACCAAATTCTTTTTCTGCTCGATCAAAACTTCAATTTGCTGGGGTACGTTTGATTGCTGTAACGTGAACAATCAAAAATTAATTTTTATTCAAAATGAATAATTTCTATTAAGTGCTTACCATGTAAGTTGACGATTCCAGTGCAAATTTCTCAATAGCCGCACGTACGAGAATACCCTTGAAGCGATTTTCTCGAAAATAGGCACTGATCTCAACCAGATGAACTTCTGTAGGATCAATTCTGTTATCGGAATGACCAAAGTGTAGATAGATGAGACGTGACAGCGAGTCACCAACTGTTAACAAAGCATCATCAGAAGGTGGACTGGTAACGTCTTGATGATAAATACTCTGCCAATATACGTCGTAGCCAGCTCCAGTCTGAAAAAAATAGCGACAATATTTTTTCGTTGCTTGATGAGTTTGATTTCTATAATATATAAATATTAATTACTAATGCGGCAGTAGTATTCAGTTTTTCCGGATACAACCATTGCTCAACTCTGTCGATAATTCTCTGATCAATCACCGGCTCAAATTTTCTTGCATAGAATAAATTCTTTTCAGCTGTGCCCTTGATTCGCCCAAAATCTTCCAATTTAAAATCATTTGGACTGCAACCACACCAATCAACCACAGCCTTGTACTGGCACTTGCAGCCAAGTTTCCGCTTCCAATTGGTTACATGCAAATTGTTGTCGATGTAGGTGTCGCAAAATCGTGAGTTTCTCAATGCCGTATGGAAAAACGACTCGGCTGGTAGTAATGTGTAGCGAAAAATTTCTAGGAGGCCAGCAATTAGTGGATCTGGTTCTGATTGCGAGACGTACTCTACAAAATCACGCGATAACGCTACCCAATCGCTACCACCATCAATCTGAATACCATTGGGTAACTTACGATCGCCTACTCGCCACATTCGAGCTTCACATTCTACGAAAGTTTTGTCTAAACCCTGTAAAAAGAATGCAATTGATAAAATGTTATTTATAAGTAATTCTTTTAAACGTAAATTTTTTAATTTTTATTCATGTTTTAAATTGCTATCACAAACTTATATATAATATAAATTAAACAATAAATACGAAATATCAAATTTTATTTGAAACGTAATGGATGTTACGCAATTATAATTGAAGGTAAACAAAGGCATTATTGATTTCATAAACAATTCATTATGTAAACACTGAGATAAAAATAAGCAATAACTGTATACCTGATCAATAGCAACTATACAAAATATAAGGCATTCTAAAAAAATGTTTTGTTATAAAATTCATGATCCAGGAAACAAGGTATAATACGTACCTGTTTAGTCAAAAATCTTTGAACTTCTCGTCCGTGCGACTTAACGAAATTCATACCCCTATTCCAGGTAAGAAATTCTACAACACGCTCGTTAGTTTTAATTGGATAATCAGACTCAGAAAGATTAACGAGAAAATCCCAGTCTTTTGAGTATAACAGCATCTGTCGTGCCGAGGTAAGGAACGTTGTGAGTAAGCTCGCGCCACCCCAAATGCTTGCATGTCGCAGCTCTGGACCCTTCGCCACTATTATATTTTTCCTTTTGCATTTTCGCTCTAATTCTAACATCTCACGGTACATGTAGTCTTGTCGCTGTAAAATTAATTTTAATCGTAATTTCAACCGATAAACGCGTTATTTCTTAACAAGAAGAAACTTACTGCATCTACGTGTATATAAAATAAATGAGAAGGATCATAAAGAATATTAATAAGACGTCTGACTTGTCGACTACCTCTTCCATTGACAGTCAGCAAATACGCTATTTTTACTGGGCTTTCATCAGTACTTTTTAAACTAGAATTTCTTGCTTCTTGCGGCTTGAATCCTAAAACCAAAAATAGTGAACAACATTTTCTATTGATCTTTCATAATGAATTTTCGTGATGAGTTTTATACTTTTGATGCCAATAAAAAAAACGTTTAATGTAAGGTATCCACCACAAATTTGCTTGGCATCTCCAGGACACTTCATATTACAACTAGAGTCTGGTAATTGATTTGTTTTCAAAGGTTTTTCCCTACCACAAAAACATTCATACCTACAATAAATAGCACTATTAGTAATACAAATATTCAGTGCAACGGATAATAAAATACTAAAGCACTTACGAGTATTCAACACCTGCATAAGGAAAGCCAGATTGCAAGCACATGTAGGCACAGTGCTCTGGTGAGTTATTTGTCTTGAGAACAGCATAGTAGTTGGGTAATAATCTGGACATTTTGTCATCTTTGAAGCAGCCCAAACTCTTGGGTGTACCATCAAAGCCCAGTGAATGTGGACAGGAAGACTGCAATTTTGTAGGATACAACAGATTCTGCTGGCTAAGGCACGTCACATTGACAATGCGCTCCTTGCACATTTGACTTTGTGCTCTAGTTATAGCACTCACTGCTTCCCTACCTGAAAACCATTATAAACAATATATTTTCCATTTCAAATAGTAATAGATGGGCACCTAAATATTTTTGAACTTACCAGACACTTCACAAGCTGGTTCAAAATTCAAAGATTTACGGTCAAGCTTAACTCTAGTAGTACGATTGTGATTGAGAGCTTTGTTAGAGCTGCCTTGTTTGTCAGGAGGCAATTTAAGCTGACGAGTTCCTTTTGGCAGCCCATCATCTTCTTCTCGAGATACATCATTCTGCAAAGCAAATTTAAATACAAACATTTTAATTAATAATAATTTAAGAACATTATACCTCATAAAATTACAATCTTTGATTAATCACAGAATATCAGACATCTACAACAGCAAAAAACTAAATCATCTAAGCCCAATTTTTCAAAAATATGGATACTTAATTTATACTTTTTAAATTAGATATCACTCAAACATTTCAAGTGAAAAACAGCTTCAATGTAAAGATTTATCCTTTATCTCTTTTTAATCTCTCTCATTTCTATAAAATAATTGAATCACAGATTTTGTTTGATGAACTAGCATACTTTAAGTCAAACAGTTATGATTTTATTATTTATTATTCTAGATGGTAAGAAATAACAATAATTAAAAAAAAAAAATTAATTTGCAATAATCTTCATTGTAGGTAACAACATTGTTGTTGTATGTAAAATACAAAGTCATAAAAAATGGATCATAAATATAAGTCTTGTTTTTAAGTATTACAATACACTTTCTTTTTAGCACATCATATCATATTTATTTGCAGGCAAAACATATACCCAAGCTAAAACTACATATATAGAATTCATGTGTCAAAGTAATTCATAAAAAAGCCAAGGAACAATAAGTACTAAATGTTGCTTAAAAGAAAAACCTAAATTCATCCTGTACTATCACTTTTGCAACATTATAAACTGCATACAATCAAGCAATTAAATAACTATTCACACACAAGACCATTCACAAACGTAAGAGAGAATCGCGCAATCATGCCATTGATCAGTTAGTCATCACACAGGAAAGCAGCAATAATAATTCACCTCGTCGAGAAAGGGTTTGTTGCCGGGTGTTTGCAAGCCTTGATTCTCGAAAGCAAGGAAAGTGTAAGCCAGGTAAATCTGAGCGCAGAGTAGCACTATGCCAAGTCCAAAGAACAAACGGTATTTCCTCAAGCAACTCGACGACCTGCTTTCCAGGTGAACCCTTGTCATCACCATGGCTTACAATTTTTTATATTTTATCTTGCTCGTCCATCGCGATTATCACTTAACGCGACACTGCGTTATGAGACGAGAACAAGCCATGATGATATAGAATGATAGGGTTGACTGATGCAAAATTCAACGCGCGACGCTTTCGCGAGAGACTGATGGCATTACAGTTACCTACTTTGACGGTTGGAAAGCTATAGCAGACAACATATTTGAATATTGGATTTTTTGTTGTCATTTCGCACCTTGCTATAGTCGCTGGCGACTCCTTTGTTTTGACGGCAAGTATTCTTTACGTGACGAGCATAATCAATTCAACGAGAAAGTAAGTTTGAAGATAACAGTGTTTACATGAGTAAACCTAATAATCAGTTGGAAGAGGATACATACCTAAATATATTATATACAATAGAGTTTTACCGAGGAATAGTATTTCCATATAGTCTCCATAGGGTTTACATGTTATATATCCTTATTTAGGCAGTGAGTGCTTTGTTTTGCGTTGACAACTGCCTTTGACAAAAGTCATCGAGGTAGTGTTATTTCAACAGAGTTAATATTAGTGGGTTGGGAATGCTTTCGTACTTTGTAATTCTGATAAGAACCAATTATGTACTATAATTTTTTATGAATGGCAAATATTTTATAATTCTCTCTTTATTATCGTAAGTAAATTATTAGTGTAATTATTCTCTAGCGTTTATTTCTGTCTGTTTTTCTAAATAATTTAAGCGATGGAAAATTAATAACATAGCAAAATAATTATGTAGTGTGCAGAAGTATCGAGAAATAGATTTGACTGACAGTCACGAAACGCCTATGTCTGTCATTTCTAGGCGAAAGATATGTCAGGCGTAGGTGTATTGCTTAATAATTTGCGCAGATTTGCTCGTTTTTCAGCGATAAATTGCAGGTATGAATTGTATAGAATCCATAATCCTAAACGTAGTTCGCGTATCGAATGAATTCAATACATAGAGCTGCTTATTATCGATTAGGTCGTGATATTTTTAGAATGATATTTGATTAGGAAAAGGTAACCTCTATTGTATATATTATTCATTCTATACTAAAAACTCATTTCTTTCCAAATCGACGATGAATACTCACGACTCATCAGATTTTAAATAATTTTCTAATGAATTGAAGTGAGAAAAGAAAAATAAGGAAGACAATCAATTTTGGCGCGTTTGTAGAGCTGTGCTGAGAGGGAGCGGAGAGCTTTTTTCCATGACGTCGGCGACAGTGCGTCTGCTTGCGATTAGTCATCGTCGAATCGTCGTATAGTGTGTCGTGTCGATAAGCAGCCAGGGAGACTTGACACTGCCGAAAGAAGAGGGACATGAGGAGTAGTAGTAGTAGCGAGTCGACCGTGAGTGCGTGATGAGTGTATTGCTGCTGTTATTGGGACTGGGAGTGTGCCTTTTGGCAGGTCACTGCCATGGAGCTGCCACTGACATCGAACTTGATGCCAAGGCACAGTATCTTCACAGACTCGACAGTCTCAATTTGTTGCTGTATACTTTTCTTCTCATCGCAACTGTGCTTACTGTCTGGACTTTCAAGCACAGGAGGCTAAGGTTCTTGCACGAGACTGGCCTTGCTGTTATTTATGGTGAGTTTTTTTATTGTTAAACTCTTTGACTTTCCTTTGTTTGTAATGGTTACTGTAACTGATGTATTCGTTTTTTAATTTTCCTTTAGCTATCACTTCTATTTATTTATTCATTTGCAAATTGTCATTTTATAAGTGACACAATAAGCTAAACTTAATGACAACTTAAATATTTTAAATAAGAATCAGCGAATGATGATCTTTAAATATAACTCTGTGAACAATTGGACATTAATCATCTATGCAAAAATGACATCTAAAACTTGTTATGGCATGATGGAATACACTAACAAATCTTATGTGAACCTCCTTTTTTTATGAACTTCTCTCCATTCTAATTAAAACTACTAATTTTCCTATATAAAGAAAAAAATTTTTTGTTTTATTGTTTTATGAACTTTAAATTTCTTAGACTTAACTATTGATTGCCAAAACAAAGGTATTATTATTAATAATTTTTATCTTCAGAATAAAAAAATAAAGTCAATCCATACAATCTATATAAATCTATATTGAAGTTAATTTTCTAATAAAGATCACCAAGCATTCCAAATATCATTGTTAAAACTTTTACGCAGCTTTTTATTCAGTTATCTCGCAGTTCCCCAACCAAGTGAAAAAAAACTTTTTCGATGAAAATCATTGATCGATCACATACATGTAGATTTGTCTAATTATCGATGCTGCACCTGTTACGTGCTAATAGGGTTGACCTTGACCCTTGACCCAAATAAACCTTATCGCGTATTGTTACGTCCCGTGAGTCTTCTTTTTTTTTTTTCTTTTTTTTTCTTTAACGTTGGTACAAACACGTGCATGTTATATTGCATATCGCCATGTTTAGCAACGTACCTGTTTTGTTTATTCAATCGCAAACGTGCGTAACGTGTATATTGCAACCTAAATACATTATAAATGAGAGGGAGAATTGTATAACGCTAAAATGAAATAGTTGTTGAGGTCTCCAAGCGACAAATTAAGTGTATACGTATCTTTGAGAGATAAAAAGGAAGAATAACAATTTGAAAAACGATTGCAGGTCTTGTGGTGGGTGCGATAATCCGCAATGGCTTCTCGTCTAGCAATACGATACAGCGTCTGCCGGTTGTGCCTGCAGCAGTTTACACTGAGTCGATACCACCGGACCTACTGTTATTTCAGTTACACGAGAATACCACAAGTGGTATCAAAAATAAGACTTTCGCTTACTTGTTCAGGGGCGAGATTTTCAAACAAGATAGCGTAATCGACAAGAAGGTTAGACTTTTTTAAAATGCTTAACGTATCTGGATAAAAAAAGAATAACATATAAGCATTTATCTGCAATTCAAAATTTGCAAGTTTTGATAAAGCTATATCTTCTAATTTTCTTTTGTTTTTCTAGGCCACCTTCGACCCAGAAATATTTTTCAACATCATCTTGCCACCCATTATCTTCCATGCTGGGTATAGCTTGAAGAGGGTAAGGCTTATCAAAGTTTTTTTTTTAATCTATATTTCAAAGATATAAAATTAAAGAACCGTGCAGCTTCTTTGTCCATTTTATTAATAATGAATAATGGATATGATTTTTGCAATCAATTCTAAAAAATCTCTAGTTATATATATCCATTACTTCACACAAGTTTAGCATGCGTAAAAGAATACTCATTAGAAAAAAATCAAGCTTTATGTCATTCTTTTACACCGTGCGTATCGCGTTCGCGACAACAGGTTTTCTCGCGTCGTGTTGTTCTACAAAGATAATGACAATCAACACTTTACAATAAGTCACTTTTATTTTCTTTCTAGAAATACTTCTTTCGTAATCTCGGCGCAATTCTGATGTACGCATTGGTAGGTACAACGCTGTCGTCTTTCGCCATTGGGTAAGTATTTTTAATCTTCAATACGAGATGTCGTTAAACTCATGTATACCCGCATACTTCATACGTCATCATTCTGCGATTTTTTTGAAGGACGTTGCTCTACGCTTTTATACAATTGATGCCGAAGCTATCGACCTCTATTGGCTTTTTGGATACACTATATTTCGGTGCACTAATTTCACCTACGGATCCACTTACAATTATTTCGATTTTCAACGATCTACATGTCGATGTAAATCTGTATGCTTTGGTATTTGGTGAAAGTGTGCTCAATGATGCGGTTGCTATTGTACTTAGTGGGTGAGTGGCGTTAAAAATCTTTGGAGGTTTTCATTGTGTAACTATGAAGTAGAATTTTTTATTCTATTCCGAGGAAAAAAACATTGAAATTTGTATAACTTTGCGCACAATTTTTTTTTTCACAAGGGTGACGTTCTATATAACGATACAGATAAATATCTCAGCGCGAATATTGTAAAATAAATCAGTGAATTTTTATTTTTAGACATTTAAAAAAAAAATTACAAGGTGATAAAAATAGTGATAAATTCATTAAAAAAAAAGTGTCTATTGATTATGAAATAAAAGATATTATTTCTCTTTTCAATTACAATGTTACACGTTTTTCTTAAATAGTTTTGCGATAACGTGAGATAAATAGAGTAAAAAAATGCTTCTGCTGAATTGTAATTTTCCTGCTTAATATAATTTTGTAACAATTCCTTATATTTTTTAGTGCGATCCAGAACTATGGTGAGCGTTATGTGACGCACGTGGGTTCAAATAGTTTCGAGACCGTGGCGTTTTTCCAAGCACTCGGTGATTTTGTCGGCATTTTTAGTTTGTCACTCTTCATCGGTGCTACGATGGGTTGCATCACAGCACTACTCACGAAGTTCACGAGGGTGCGTGACTTTCCGCTACTCGAGTCTGCATTGTTCGTCCTTATGTCTTATAGCACTTTTTTGATTGCCGAGGCTTCCGATCTCACAGGTAAGCTAAAGAGTGTTTGTACATAAAAGGAAAAGAGTTGGCAGTTAAATGATAGATGTACTTTGATAGAAATTATATATGCTATCGCGGTTGTTACGAAACGTGACTGATCTTGCTACACTAGTTGAAAATTAAATAATTTCTCATCTAGAAATTCAAATGCCTGAAGAAATGAACTGATATCGCGCATTCGTAAGAATTAATCATAATTTCATTGTCACGGAAGAGTTGTAAGTGAGTCAACATCATAAGTATGTATTTGATATTCAATGTGCGTGTCAATAAGCTACGATGAGACCATTGAAAGCTTAAAGATAAGTGTAAAAAATAATATTGTAATAATTTGACGGTGGATCGTTTTCTTTAAATTCATTGCTTTAATTATATACTTTTTTTTCAACAGAATAAGTAGTATTATAACAATGAAATTTAAACTCGTGTTTATTTGTGTATTTTATCTTCAGCTATATCGGATATTGTTTTCAATTTTATTAACAAAATAAGAAGTTGAACAATTATCTGATATTTTTTATTGAAATGAAAGAAACCGTTCTACAAACGAAAATTTTTTTCATTTTCCAGGTGTTGTTGCTGTTCTGTTCTGTGGGATATGCCAAGCACATTATACATACAATAATTTAAGTTCCGGTTCTCGAATGAGAACGAAGCAGCTTTTTGAGCTGCTTAACTTTTTAGCTGAGAATTTCATTTTCACCTACATTGGTGTGTCAATGTTCACGTTTCCCAAGCATCACTTTGACTTTGGCTTTATCTTAGCAGGATTTGTATCCTTTTTTCTCATCTAAGATGGAATGTTGTAATCTAATAATAGCCCAGCAGTTTACCTTGCGAGGGATAATTTTAATCGAATTACGTGACTGTTATAAGCTGTTTATGTAAGTAAGTGAGAATGACTCATTAGCATGATGTGATGTGCATAATTTTCCTTTTCAGCGCTATATCAAATGAGATGAAAGTTTATTTTTATAAAACAAAGATAGTCACGACTGTATCTCACTTTGATTCATACACTTTTCCAAATTCTTACTGATTACGCTTGTTTTTAAAATACTGATGTAAACATTTCATCATTTAACGTTTAATTACCATTGACACTTCTTAATTATTCATTGACATCGTAATCGCATACTTCGATTTTTTTTATAGTTATTTACAAATTGAAATCCTATTTTCAAATTATCAAATCATAAAGCAGTATGATTCCTTAACAAATATTAACATAGTTCTGCGCAATGTTAGGCAGGGCGGTAAACGTATATCCCTTATCAGCGTTACTGAACCTTGGGCGTAAGCCAAAGATCCCGATGAACTTTCAACACATGTTGTTCTTTGCTGGTCTTCGCGGAGCAATGAGTTTCGCTCTTGCTATTAGAAATACCGTCTCTGAAGCGAGACAAGCTATGCTTACCACTACCAGTCTTATCGTTATACTTACGGTTATCTTCCAAGGGGGCATGGCATCGCAGTTTCTTAATTGGTTCAATATACCGTGAGTTTTTTCATCGCATTTTTTGTCGTATAATTTAGTTGAAATCAGCTAAAAATTACTTTCAAACAATTGAATTTTCAGAGTTGGAGTCGACGAAGAAGTAGAAGTATTATCACACAATGGAGTTCGAAGTGTGAGTAATGATAAAAAATCAGCTTTTTTTTTTTTCTTTTCAAGAGTAGTAAATAATGGTTGTAGTGAATTTGTGTTGGTGTGAAACATATGAGCTTCTGGTGTCATTTATGATTACATTCAAGTTGTTTCTGTATATAAATATTCGAGATGTTTTTCCAAAGCTTTAAAATTTCAGATCTTGAAATTTTCAAGCTTTAGAACAAAAAGTGGAAAGTCATAAAAAGTTAAAAACAAAGGCACCTGCGCACGTAATTTTTTGTTCGATTTTATACATACACAAACTGCTTTACCCTCGCTTTTTTAATGCTTACGTCTAGAGGTATAACTCTATGGACACCGCTGGGGTTCGTATTTTTCATGTAAATTTTACGATTTTTTTAACTTCATTAATTTTGTTATCATTCTTCAATAACTTTTCGTATAATGTTGAATACATACAATATTATACTGTAAATTTATCAATACATGAGTATCCATTTTATGTCGTTATAAAACTGACCATAGATATTTTTATTCTATTTCGTTTCCATACTTTATTGAATTATTTTGTAAAATATGATCACAGTTAATTAACAATGGTCCTGAATAAGCATTTGCTCAACTTATTTTTCTTACTTATTTGAGCATGGATTTATTTTAATTAGATTGAAATAGTTCGAAGTTTGGAATGAAAAATCAAAATAAACTTAAATTGAAATGTTCAAATAGTCTGGTGGCGAAGGTGGCTTTGGCGAACTGGAATTGCATCGGGAAAGAAGTTCTCCGGTATGTCTGCACAAAACTTTCGAAAGTCGTCAGTCGTGTGTCTCATACATCATATATTTTTATATTCATTATTTTTTTCGTTTAGATTGCCTGCTTTGATGCCTCATATTATTTGGGGTTTTTTATTTTTATTTGCGCTTGAAATCACAATTATACAACACCAATACTCGACATACGCTTTTGTTACTGCTTTCAATTTGTTACTTTGTTTATAAATAATTTCACAAAAAAGTTTACTAATTCAAATTTTCTTGTCATCTTATTAATTTAGTTTCTTTTTATTGTTTTAATTTTTTTATCCTAATTTCAAATGAAAATACCACATTGGTTAGTATAAAATTGAATGATCAAGCATGAAATTGAATTCAGTGAACGTAAACAGAACTATTTTTGCCAATATTTTGCTTTTTTCTGATTATTTTATAATTACGTAATTTTTCCTTCTACTTTTGTTGATCCATTCTGTATGAACCCGAACCGTGAGCATATTTTGAAATGATTACTGTATCTGCATCCGCTAAACAACTTATATAAACGTGTCATTTTAAAACAATGATACACAGTCAATTGGATATTACAATAACTCAGCACGTAGCATGGCGCATATAATTTTTTAATCGATTAACTAACTACAGCAATACTTAATTAAGGCTTGTGCTATTTATAAGTGTATAATTATTATAATTAATTATCTTACACAACAAATAAAATAATTTATAGAGTTTTTTTTATGAATAAGAAATTATTTAACATGCAATCTATAATAAAGATTTAAATATATGATTTATGTTGAGTATGTACAAAAGTTAGAATCAGTTTTTGCATATCTGTTAGAAACTTTGAGTTGTAATTTCATAATTAATTAGTTTTATACGTTAACTTATCCAGTGGTTATTATAATTTTTCTTAAAACATTTAGTAAAACTTGATTCTTATGTAGGTCCTATAAAGCTTTTTTCCAGTAAAAGTAAGTAATTCAAAAGAATATCTAACATTTTGTTAATATATCGCTTTTTGAACTTGTTAAAACTTGATTTTACGTTTTTACCTTTTGTATCAATCAAATAATCAAAGTACAAAGCCTGAATTAAGCTCGCTGAAAGCATTACAATGACATTCTAGACTAAAATATAAAGCGACACACGAAAAAAAAAATGAAAAGTCCAAGAGTACGAGATGTAATATCAGTGTGCCTTGAACTAAAGATACACTGTTCAAATAAAAATCTTTAAATAAAAACATAATAAAAATAAAAGTTGTCGTGCATCGTTGGAACACACATACAGGATGGATGACAAACTAAAGCCTCGTTGTTCACGTTTCACAGTATAATTCTATGCAGGACGGCTCATCAAGCGGCAGCGCAGCAAAAAGCAATGAGAAGGCATTGCTTGCGAGAATTTGGGGTAACTTCGACACGAGGTTTATGAAACCATTACTCACGCACTCAAGACCCACGTTATTAGAGACTTTACCCGTTTGCTGCACACCTGTGGCAAGACTGCTTACTACTACGCAGCAAATGACCCAGGTTAGTTGCTTTTTATATCCATAACGATGATTGTGTTTTTTTTTTAATTTTTAAGTGCAGAGAGTATTGATTGAGCTTGGGTGGATGCTGAATAATAAATAAATTGATTAATTTATTTTAATTATGAACGGTAAATTCTTTGTGATGAAAAATTTTACAACAGTAAATTACAATAATTTTTTATCATAATATATGTGGTGAGATTAATTTGTTTAATTACAAAATTTCGTAAAATTATTTTTTGTGAGGAGGGGGAGGGGTTCAGAAATTCACAGTAATAGCAGAAAATCGTACGTGTTATAAAACTATTTACATTTCATACCTGAAGAAGCAGTGTTCTTCGGTAATGAAATTGTAAAGCTTCAAATATGTTTTCTATTCTTTAATTTCATTATTTCTATAAACAGAAAAGTAAATTTTTAAAAATAACCACGTCCGTTCTCGATCCAAATCATAAAACAAAAAACATCGCGTTCACGAGCTTAACACACCGCTTCGTTTACATTTTCTGCTTCGCCGAAAACAAAAATTCTGCATACAGGATGACATGGGCCATAAAATCGATTCAGATTCGGATCTATGCCTGAACGATTCAGAATTGGAGAGGCGACGCCGTACAAATGGTCAGCCGGTGAGTTACCATCAGCCCACTCTCAACTACACTGTTAATCCGTGCTATCAGCCTAATGCTCCTGGTCCGGAGTCTAACGCCAACGCTACCGTTAGGGCTGACGAGCCTTATGTCATTCTCAACCTTAACAGGCATTAAAAACTTGTCGCATAACCTTCCCTATTTTTAACAACTCATACACACGCTATTTTATAATCGTTTTTGCCACTAATGCAACCATCTCACGCAAAACGGTATTTTTTTTTATTTTAATGGATATTATTATTATTATTAATATTATAACCATTTATTCTTCTCTTTATTTTATCTTAATGTATTTTTACCTACTATACGAATGGGCCTTACTTTTTGATGTAATCAGAGTTGAGCATAGAATGGTCTTCTGATTGAAAATGTTTTTGGCCTTCAAGAGTATCACGCTAGTCAGTAAAAATATTTTTGTGAAATATAATTATAACATACTATTGACGTTTTCAATCAGCAAGGTCAGATTAATTACAATTACATTACAACATTCGTAATTCTTGTATTTATCTGTACACGTGAATTGAAACAGATCAGACTAGCGCTATTCGATTTAACTTTCGGTTGCTTGCGCAACATATTTTTTTTGCTCAGCTCTGAATTGAAAAAATTGTAGCTTTGTAAAAAAAAAGCCGGTTTTTTTCTTGCAAAGCTGACAATTTATTTGAATGCACATCAAACTATACTAATAACATAACAATACTTAATACGTATTATTTTGAACAAATATGTATTGCCAAAGATAAACGCAGGTACAATTTTTCGTGTCGTGTGACTAAGAACAATACGAAGAAAAAATAACGACAGAAAAAAAATATATATACAAATAGTATATTTAAAAAAAAACTGTACAAAAAAATGATGCGTGAGTGTATTCGTGTTCAACGATCAAAGCTGTGATGAAAAGATTACACTTGTAAATATCGTGCGAAGTGCTGCTCGTTGTTGCTACTGTATTTATCGTGCAAGTGATGTATATATTACAGAAACGTCTGTTTTTTTTTCTTTGATGTGCGGTAGTATCCTACCCCACCGAGTGACGGTGATATAGTCAGTACTTATATTTCTACTAATCAATTAACACCACTATTAAACAGATAACAAAATCGTGCATTGAGGCATTGCTGCGATGTTAGTAGCAGTATCTTTCGCTTTTTACCAAATGAGTACGTCGCTTGTTGTGATGTAGATATTTTTTTTACAAAGTGCGAATAATTTCACTTTATTATTGACTTCTTAATAAAATATAGTGCATGGCATGCGCGAACAAGTGTGTATCAATTAATCAATGCCAAGACAACAGAAAATTCGACCTACTTTGATTAATCTTTTTCAATATCTCATTTAACACAAAAACGGAAACTTGAAAATTATGTTTAATGTCTGTTGACGAAAAAAAAGGTTCAAAAGCTTTATAAAATTAGCGTGCTTTGATATTTTGTTTGGCCATAAAGAGAATTCAGATGTTATATACCTGACTAAATCGGTCCTTTGGACTTTGTTTAGGACAAAATGCACGTGACCATTGACGAGGAGCTTGCTGGAAGTTTCATCGCCGAAGAAGGATATATCCCGTTGCGAACGCTATAAATCTTATATGATATACTTGTAACGAAGAATTCGAACGTAACTGTGATCTTTTTTTTCTATCTTTCGTATAAAGACTTCTCGTGACAACAGTGACTGACGAGAATCTCAGACTAAGATATTAAGCATAATTTTCCGCCGTGTAGTGTGCTACATCCATCACATAGTTTACTTGTTTTCATGTGAATTTTTAAGTTTTTCACGCTACCTATGTCTATTCTTCTTCTTTTGTATTGTTAGAGCGATAGCGATATGCTTCTGCATGATTCTGCAACGGAGCCGCTCTTGATGGATTGGTGAGCATTCGTAGTTCGACCCGAGTTCCTCCAGTGATTTTCAAGTTCCGTTTAGTTCTAATTTGTTTTTGCTTTTTATCTAATCGACTTGGAAGTAGCTAACTTTAATTGTACAAACTGTTTTATTCTGCTGAGGGAGCCTTCGCTAATTTTCTTTTCATCGGCACTCGTTCATGACGTTTCACATTTCCTTCGATATGGTTCCAATAAGATACTGCATTAAAGAAAATCTAGTATATCCTACTTTTATTGTCACCAGTCAGTTTTTAAATCGAATAATTTTTAAAAGTTAGTAAAGGCTTGCTTTGACAATTAATTTTAATGACTCAATTTGATATTGGCGATTTTGTGATCGCGAAAAGAAAAGAAAAATAATATAACCTAACTATATAAATAGTTAAGTTTGTAAAATCACATCTTTAGTATCGTATTTAAGAAATTTTAACGTAACAAAAGTAATATATTTAAACAAATTGTCCAATTCCTATATAACGTAAATTTGTTCCTCTACACTATATTAATTAAATAAGTTCCGAGCCAAAGCATGCTATATAAAGCGGTTCTCAACTGTCTCCTTCACCTACCTTTTGCACTACACGACTTTCTAATTCATTCCCTTCTAATTCATTCGTCGTAAAGTATCACAATACGCTCGCGTATATATGACTTATAATTTTTTATATATATTGTTTCGTTCACAGACACCTACAGTAAGAGGCGTCACAAACAGGTCACACGTGTAGTGTCCGCAAGGTTTTGTTGAACAAAAAAAAGTTCTTCGATGTTTTTGTGAGTTTTCTCTCTATCTATCTTTATGAGTTTCCTTTTCCTTTTTCTTTTTTTTCCTACACGTTTGCAATGCCACGTTTTTTTAAGTTTACTTAACGAAAGAGAAAATGAAATCTGTGTTATTTTTTCTCTGAAAAAAACAATTGTAGTGTCATTTTGTCAGTGGTATAAAAGGATGTTGAAAGTTTGTTATAAAAAACACGTTACTGCGTGCAATATATTTATTGAATGCGACAATCTGAGAGTCGATCAGTATTATGAGAGTTGCCAGCTTCCTAACATTGTTTTTTTTTCATTTAACAATTGGCATAATTAATTGCAACGAAGTACCTATACTAAGATTGAAAAGCTACTTTTTTTCTTGATAACTGTTTCATTTACTTTGTAAATCATAATCAACAATGTATGAGAGTTCTTTCGTCTTACAAACTCTTCATTTTAATCTTACTTTTACAAGTTTTTGATAATGGGATAGAAAGAATCCAATAATATCTCTGCTTGTTTTGTAGTTACTGACCATTCTCTAGTATAATTAACACTATTAGCACTCCAGTATAATTAGCATCATTATATGATATTGATTTTAAGTAAGAACAAACACGATTGCCAATATATGAAACGAGTAACTTTTCAATCTTAAACTTATATAATCCAGAATACAGAACAAAAGTCATGGTAATAATGTATCAAGCGCATCTCATATCGAACGCAGTTGTACATCGAACAAAAAAAGATGAAAAAGAATGGATACAGGAAGCCAAGCATAACGATATTATTTGTACGGTTACCATGGGACAGCTGGGAACTGCGGCGAGAAAAGTTTGGTCCGGGACCACATTGTCATCCTGTTGCCAAACTAACGAGGAAAAAGAATCGGCAGATTAATCGATAAGCGTAACAAGCGTAAATTTGTTAAATGATTGTAGTTAGCTAGTCGCTAGTGTGTAGCTTAATTTTTACCATCTCGACGGAATACGCCTCCTTTTCATCTCAGTGCTCGATGTACAATAAATGTCGGCAAAAGTTCCGATAACATTACTTAACACACACGTATATTTGGCTACTCCCGAGAGAACGAAGGATGATATTACATTGATATTCATCGCGGCTGCTTTGTATTTGCGCTCGTAGATATTTCCTAGGTTTGGCTGTGACCGTCGAGAATCAGCTAGAGCGATGTCAATTGTTTTTTTGTACCTTCGTCCCTTCCTTCTTCTTCGTTTTGTATTATTGTTTCGCGGAGTAGAGCCGACGGAGAGCCTTTAAGATGTTGCGTGTCTGTTTTTAAATCTGACATGCGATAGTTATGTCATAACTATTGGATTTAACGGTAACGTTGTGATATCTATAATACACAATGCGGTGTTTAATAAAAACTTTGTAAAAATATATTTAATCTTATGAGAATTGCATTTTTCAATTATATGCCCTATTTAATCCATTAAGTCATCCCAACTTGCATTCAACAAGAAATACATAATTGATGAATACCCATCTAAATTGAAACCAGCTCGAAGTCAATTAGTTATTTATGATAAGCTAATTGTAGTTAATGTATATCATTATTAATTACAATATCACTTCATCAATGCATAATTCGATAACAATATTTGTTATACAACTTTCTTGAGGATTTATTGCAAGAGTATCAAATTATGAACATTATAGGCGAAAACAAACAAATTTAGGTAATGATTATATCTTTCTGAAGTCAAGTATCGTTAATTGTCTCCAGGACGCGTATTTCTAAATTGACGATTTAGAAAGAAATTTAAACTAACAATGGGGAAAGAATTCCTTCGAGGAACTTTTATTCCACTGACTAAATTTAGGCAAAATCTAGGTGTCAGGTGACTAGTGGGCGTGATGTCTTTCATTGTAATTTATATCACAGTGACTGAACGAGAAGTGGAAGAAAACGCAGAGCATTTCATAAAAATTAAATGAGAAAAGTAGCATTCCAAGTTCTGCAAATAAAACGCTGTATTACCAAATATCGTTACATTTTATTGAGGAAATGCTTATTCACGTTATACACCTTTGTAGAAATGAAAATAAACATGTGTTTCTTGAAGCAAGAATTAAAACTCATATTGTCACCAATGACCTGCCGGTAGCGAGATAATTAAAGGATTACAAGTAAGTACTGGCACAAGAGATGCCAAATGAATATCGTAAAGTTCACGGTTTTTATTGACCTGCGTGCGCAGTCGGATGTTGAGATATATATATATATATATATATATATATATGCATGAGTGACCATTTCCCACAAAGTGAGCGAGAGTGTGCTATATAGATATTGAGTATACAACACAAAGCAGGCATTGTACAACATTGCGTCCTTTCCTTTACTAGTGTCGTCAGGTGTGGTCAAGCACGCTTCGTGCACTCATCCCTGGTTTCTATTCGTAATAATATTCAATTTCAAGCTTGAATCAAATTCAAATTATTATAGACGAAATAAAAAGATGTAAAATAGACAGCGTTCTTAAAGTAATTCTACGCTTGAAAACGCTCGCCATAATACATCAATATGAATTCGTAAATAAAAATTCAATAAAATTCGAGGATTTAGCAATAATTTCAAATCTAAATATGACTTGATTCAAGTGCGAGTTGGACAGTCGGCTACTGCGTATCGCATTCGAGATGGAGCCAATGACGGAGCTTCGACGACGCCGAGTTACTCTGCTGCATCACGCATCAGAATGAGTCAGTGACGACATATAAACATACGTAGCCAACGAACAAAAGCCAAAGTGCTCGGCAAGGTGCAAATGGCGTTTGACCAAGGAGTCGCGCGGACCGATGTCTCTCGATTGTTTACTGACTACCTGTCTGCAATGATTATCATTTGCGAAGCATCAGTTTCGTAACCGAGGCAAACTGCGAATAGCACGAGCTGAGCGAAAGACGCTCGCGCTACGTGCTACGATGCGCCGGCGAAACGCATTACAACGCTGCCGCCGCTGATTTTCTGAGACTGGAAAACGCTGCGCTTCTGCTGATATGCAATTTGCATCGGAATGAAAGCAAAGGCTACATTGCTTCGGGACCGACTGCTTTTTTTTGCTATCAACGAAATACGAGTATGCCTCATTGATAATTCTTTCTTGACGTCAATGACGAGGTCTTTCAAATCGATCGGGCAAATCTCACTTCATCGTTAGTCGTTTCTGTTTCACTAGAGATAATTAATTACTGCAAAGCTAATGGCGTGAGGAAGAAAGGCAATAAATATGCATTCTATCATATTTTTATTATTAAACGTTAATTAACATTGAAGTGATTATGATAATATTCAAAAGAACACATTTTTATTTTTTGCGCGTTGAAAGACGCGATGACTGCGTGATGACTCATAATAATCATGTAATAAGCGAACACATTCTCGGTGTCCACTAATTTGCAAGAAGCCATCCGACATGAAATTTCTCTCCGCAGCGCGGTTCATATAATAAGTAATTATTATCAATAGACACGCAAAAGAAAAATGGATTTATTTGTTGATCTAAAAGTTGTTCAACAAAATGGCAGATTATTGTATGGACTGATTGCCGCCAGCGGAATGAGTAACATTCTCTGATAGTTGTAAGAGACGTTTAACATGACTCTCGCACGTGCTGCTATTGCGTTGCTTTGATCAATTGTTTCAACTCAACGGTCCTCAATAATTGGGTAATACTTTCCGTACTTACGAGAGGCAAGACATATCTTGACAGTAAATTCAAGGCAGCCCTTGAGGGCTCCAGCAGCTGTAATCTAAGGATAACGTATCTGTACTGCATCTGTAATAGGCCTGTAAACTCCGGGTACGTTATACGAATAAGACGGATGTTCGTCACCATCATTTTCTCGATAGTATCGCTAAGAATGCGAAACGTACGATAATAAATCGTTGACTTGGATAATAAATCGTATAAGGTGACGGAATACGAATTGGAAATGACGTGACTTTTCAAATTGTCCAACTCCTGGCTGCAGCGTTGCATATGGTTGCTGTAAAAAATCGGCTCTTCCCGAATTCGCGCAGCGATATTCTCGTTCGCGCTGTTCACTTCTATTCCAGCAATCTGCAATTTGTAGACGTGCAACAAACACGCCTCGAGAATGTTCCTACGCACATCCACGTTTTGTTCCTTATTTTCGATGCAGTAAGAAAATGCTGGCTTGTTATTCGCATCGATCACGTCGATGTCTGCGCCGTTATTCAGGAGTCCAACGACGGCATTATAATTACTGAAACGGACTGCCTTGTGCAGAGCTGTTTCACCTGAGAACAAGATGGGTTAACTTCCAAATGGGTTGAGACAACAATAGCGTTTATAATAGGTGAGCTTTAAAATTGCTCGGATCGCGCAGTTTCAGTTTAATTCGTACTCGACGACAAATTCTTAAGTTAATAGAAAATAATTAACCGGGTTTTTTGGCTAAAAATTTCTTTGGCTACGACCATAAGGAAAGTCTGATAATACAACCGTCAAATCCATCTGAAAAAACTACTCGCTTGATTACTTTCATGCCAAAGAAAATGATAAGATTTCGATAAAACTGATGATAATTTCATTGTTTCATATTTGTTGTTCTTTCAGCGTACAAAAATAAGCGTGTTGTTAACATTAAAGATAATAAATTACCTCTGTTATCTTGAGCATCTATGTCAAATGCTGACTTGATGAATCCGTGAATGATATCCGTATACATTTTGGCAGAGCCAATTTGAAGATCCTTGTTCGGAGATGTTTTAATAGAAACAACATTGTGAATAACAGTACGCCCCTTTTCGTCTGCCTTGTTCAATTGAGAATTTGTAACTACTGTCTGATAAAGGTAAACATTTTCTACTCTGCGGTAATAGGTCGATTGGTAGCATAAAACTCTGCCTAGCAGTCCTTCTTCGTTTTCAAAATTGAATAAATTAACGCAACAAGGTTTACTTTGACTGAAGTACTGAAGAGTATTGGGCGTTATCATATTCATCCTCAGCAGCACGGCCAATGGGGTCTCAGCCCACAAATTGCTTACGTTGGCGTCAGCTCCAGCTCTGAAGAATAATCAATACTTAGAAAATGTTTATTTCGACTAGGCAAGTCGCATTCAAAAGAAATGCTTAAGTACAGCTACTTTAGATCGCGTGAAAATTCGAGTGGATAGCGTACTTGAGTAAAATTGCGTAGATGGTTTCGTTGTACGGTCGATCTGTAACGGCGCCAAGTCGACAGCGCATCGCCGCGGTATGGAGCGGAGTGTTGTCGAGAAAATCAACGGCATGGCAATCGGCCTCGCGTTTCAACAAGAAGTCGACCATAGAATCGTCTTTGTAAAGCGAGGCCAGATGGAGTGCCGTGAAACCTCCGTAATATCTATTGAAATAGCCCATGCGAGCGTTGATACGAACGCCGCGCTTCAAGAAATTTTCCACGACTTCCTTTGCACCGCTCATGCAAGCGATGTCGAAGTGGGAAATGCCAGTCTTGTTTGCAGGATTCACGCTAAAATCTGTGTGCCCAATTACTATCCAATTAAGGGCATGAAGTCCGAGCTTCAATACGTCCGCTGAAAGAAAAAAAGCAAAGACAAGCGAATAGAGAAAGTGTTGATAAGCCATCGACGAATGGAACGAGGTGAATCTCCAAACGTAATAAGAAAAGTCAATTGCAAAAGTAAGTGGATTCGGCTGCGTTCGACGATACTTTCCTGATGCAGTGAAACGACGCGTTAAACAGAGCCTAATAAGCAAATTATGAAATCAATTGCAAAATCAAGAGTTTCTAAGTACACTTGAAAACAACTGGCGTAGAAGCACTATAACCGAAGGAAACCACATCCACAGCATTCGTCGTGGTGAAAATAGTAATTGGATCGCAGCCTGCTGTTCGATACACAACTCTATTGCACAATTGTTGATCGATCAATGCAACGTATATGCTGTCAGCGATACTTGAGAAACAATTAATAGTTTCTCTTATTTTCCAACTTCAAGTTGCTAATAGTGCATCGGGCAGGAATTTTAAATGAAGCTCAAAGTATATTTGAATTGAATTTGGCGATAATTTTGCCTGGAGACGACTCCGTTTGGAACGACCAAGCACGATGTTCCATAGTTGAACTTACAATAGGACCACATAAGCTTGAAAGCTTTGTGGATCGGCGTATCTCCTTGGTTGTCTCCCACCGTAACGCAAGCTCCGTGCTTCAAAAGTGCCCTTCCAATTATCTGAATTTGTCGATACACTTCGCGGAAGCTTTCGCGCTTCTCGTCCGCAAAGCGCAGAGCCAGAAGAGCATGGAGAGGCGTGGCGCCAGGCCAAATCGGGGAATCGCTGTGAATTCGTGCATTTGGATCAGCTGCCTCCCTCAGCAGCTTGATAACCTGTTTCGTTCTTATGCCCAAACAAGCGATGTGCAGACTTGTTACCCCCGCGGCATCTCTCGACTTTTCTTCTATTTTCCTTATGCCCATTAAGTTTAGAGCGAACAGACTTGGACAGGTGTCAATAACGTCCGTCATATCGTCTTTAGAGCTGACATCCTTGAGCTGATTCTGGTCGTCGCTATTATTCAACCGATCTAAACCGCCTAAATTTTCCATTTCGAATGGGCCTGCCAAGGACTCGTAGAAAGGAATAGATCCATCATTTGACTTGGAAAATATATCCGCTCCATGTTCAATCAACACTCTGACTATGTAGATATGGCCCCCTTTCCACGCAAACCGCAGGGGCGTGTAACCGTCGTAGGGTTTTAATGCCTCGAAGGCTGGATTTAAGTTAACCTCCTTAAAATCTATTCTCGATTCGATATTCGCTCCGTTGTCAAGCAACTCCTCGACAGCTTCGATGTGGCCCATGAAGCAAGCGACTTGAAGATGGCTTAACCCGAAAGCAGTTATTCGATCGTCGCAGAACTTTTCCGAAAGTATGCCATAGTTGAAGATTTGGCTTCCGCTCAGAAGGATGTGATGTATGGGTGTCATGTCATGCGCATCCTGGGCGAACGGATCAGCGCCGTATTCCATGAGCACGCCTACGAGCTCCGCGTTGCCAGTTGCCGTAGCAATGTGCAGACAAGTCGAGCCAGGGACGATGTGAAGCATATTGGGCGTCAATTCTTTATCGGAAAATCGATACTTTATGGGGGACAATATGGGCTTATTCACGTTGGTTTCAGTCTTGAGCATATTTTCGATCAGTTCAATGTGGCTGGTAGTGCAGGCGATATGCAAGTGAGAGATCTCGTCGTAATCCGTAACGTCGCTGAGTTTCTCGCACTCCATCAACAATAAGTCGACGATGTGCCAGTTGGGCAGTCGGAAGGCCAGGTGCAGTGGCGTCAACTCGCTGTCATTGATTTGGTTCACGCTGCTACCCATCGCCAGGCATAATTGGACCCTTTGATAATACTCTTTCTCTTCGTGGGGCTCGAGTGGCGTGCTCGGTTTTGGATAATCGGTATCTTTATAAATATCTTCGTAGTTTTTAATTCTGTCGGAAAAAAGGACTGCCAAGTGCAGAGTCGTGAATCCTGGCCACACCGGTGAACCGAAAGGCAGACGCGCATACGCGTTGTCCATATAATTCATTAAAAAAGAGCTGAGCCCGGCCACCTCCGACATGGCAAGTATCAGATCGATCAGTTTCATCTCACTACTCATGAAGGTGATTCTTGTAATCCTGGGCACGATCGTTAAGATGGAGTGTAGAACTTTTGGGCTGTACCTTTGCACGCACAAATCTAAAGTGGACACTCCCTTGGCGTCTTTGGCCAAGATGTCACCTCCGTCGATCAGAAGCAATCTCAGCGCGCTGACGTTGAATATCGCTGCAAAATGAAGGGCCGTGTATCCCGGCCACATAGACGCGTACTCGCTAACCGGGAAGTCCATGCTATCGGGCCTCTCTAAAGTTTGCTCGAGCACGTGGGTGTCTCGCAAAGTGCAGGCTACCTGACGAACCGACAGTCCTATGTCGCCGGTGACGCTCTCCTGGAGCAATAGCCTGATCATTTTTTCGTTGCTCGCGAGCTCTTCTTTCAACTGCGCGCACAAGGCTCTCTTCTGAATGCGTTTCCAATCTAATATTTCTCTGTTTCGCTCGACGAGCAGAAACAGAGGGTAGCTGCCGTTGGCGTTTTGCGGTTTCAAGGCCGCATTGTACTTCAAAAGCAGGCTCGCTGCCTCGAAGGCCGAATATTTAGCGGCCACGTGCATCGGAGCGTAGCCGGGAAGAAAGTCGGATGCATCGTCGATAGCCTGGTCGACGCACGCGTACTGCTCCAGGAAGAACTGCACGGCGCGGGCGTGATTGAACATGCACGCTATGTGAAAGTGCGAGATCCCCTCTGGATTCTTGGGATTCACCGTTCTCTTCTGTTCGACGTGCGCCGACAGAACCGAATCGGCAAACGGATGCCGCTGTTTCCCTTTCATTTCGTAAGAATTGCCTTTCTTCGCGAAGCTTTCCATGGCTATTCGATGCAGAATCGTGGAGCCGTTTCCGTCTAAAGCGGTAAAGTCCGCGCCGTGCTTGATTAGCATTTGGAAGATCTCCAAATCGCGCGTGTCCAGCGCGAAATCGAGGACCGTGCGTTCGGCGACCTTGGCCAGTTTGCATTTACTCTTCGGCACTGTGTAGTTGATGTCGAACTCGTTTCGCAATACCTTCTTTATGGCTACGCTTTTATCGGCCGGCTTGTCTTGAAGAATGCTGTAGATCTGGGCCACAGTCTTCAAATTATTGTTGTCCGTTGCCATTTCAGATTTTTCGTCGGAGATTTTTCAGTTTCTGAAAAATAATGTCTCTGTGAACATTATTAACATCCGTAACGCCTCCATTGTTTGTGATTATGTCGCAACTCACGCGGGTGCGAGTGTCAAAATCATGTACGTAATTATTCGTTATTGACCCCGATCACCTCAGCCCGATCACGTCGACGGCTAAAATAGATTTCTAAAACGTGGTCAAATTGAAACTACCCTGATGGAATGTATTCTTCTTATTTTCTCTGCATCACTTGTTTAACAATGTTTTCGTAACAATTCGTGGAACAATCGATATTCTTATTTGCGAGATATTTACGAGATAAAAAACTACTTGTAAAAGTCCCACATACGAGGCTATCCTCGAACAAAGGGATTACAGCTGCGTGCTCTTGCTTGAACAAAGTACAAACCTTCTGCCAAGCAGATGTATATGAAAAGTGAGAAACAGCACGGTACATTGATTTTATAATATTTCTGCTGTACAATTCAACGAAATGAACGTTCGATCAATTTTATACTCTTCGTACTTCCGTCACACTGGAGTATCAGTGATTCCTATGATCTACAAAAAGTTTTTACTTCAAATTTTTAGCCTTCCCTTATTTACATATACCACGCATTAAGGATTGCTTCAATATAACACTTATTTCATAAACGAATCTTACATTCCACATGGAAAACAGTTTAATTTGTTTCTCACTCAACATTCGAACAGTACAATCATTTAATTACGATGTACACATTTTATATCGAGAAAGTTCATTAATTTATCGATCAAGTATGATGTTTGCATTGACAATCGCAAATACATTAGTTAACGACATTCAAAATCTAGCCTTAAAAATTCATTCTCACCTCTTTTTCGACGATTCTTATTTGCTTTTCTACTTATTCGCAGGAAGATGCTAATATTTGTCGTTCTAACTAACCGAAAATATGGAAATTTAACAGTGAATATAAACAATCTTGTTGAATCCACTAACTAACTTTTGAACGGCTGCAAACAATGCTGAATTACACTTAAGCGTATAAGCACTGAACGTAAACACGCATGTATATACATATCACGGCGCACTCAACGAGTCGTCAACGCTTCCTGTACATTAGAGAATCTTAAGGTGTTCATATCGTTGAGCCAAAATCACATCAAGGATTGAACTATGGCTATAAGTTTATCAGTACTTTGAAGTTATTTATTGGGACAAACGAGCGCAAAAATTTACAAATCGTAACATTCAATCTACGTCACCGTTTGTTGTTCGAAATTCTTCAAAGCTATATTTCATTTTTAACTGAATAAACACAACGAATTATTTCAAGTAAGAGGTTTCGAGAAGTTCATATTAAACAGAGATGCACCAGTTCTGCTAAAAGGTTTTTCTCTTTAACAAATTCATGTACAAGTGATACGCTGTCAACGCAGTGGAACTGCTGTGGCGTTGCTACGGTAGAGTATTTTAAATCTTAGTTCCTCAACGTTTATAGAATTGGTTCCAATCTTAAGAAATGCAAGGCAGGCTTTGGATTTTGAGCTGTCTCTTAACTGTGATCCGATGAAAATGTTCCTGCATTGCATCTGTCACAGTGCCGCAAACTCTGGATACGCGTACGAAGAAGACCAATATTCCTTATAAAAATTAGATCCATAGCATTGCGAGGAAAGATGCGAGTATCCAACGGAAATAATTCATCGTCTCGGATAAGATATTATACGTGATGACGGAAAGCGAACTGACAAAGGCGTACGTGTTTTTTCAAATTTGCAGACTTCTCGGGACAATGTTGCGTTTAGCTTGGTGTCGTAGGCCGCGCTGCTCATTTTTAATCTAATAGTTAGCAATTTGTAGAAATACAATAAACCAGCTTCAACAATGTTACAACGCACCTTCGTTTCGCTCCTTATTTTTGATGCGACATGTTGATTTATTATTTACATCGATTAATTTGATGTTTGCGCCTCTATTGAACGACGACATTGTAAGTACTACAATGAAGCGCTTTGTACAGAACTATCTGGCCTTTAAAATAACATAAATTATTTTAAAACAAATTAAAAAAAAGTAAAATTATCTTTTTTAGTTCCATTAGAAATAGTCGAATCTCAATTGAATTTTCGTCGAATCCCAAAATTTTTTAATCGGTCTAGGTATTCGTTTAGTTAAGATGACTAAAGCCTCGTAAAACTAATCATCCCATCAATCGGGAATAGATTTTCACAGTAAAAGTAATTTGAAATGTTACTATTTTCAATTTTTTTTCTCATTTGTTCTAAAATATAAATCATAATTGGTAACAACAGTCCATCAATAAATTCCGTAAGACGGATGTAATATAGGTAATAAAATATATTTATATTTGTTTGCTTAACGACGTATATCAAAAGCTAACTGGATAAATCCATGAATAATTTTTATGTAATATTCAATAACCAATTTTTATATCGTGAAGTACAGGTAACTTAGATTGTTAACTACTGCCTGACAAAAGAAATATTTGTAGAGAGAGAGAGAGATAAGAGCGGTAAGCCGTCTTCGAAAAGTGAAAGCGGGCCTCAAACGGCCCTTGACGTCATTCTTGAGAGAGAAATAGCTCGACGATCACGTAGCACGTCCCTCCGCATTCAAATTAATGTTAGGCAAGAGTGTATCTTTAACGGGTTGCAACAATTCGTATAGATTACTCAAACCTATCAAACTGCTCGTAATATCTCATCATTCGGGAGACTCCAGGGCTTTAGAAGTCTGCAATTATTCCGTTTCTGTTCACCGAGTGCGAAAAATTAGCGCTCAAGGCGCGTGTAAAAAAGAGCGAAGTATATTTTGTTAATTTTTTTTTTAACGTAGCTGCGTTTTCAAGCGAATCTGCCAAACTAAGTGACATTGTGAGCATGTGCGCAGGTTGTACTATACAAGGTTCTTAGATAGCAGGCAGAAATTTTATTGCTATTTTGTGAATAATCAAATTATTCTGTTTTTATTTTTGTCTGTTCGTAATTTAGTTTATCGAGTGTATAAAATTAACGTAATTTTATACGCTCAACGTAAATATCATGTGCAACAAAAACAAGGACGAAACTTTATTTGAACTTTGTTTCACCTGCTTGTTTAAATAGAAATGAATTATTATTTTTGATCTTTTAGTATAATTTTGCATCAACATATAATTTGTATAAAATAAGAAAATGAAACAGATTTGTTTTTACATTTACATTTGATCTTTGACAGGTACAAAACATTTCCTTTTTCATTTTTAATAATAAATAAATTCAATATTTTTACTAATCACTTTGAAATGATAATAAGTTTTTCAACTAGGAAAAAATCTTAAAACCAATAAACTTAAGCAATGGTAAGAAAATTCTATGCCAATAGAATATATTTTTTTTTAATTTAATTTTGTGTTGATAGATTTTCATTTTATAGATCGTAGAAAAATTCACTTGGAATATTTTTCGTTATTGCTTTACTTTGACAAAAATGTTCTAATATTTATTAACAATGAGTATATTTGTATGTAATTCAAATAAATTCAATTGGCCGGTAAATCACAGAACAACAGATAATTAAAAAATATCTTCAAGAATTTATTTTTTTCCAACATTTACGTCATAACTTACATCGTTATTACTATCTAAGACGAGTTTGGGATTACAAAAGTAAGAAAATAGACGAGGAACATTTCTTTTTGCTAAGTTTATATCACGTTCATTGCGCTAATTTAAGTTAAATACCTCATCTGACCTGATGTAATGCCCATGGAAAAAACGAAATATTGAAAATAAAAATCCGATGTAATGATCCACAATTTTATAATAAAACTAATAAAGTTATTAATACTTCCTTAACATAGTCAGTCAAAGAATATTTTGTGTTTGAAGCGTGAGTAAAAAAGAATAATGATCAAATTATGGATTTTGTTAAGTAGAATGCAAAAAGAAATACTATAAATTATAAAAGTAAATTACTAAATCTGGTTTTTGTGATATAACTACATGATTTCCTTCAAACTCATTATGATAAATCAGTCCTAAATACAACTTTGAAAAAGAACACGACACAAAGGCACTCAGCCAAAAATGTAAATTGCTTTTTTTCATAAATAAACACTTTCATGTTGATAAATAATTATTGAATATGATCACTTTTGGTTTATGCTCATGACTCTTGTGTCGTTATTCGAAATCACATCACGCCAAATAGTTGTATGTATCCTTATGACCATCAGCACGCTCCAAGTATTCCTTCTCAATAAGAATATCTATACATTTCTTGATGATTGGGACCTTAGGTTTGAACCTCGAGCTTAGTTGATTCAAAACTTCAGCAACTAGTTGTTGGTGCTTCGAAGTTTTCCGCATTTTCATGATCCTTACAATCGCAGCTTGTATCAGAAGTTTCCTATCTTCTTCAATGTGTTTGTGCATGGTTTCCTGCTCAACCTTTACTTCTGCCTTGATTGGTACATTAATGTTCACTCTCAATTTCTTATTTTTGTAACCAACAAAAAGATCTAATGGGGTTGATGGGTCTAATTCAGTTTCACAATTTCTCATAACGAGAAGTTTAGCTTTCAACAAAATCTCAACAACTTGTTGAAGCACATCCATTTTAATTTGTGTTGATTCATGCAAATGCTGCAATGTCCATGTAGTTGACAGATTATATTGTAGTAGAACAGCCATTTGGAAAGTTGAAGCCTGGAAGGAGTATCGGTTTTTGAAACAATTTGTAATAATTTCACCCTTTGACAATTGATACAGCCAATTCAATTTTCTTCCATTGTGCTGTGAACTGTAAAAGGTTGTAAATCTATGAACCGATCGCTCTAATTCTTTTGGCAGGGCAAATGAATTAGATTGTTGAAAAGGCCAAGAGCCAGATGACAAGACATGTATGCTGAAATCTAAATCCAGAGGTTCAGCTGAGTTTAAAAGATGTCTTTTAAAAGCTTCATTCAAGTCCTTTGAAACTCCAATATCTTGAAACATTCTTTGTAGTTTTGATGTGTACTCGAAACCACAAGCCTGCTTGAGCTTTGAGATCATAGAAGCTTCTGCATCATCACTAGCAGAAATCTGTTGAACTAATCTCTTGGCAAGCATTTTACTGTAGAATTTCTGATAAACATCTTTGTCTTCAATGTATTTGAAAACAATCATAACCTGGTTTAGAGTATCCTCTAATTCCGCTTCCTCTGGATTCTTGCTGCTCTTCTTAAGTAAAAGGTCACAGTATTTGGCCAGTAACTCTGGCGATTTAGTTGTGCTAAATGCTGATTTAGTTACAGCATTTGTATTGATGAACTTGCCACAAGCTTTGTCCAAAGAAGCTACAAAACCACTGTCATTATTAAAAGAAGCCAATACCATTCTGTTATATTTTTTGTGAACATCTAAGATGGTATTCACATAAGTTTTAGGATCATTGGCAGCATCATTGCCACACTTGTCGATAGCTGAAAGTCCTTGGGTGGTAATGTAGTTTTCCAAAAGATTTCTCATTTCACCTAGGCCATTAGGCACTTTGGCCACAAGTGTGTACATTCTTCCAAGATCATCATTCTTATCAGAATCCAGCAGGTTCTCAAAATCTCCATAAAGAATATCCAAGTGCTTTTCAATGAGTACCCTCTCACAAGTCTTTGCCAGCCTATCATGAGTGGCTTGGTGGAGATAAGTTTGAACGCGCTTCTCCTCCTCGTACAGCCTTTGCTCAACTTTCTTCATGTATTCGGTGACAGGATTGTGTCGAAGAAACTCTGTGCTTTCATTTGTGTAAAACCTATCGGTGTCCTCTAGGAAGTGATTCTCGAAAGCATCCTTATAGACACTAAGTGTCTGTCCTTTAGCACCAGGATCCTCCTCGTTAAGTCCCAACTCGACATAACAATTAACTACACCACTGATCAATCGATTGTTTATAGTTTCACCATTTCTTTCTCGCTCTATGAGCTTGAGGCATGAATTGGTGACTTGTCTATTGAGATGCTTAAACATCTGATCTCGCCAGGTGACCAAGGCCAACTGATAAATTTCGTAGATGCCTTTACGTCCTTCCTCGCACTCTCGTCGAACCCAGTGGCGATTGAGATAAGCGCAAACGCCGTTGAGTACCTTACTGCTGAACTGGTACTCCTCCCACTGATTTGTGTAGAAGTAGAGTACATCCTCATGCATCAAATCGACTCCCTTTTGTAGCAAGTTTACAAGATAATCCTTAAGGAACTTGCTCAGCCTTTTGTACAGCTCTAACCCGACCAATTGAGCACCACCGTTGACACCTTTATCCTTCTTGGTCGGTTGCCTAGAGTTGGCCTGCTGGTGGACGCTCGTGCAATAGTTGTAAACATGAGTGTACAGGCAAATGTAGCGAGGTTTGGCCATACTCTGACGTTTGTAAACTTGCTCGATACCCTCTTTGAGGTCGCCCCAGATTTGATCGAGATCGATCTGTTTGAGGCCAGGCACCCCACCTGGAGGACTATTGCTGCTTTGAGTAGTATGCTTACGGCTCGACATTTTCGCTGCTGCTGACAGATAATCCGGCACCACGACAGACAGAGCTCTGGTCTGAGCCTCTACCACACACACCACTTCCTTTTGAAATTCTAACCTGTATATGCCTGCAGACGCACATGCAATGCGAAAACAAGAGCCACCACGTGATGCGACTGTGTGTGTGCCTATGCGTATATGAAAGTGTGATGGCGTGTTGCCACGGACACCACTTTCTTGTCTCGCGTTTTACCGTCCCACAGCTGCTGAAATCTGCGAATTTCCAACAATGCATACGACATTAGTAACGTATAAGGCGCGCAATTGGTGTGTCGCAACGAAACACAAGTTAAAATCTACTTACAATGATCCGGGAGCAGCGTAAGAGGGTGTCAATACCTGACGCAACACAATGCCTCCCTTTTTCTCCAATTCGCCTCTTCTGTTCTCTTCCAGTCTTGTGTGTCTCTTGTCGTCAAGCTACTGCTGCGCGCTCACAATTACACACACCACCACGTTCAGCAACTCGCTGTTCTCTCTTCACAGTCTGGCTTTTCCCGCTCTCCTCCCTCCTGCTTAATTTGCGTTTCTTGCAGACAGAAAGAGACGGATAGATGTCTTATATGCACAAAGCGAATGACGCACACCTGTCGGTGAAAGTTCGCAAATCAAAATTATATATGTGCCAAAATATTGTTTTTTTGTTTGAAAGGTATGGAGCAGTGATGGAGTACGGTAAGTAGTGCGGGTTGACTCATACAATGGAACCTACAAAATCAATAGTAACGTTTTCAATGATTTCGGAATAACCCTCATTTAATTGTTATTATTAATATTTAATATTTGAGTTAACATTACTCATATCGTAATTACATATGTGGAATTACGTACAAACAAAATTTAAATAAGATATGCACAAGCAATTTTTTCATTTTGTAAATAAACAATTTTGTTATGATAACCAAAAAAATGTATACCTCGACTCTACCGAGTGAAAGAAGTGGAGCACTGCGGTTGTCAAAACTGTTAACTTAATTTATGTCGTCAAAATTGTAAGCCGATTGCAATTTAATGAATTTAGGTGTATCATTCAATGAGATTTAAATAACAAATCACGTGGTTATGCAAAAATCAATTAATGAGTTAGTTTCTTTGTAATTATCTTGCTATCAAATGTGACGCAATTTTTTATAAATAAGCGCGTATATATGTGTATATGCGTGGGATGTACGAGAATGAATCATAAAATGCGATCTTAAGTTTAGCTATATCTCTTTATGTCGGTGAGAATTGTTTTAAAAATGCGATAAAATTAAATGTTATAAATTAACAAAACGCAGTTGATAGTTTTTAAATCAAAAATATTCACGATTTTTTAATTTTATATAGAGGAGAATAGGGCACTTTCAATGACTTTTTGGTTTTTAATTTTTTTTAATAATGTTTCTCTACATAAAAATAATGTCTTATAATAGATTTTTCAAGTGCTACATCTGTAGAATCCATTAAAATGTTTTAATGTAATTTTTAATTATGAAAAAAAATTTTTCGGTCTAACTGTTTTATCTAATTAGAATAATAACGGAAGATAATTAATTTCTTTACGTAGAAACTTGAAATTCTTCCATTCAGAAACATATCTAAATTTTTTCATAAGAAAATACATTTATTTTAAATCCGGATTTTTACTTTAAAATGAGGACTCCACTTCATATAGCTATCTAGCTAAAATTTGTAGATAGGAATTGAGAATTACGGTTACCAACTCAAAGGTTCTAACCAATGTTTTGATGACAGATTAATAATGGAGCTGAGAACGTTCACACAGATTGCGAAATTTGAGGATATTGCCATGATGGCAGGTAGATCTGATGTGAGAGAAAATCCCTGATTTTACCGAAGTGAATTCAATGATGTCAACTCGAACCCAACCCAACCGCACCGCTTACTGGAGTCAGCAGGTTTGGACGCAAACGCGGAACTCTAGCACTTGGCCACGCAGCTCGAATTAGTACTATCTAAAAAATAATTACTCCCGAAAAAGTTTTTCAGTAATGGAGAATCGAACTCAAGCCCCAAGTCACTTGCGCAGCATTGGTTATTGGATTATTTAGCATTGGTTCAGAAGCGTGAACATCTTACGAATTGAGCTAACACGGCACTATTAAAATTGTTAGAAAGTAATATTCAGTTCTTATATGTAGCATGGGAAACTATAAGGAGTATCATTTGAGATCGGCCGTAGCCCCGAAAAATATACGTACATTGAATGATATTGAATCATTGAATATGCACATATTTCTCTTCGACTTTCTGAAGATAGTGGCGCTAGTCTACAGCAGTGACCCGCCATTTTCGAATGGTAGTTTTAATCATTAGTCAAAATAATGTTAACACAATATTAAAAAATATAACATATATATAAATATACATTAAGAGTTCTTAATTACAATCAAATTTATATTTATATGTATGTTAACAATTGTTAATAATTCATAAAATTGAATTCTATAGCCAGAAATAACACTGTTACGATCGTAGTCAACGCAGCCATATATTGTAAACTACATCGACAATCTTATCGAAATATTTTTTTACACATTTTTTTAGTTCAACATCATGTTGATACTTTTACAATATTCATGAATAAACTCTATTTTCTCTTAATAAAAAGTGTTACGAGGAACGGCAGCGTTAGCTAAAATTATGTTAAAGTGAGACACATCTTCATAAAATGATAAAAAATAAAGGGCTATTGCATTTTAAGCATTCAATGAGAGCCCTATTTGAACATTCGAAAAAACCGGCGTTAAATGATGGCATTTTTTTTTCATGAAATTGCTCGCATACCTGAAAGTTACAACATTGGCCCTAAATATTATTTTTTAATTTTTAGTTCTTGTGACAAATCCTTCTGAAAACATATATTTTTAGTCGAAGATTCGAAGAAAATTAATGTTTTTATTCTTACAACGAATTATCTTATTCTAATACGAGTAGAATTGGTCAAATATTTATTTTTTTAAAATAAAAATGTAATTAAAGTTAGAATTTGTTTATTATATATTAAGAACATTTTCAACAAATGAATAAAAATATCAAATTTGCGAATGACTAATTATGTCATTAATTTTAGGAAGATTTTTTTATACCTAAAATGATGTTAAAAAACATAAATATTTTTATCATAATGCTGGTTTTCCTATATAGTTAGGACTCTTTCCATTAAGTTAGAAAAAATGAAATACAAATGCCACAGTAATCTAAAAATTATGAAATTTTCAATTATGTCACGAAATAAATAGTGAGGTCAATTCTTTTCGATATCATAAAAAACTTGTTGAAAACGGTTGAATCGGCTGATAAGTTATTTTGTTTTGAAATTTGTCAGTAATGCGCCTACAGTAACATGTTTACAGAAAAATATCGATAATAATTTTTTGTACTATCATGTTTAAAAAATAATAACGTCATGGCTGTAAAAGTACATGTTATATACAACATAAAAGAAACAGACAATAACGCAATCACAAACATAACAAAAACTAAGCAGATAAACATAGCTAGTATAGTGTGAGAATTAATGACAGTAAGCATAGTAAATATTTTATTATCAAGTAGCAAAAGAAACGATTACGTTAGCAGAAATAATTATAAACAAAGCTCGTAAAAATTAAGAGCAAAAAACGATAGCAATGAATAACATAACACAAAAGGATGAAAAAGTAAGGAATGCAAGCAAAAGCGCAAACCGCAAAAATAAATATAAATAATAATTACACAGTAACGCTCAGAAAGAAAATGGCATAGCAAACGAACTGACGCTACATTTGGCGAGAAATACCGTAGGCGTTACATAAATATTTACTTAGAGTCTATGATTCCTATACCAACAGATGTCTCCATTCTCGAAAAATGTGTAACGTAAGTGTAATGACGAGATACATTGAGGGGGGGGAGGGTGACAATAAAAGAAAGACTATTAAAATTCAAATTACAATGACGATTATGGATAAAGAAAATCAATATGAATCATTTTATATAGATGTATACCCACCGGCAATGGATTCTCCACTGACGTTTTTAATTCTTTGACTGCCGAAGACAAAGTAAAAACTGATTTCAAAATTATCAACAGAGATTTCATTCTTGATATTATTACATAATAAAAATAAAGAGATAGATTGGTAATTGATAATTTTTAATCTGTATTTATTTTGAGTTCAGTAGTCAAATTCAAAACGTTCGTGCAATTGCCGGTGGGTATACATTTATTAAAATTAATTCGCATACAATATTACTAAATTTTCAAACGTATATGAATGTATTCAAGCTAAAATTAATGAGCTTTGAAAAGTATAATACTATACAGTGTACAGTAATTTGTATAACTTGTGTATATGTTATAGGGCAAATGGAAAAATACAAGGATAAGCTGTTTGAAATTTAAATCCAACAACATATCGGACATAGTTGATGTCTAGGAGGGACATGTGCGATGTGTACTGATAATGATTTAGCATTTTCTTAAAGTTTTGGTTACAGTTTTAAAATAATATTTGCATTACAAAATAATAATTGCATTCTTCTAATCGACTGAATTTAATTAGACAAACGGCAGAATCCAGCATTGTAATGAACGACTTAGCGGATAGACAACTGCGCCGTTTATGACTAAGGATTAGTTCGTACATCGAAGGAATAAACAAACGGCCAGTTCATTTCGCTTTCGGAAGACTAGTTGCAGCTATTCCCCTATGGCACATGCGCTATATATTTATACCAACTTACAAAAGAATACGACAAACAAATTACTTGATGAATTTAATAATGAACATAGATTTCACCGACAAAGGCTGCTACCAACACAATAAACAGAACAACGGCGATCCTTGAATTGTCGAACGAAATTGTTGTAATTAGCCTTTCTTGTGTTTCGAGAAAATTTTGCCGCAAAGCCTTCAGGCATATCAACTTTCGAAATTATTTGCTCGTTAATCTTGTTGATGATATCGTTGTCAAAAGTACAATTTTGATGGTAGGAATTGCGTGAACTGGCATCCTGTTCATGTAGGTCAGCTAACGTAACAATAACTAAATCGATTGATAGTTTTATCGATAATAGAATAATCCGTCCTAATAATCTTTTCAGTCATTTGCCTATATATTGGTCTCAACAACGGAATACCTAGAAGCAGTTGAATCACGTCTAACACAGTCTTTGAAGCGTAATTTGAAAGCCCTGGGGGCTAGTTTAAAGCTTAATATGACGAATCCTTAGTATCCTGCACACGTTAAATAGGTAATCAACTGAAGGGGCAATGCTGTTTGAATTAGCCGAGTATTGGACTGGCTAAGCTCATATCAGTTGTTACATGAAGTTTGTTAAGTACGATCGACGTATGTTGAGTGAACAAACGGTAGTAATCCTAGACTTATTTTGCCAGCTGGAAGCTTTCTGAAAAATTTATTCGATTCATACTGCATCATTGGTTCCATATCCATGCGATGAATAACTCAGCGGATTTTTTTGTTGACGTTACCAGTGATAATCTTTTTACTATTACGTTGTTATTTTTAGCAACCAAATACGAGGGATCGTCGTTAATGGATAGGAATCTGAGAATACTTGTTGACGTTGCAAAGCTTGTCCAGGCTTCGTTAGTAAAAATACGAAACTCGATCAACAATACAACTTAATTTCGGTTTTATCTATGAAAAATTGACAACTGCCAGTTTGTCGATAAAAAGTATTGGCACGGAGTTTTGATGTTTTTTCTGCAAACATAATCATTTGCAATTGTTAACAAAAACCACGCGCAATTTTTCTATGCAATTTGTTGTACATGTATTATTGCTCGATTGAAATAATCAAAATTTGCTCAATTGTTTCTATAAATTTTATACGCAAACAAATAAATTTTAAACCAATCATGTTGAATTCATATAGAAATAATGTTATCTATAAAGACTTATTAATTATAAGATAAGGACGCTTCATTTCAATTGAGATTTTCAAAATGCTAACACTATTTACTCTGCAAAAACTTTTGATTTACTATTTGTTGACGTTCTATATTGTAATATTCGTATACCAAGTAACTCGGGAAATTCCAAAAAAAAATTGTATCATATTAATTGATTTGAGACTTCAGTTATTATTCCCAAACTACTAAATTGGACAAATATAGTCATAACCGGTTAGCTTGGATGATGCGGTTTTCGTATGTTTTGCTTTTCTTCATATTTTCGTCAAATCTGGTTATCGCCTTACTTGCCTTGATATATCGTATAATATCAGTAAGCTTTTTGGCATTTATCGTTTTATCAACGGCTCTTGATCATTTATAAATAAAAAGTTCCGAAATATCGAATATAGTTGTTGTCACCTTCGAAAATTCAAGAACATTGTCTTATTAATACGAAAAGCAACAAATTTACCTCAATTATCTTGATGATCAACACCACAATCTCGTTTTATTAATGCTTCTATCAAATCAGCGTAATTCTCTACTAGTGACATACTTGAAGGAATAAAGTTTTAAATAGCAGTATCCGTATCATCAATTTCGAGAACTACATAATTCTTTAACTAGAGGGTAACTTTTCCAAGATAACCTTGGTCCGTAAATGGATTGCAACTGCTTATGCAACAAGTGTTCTGAAGGAAGGAAGTATTTTGTTTTCAATATTTTAATTTTTAGACTTTAATAATACTTCGAAAATTGTTTTATCGCGCAGATTGGTTATATTAAGGGCAACTCCAATACTGTAAATGTTTGAACACCATTATTTAAAAATCACTTATTCATCTATTTTCAAACAAATTTAACCAATTATTTTAAAATTTACTGTTAAATTATTTTCAAAAGCAAATTAAAATAGTATATTAAATTGACATTTAATGCTAAAAGAAATGAATGGTTAAAATTCGATGATTTAAGATTTCCTTTCACCTACATAAAAATTTGAAATGTTTGATAAGCTCTTTTTAACCTTCTACTTCCTTGAAAATATTACCTTCGAATTGGCTCCATAAATTCATGCTTAACGGCAACATGCAGTGACGTGTTGCCATAAAAATTTTGAGTCTTAAATCTGATCTGTGTTTTAACAATTTTACTATATCTACTCACCAGCTAGTATCAACAGACGTTTCGAAATCTAACATCAAATGTAAAACTGTGCAACCACAATATCGTCCCGAAAAGTCCGTAACTTTATTGACTTCAACACTGTGAATTTTCTCACGATGCGGCCTCGTTTCTGTGAGTGAAGCTAACTGAAAATATAGGTTCTAGTGATATCGATTGATTATTACGGTGATCTTTTAGCTTTTCAAATTAAATCATGTTAATTGAAATATCAGCTATGTTTGATATTTGTTTGTTTTAAAATCTTATGATACGACGGAATATTTATGCAGAGTAATAAAACTCGATAGTGCAATTCATCAATTTATAAACGTTTTCTATTATTCAGAAAATACAATTATTGTTGTAGAATTGTACAATATATTCATAAACTATTTAATGCTGAATAAAAAACTATCGGCTGTGTAGACCTTGTACATATATACAGGTAAAAACTAGACTTTTACGTAATAAAAAACGTCATGAAGCTAAGAATACATATATCTATATACATACATATAGATATATATGTATGAATAATCCTAAATCGTTCAAACTAAAATGCAATTTATTTATGTTCATCAGAACCTTCCATCATTGTTTCCGCAGAAGCCTCCTCTGTTTGAGTCTCTGTAGGTCTAATTGAGATAGAGGGAAGATCATAGAAAGGTGACAAACTTATTGCACCAGGCGTTTGCGAACATAATCTTGTAGGATTGATCATAATTGGAACAGGTACATGTGTCATCCTCGCCCTCTGTATAGGTATTAATTCAGTGCCAGGAAGAATTGGAGAAGATATTTTTGGTAAACTCGGCATCCCAGTAGGATCCGGGTTCAATATAGGATTAACCCGAGGAATTAGAATGTTGGATACACTCGGTGTCTCCACGGAATTATCATCGGTCAATCTTTTGCAAACCATTTCCATGAACTTAAGTAACTGCTCTTGCGATGCAATTGATTCTCGTTTGGCGGGGTGACAGATATCACAACTGTCTGTCGTACAATTTTTGTAATGCTCCAACGCCTCGCGAGTTAAGCTACACATAGGCGTTGGACATTTCGTAACAAAAGTACACGTTCTTATATGCTCGAGAAGCTTATTAGTAACGGAACAAAATGGTACGTAGCATAATGCGGCGATACCCGTATTTTCCGTTTTCCTACTTTGACAGGTTTGAGCGTGTAATACTGATGAGAGTTGTTGTTGCAATCGTCGACGTATAGTAAGATTTTCGTTTTCAATTAGATTTGCTTCAACTTTTTTTCTTAATCGTTCTAAAATGAGAAATATTCGCTAATAAGTCGCTCAAATTATTTAAAAATATTGATAAATAAACGGTTAAATAATATAATAATTTGAGACCTCTATCCTTAGGTTGTGGGAAAATTACTGGACGTGGTTGGTCACTCCGTTCAGATATAGATAGACCATTTAAGATTCTTGCAGCATCATCGTTTTCCAGAGCTTGTCTTTGCCTTTGAAGACTGGTTGCAAGTATATGATGCTTTTGACGTACCATTTCCAATAATTTTTTCTTGAAACCATCTAAAAAATTTCTCAAGTATGAATAATTTTTGGGACGTATGATTACTATTTTAGTTTGTAAATTTGTCTTTAAATTTTTGATAATTTAATTTAATTGCGATTATACCTGGAAATTCGTTAAAATTTCTCATGCGATTTCCAGTATGGCTGGCCGAACTAGAAGTTTTCGAGCTGCCGATCACGCGTGACGACATGCGTAATCCAGCGACTTTAGGTTTTGGTTTTTCAGCTCCTTGCTTCAACAGACGGTCACGCTCTTTGTGCATTTTTTGACATTCTTCATGCCAACGTTTTCTCTCTATCTCGTGCATTTCTGCTGGTTGATGTACATGGTTTTTCATCTCAATTTCTTGGTTACGCACATCGTCCAGTGCCGCTGACATCTCCTTAAAACCACTCTCCACTCCGTTCTTAGATTCCTGATCTTGTTCCATATTGCCTATATAATTAATTTTAACGGTAATGAGTGCTTAATACAAGTATTGCATTATTATAAGTATATTTTAGCACATTTAACGTTATATTTTATAAGTTAAGAAGTCGTATTTTTATTAAAATATAAATCATTACAACCAAATAAATCTCGTATTCATCGTTGTGAAAGTATTCGAAAAATGCAAAATGAAGTTCTATTTTATTTTAACTATTATAATGCTTGTTTAAGGGTAATCTCACCTGTACGTATAATAGAGTATAGATACGATTATACGAACACAGATAAGCAATGATGTAAATACAAATAAATTTATTTGTATTCGCTGATAACAGACGGCTAGAAGAAACACCCGACCACGACATAGTAAATACATGTGCACTGACGCTCAGATGAACAGAAAGCTAATTCATGGGGACGACCAGCAGATTACAGTCGACTATATAATTGCAACACGAACGTCATCTTCGCTATGTACAAGACAAATGGGAAAGATAGGATTATGATACTGGATTAGTAGGGTTTAACATGGACCGGTCATAGTGCAAGACAAAGTCAAACTTTAATACAGATAGCATAGCTTAACCCCTCCACATGTCAGATTCCAATATCCAGCTTTTGCCAAAAGTTGCCATTAAGTTATGAGGCCACAGAGTACAATGGTGTCTACATATATGTTAGAAAAAGCCATCTTATATGAAGAAAAATGTACATACATTGAAGCAAGCATTAGCAACTAGCAAAATCTGACTTGTCTTCTACAAAACAAGAGAAATTTATTTGATCGACTACACAGCTATAAAATCATTGGTAGAGACTTTAATGCTTATAGCTTCATATGGAACAATTTTACAAATGCTGTGAAACCAAAAAAATCTTGAATGACCATATACAAAACTCAGATTAATCGTGCTAAACAATGGTTCCATGAAAAGAATAAAGATTTATAAATACAGTCAAATAGAATCGATAATAGACATTTCAATGGTCTTAAGCAACCCATATCTTAATTCAAAATGGATTAAAAAAGATTAAAAACTCGTCAGTGATCACTTCTTAATATCAATTGAAATCTTAAAAACGATTGAAAGATGTCCGTAAACATTAAAATATACATTAGAAACTAAAAAAATTAATTGACATAACTATGTAGAAAAGTTGAAAGATAAAATCGACGAATTCTTCCCGAATAATGATATGAAATGACCTTTATACAAATCTCAGCTCATCATTTTTCATAAAACTCTCAAATTAAAATTCAATAAATACTGTTTAAAAATTCAAAACACATTTGTTAGCAATATACAATCAGTTTAATACCTAGGACTATGGTTAGATTTAAATCTAAATTGGGATGCCCATGTAAATTACTTCATTACTAAAACCATGAAACTATTAAATATAATTAAAGTTTTAAGAGGAATTTAGGAGTTAACTCAAGTACTTTTAAATGTATATTAATCACTTAATAAATGTACCCTCAAATATAATATTTACCTAATAAAAATTAAAAACCAAAACTTTACAAAAAAATCTAGAAAATTCAAAATTAAGCCTTACTGTTAACCTTAGGATATAGATAATCCATTCCAATAAATGTCATGTCTGCAGAATTTATGAATTACCCTCACCAATTAAAGGAGAGTACTTAAGAAATAAATTTAATTAAATTAGCATCCATGGGCAATAATCTTATAAGCAAATTATATTTTCTAATGTTAGTAGCACAGAACAACACATCATTAAATGAGGTAAGAAACAAATTTCCATTGTTTATGTTTTTCAAAATTACACAGACACACACACATATATTTTACAACTATAAATCCAATATTAAGCACAGTACTTCTACTATACAGTTATCACTGCAAATCTACAAATAACAGACTATAACTCTAAAATAAATCAAACAACTTTGACAACCCATATTATAACTCAATATTATTTTCATTAGATTAACTTAAAAAATTATTTGAAAATTTTAATTATTTTTAAATATATTATTTTTGCAAAACAAAAGCTTATTAAAGCCTAATAATTATTTAGATAAAAGATTTTCTATTATTTTGTTAATTAAAAGCCAAATAACAAAATAATTAAATAAAAAATAAATTTCATTTTGTCAATTATAATATAAGAATTTTTTACAGGATAAGCTCTAATTCAAATTAAAATAAAAAATAATATAACAAACATTCAAAAATAAATTTGATTAATAAAATTAATATCACAGTATTTTACACAGATGACTCAAAGATAAACGAATTTGGCAGTGTCTGTCTTTCTCTTTTTTGTCTTAGGCTCAATTTACAATAAATGGTTAAAATAAAAAATAGTGATACCTCAATTTTCACAACTGAAGCAACCATTATATAAATAAAACCATAGAGATAATACAGAAAAATAAAATTCCAAATGCCATAATCTTCAGATTCCCAAAATGTACTTACTTTCTGCCATCGGAACAGTCCACTAAAAGCCGAAAATACTAATTATATTGTACTTGATTTTAAAGAAAAATTGGTGACCAAACTAAAACAAAAAAAAACATTTAACTCAAACTGTGGTAAATTCCAGTGCATAAAAACATCTATGATAATGAACATACTGACAAATTAGTTTAATGAGCAATAACATGGAACAGGATTGAGAATTAAATTCTTTTAATCAGCTATGTTTGAAAAATACAAAAAAATAATATACAACTCTGAAGCTAAAGATTATAATGAAAAATAAGGAAAATTCAAAGCCATTAAATACTTCAGAAGTTTCTTTTCTAAAGATAAAACACACCCATGGATAAAAAATTTCAAAACAAATAAATTCAGATCTAATCACTACTCTAACCGGAAAAATATTAAGAAATCTTCAGGTGTGATTGCGGCTTCTAGTTAGAAGATATTGAATACGTAACTATTGACTATCTTAAATATAGCATCCCAAGATACACTTCAATTAATAAAATTAAAAGATCAAAAAGTACCTGTCTATAGACATAAACGTTTTGCAGAAATCAAGCGATTTTGCACCTTCTTTCACAGAATCCCTTAAAAAATCTAATTCACTAATCTGAAAGCCTTGTAATATGAAAGAAAATCAACTCCAATCCCTATCTATAAATTAATTACCATCAATATTTACTCCACCCTTAAAAAATAATACAACAGTTTACAGTGCTATTAACCAACTTAAGACTCCATAAACAACGAATATTACATAGACTATAGACAGACGCTTGGTCGCTTGCGTCGCTTGCTAACAGAAGATCAGCTCAGGTTTTAAAAGACAACACCTACATTTTTTAAGTTATTCGAAAAAATAATTGTATCATTCCGCCATTCCATAGTTCATTATTTAAACAATAAATTTTGTGAATGATATTTGTTTGTTCGTACACAAATTACCTCTTACAACAAGCAAATTAAATTTTAAATGCTATACCTAGCACCCAAGTTTAAATCAGGTTAAAATATTAGAAAAATTGACAAAAAAAAAAGGACTACGAAGATAGCCCCCGGGTTTTCATGGGAAATTGTCAGCCAAAAAGGGAAAACGGCATTAATTGCTCTAATTGTCCCTGATTAGAACGTAAAAATACGGAATGAAACAGTTTTCCCGCCATTCGAGGCATCAATGTTATTATGAATTTTTATTTAAAATTAATATTTAGCATTAATGTAAATACGGGGGATGGCGTAGGAAATTATAATCTTAATTTTAAAACCTGAACCGTAAAAATCGAATAATAAATTCTGGAGAAATCAGCTAGTGAGTAGGTAAACGAAAAATGCGATTTTCTCCTATTTCCCGTTGATTAATCGTAAATGGGAAATTACCACGTACATCAGGGGCACATAGAGCAATTAATGCCGTTTTCCTTTTTTGGCTAACAATTTCCCATAAAAACCCGGGGGCTATCTTCACAGTCCTTAAAAATATGTATAAATGAACCAATCATTATTTCATGAAATGAACTAACGGTACCCAACATGCACTCGCAAGTAGATCAATTATCTATCTAATTAAAAATATAAAACCGTATTGACCTATAGCTAAAGGTTAGGGGAAATAGTCGCAGCAGTATTTGTTGCACGTATTGGCTCGTCTACTGGGATTATGAACATGCATAACTTGATAAGGAAGTAGGAATGTCAAGCAGGTGAATCATTTTCACTAAATACTATTCACCGACAGAAAATCGTAGTCAAGTTAGTTCCCGAGTGACTTAACCAACGAACCGTGCACGTGGATCCGAGCTCAAGTTAAGTCAGACTAGACTTGAACAACGGATAGATTATTGCATGTTCAACGATGTAAAATATTATTAAAATTTTTATTTTATGATCAACAAAAACTATTATTATTTAATAAATTTCTTACTGTGCTATGGCGATACCATAATGACCATTTAGACCGTTTCCTTTAAGTTTATTTGAAAATTAATAAAACTATATATAGATAAGTTAGGTATCGATAAATTTCTGTTTTATCTAGTGTAAACACGATTGCGTGAACTAAAAAGTGATTACGAGGAACCTGTAATTTGATCTTACCTCCTTTTATACTAGAATTAAATAATCGTATTGAATCTTTAGGCCCCGGTCACGTACATGCATACATACGTCCGTACGCTTGCTTACGATGCGGACGAATCATACGATTCCAGTGTAATCACTAGAAATTTGTATTTCTAGTTACTAATACCAACAGTCGCAACAGATGATTAAATGTCACTAACTGTGCAAACAAAATACAGTTTGTTTATGCTATAGCATAAAAGCAGCAAGATACGAAATAACTTCTTGTTTAACATCGACGCGATTGTTATTTTTTAATAATTGTGCTATTGTGGTGCTATTAAGTAGGTAAGAAACATGCAATAAAAAATAACAATGATGTTAACGGTAAAATAATTTTGAAGTTAACAAACTGAATATTGTTTACTCATAGTTAGCGACATTTAATCATCTGTTGCGACTGTTGGTATTAGTAACTAGAACAATGAATTTCTAGTGATTGTACTGGAATCCACTGGTGTGATTCGTCTGCATTCGTATGCAAGCGTACGGACACATGTAACCGGGGCCTTAATCATAACTATGGTATAATTTCTCTAACTTACCGGTAATAACAGTTATTAAAAAATAAAATAATAGTTTACGTAATATTTTATTGTTTTTTCTCATTCTTTATTTTTTTTTAATCAATTGCTACGTAACTTCAGTATTTATATACTTATTTGTCTCTTATTCTGAATTAACTCCCCACCAGAAATATACGCACAAATATTATATGTAAATAGTGCGGAAACTATATGGTTTGTCGCACGAAAACTGTACATACATCCATGTTTTCCGAACGGCCACCGTACAATTTTTGTTCGAAAAAATCCATACGGTTTATTTAGGAATTAAATAACGTGCTTTCAATTTATCTTTGTAATCTTATTGATATGCAATAAATAATAGTTTATTTTTAATTTATTTACATTTTGATATGGTTATAACAAATGAACACTGCTATTAAGTTTTATTTTCAACTATCTGTCAAAATTTTACGATCATTCTAGAAAAAATCAATCCATGTATATACAAGAACATATCATTAAATTTTCTTTGAATAATTGTTCTTTAAAACGATTTATATAGTGATATACTACTTTTCTTCGTAAGTAATTCTAATATACTTACAAGAAGCTATATTATTTTCAATACTTCGTATGGAAGGACTCAATTGACACGCACGCTTAGGAAAGCATGTGCGCTTCAAGTCTCATGCACGTCATATCGAAATAATATATTTCGACATTCCGTGCGCAAAGAGTTTCTCGTTTCGTGTACCTTTACACCCTCGCTTCGCTCGGGCGTAAACGCTACATGAGACAAGAATCTAATTTCCTGCACTTGTATCGTAATGTACTATTTCGATACTAGTGCGAGAAAAAGATTTTAGCCTTGTGTAAATATATTACGCTCGAAGAAAGCAAGGGTAAAGAAAACATACGAGGGTAAAATTACTTTCTTGCACACGTATCTCACTTTATTTTTGAGGAGTTTAATAATATTAATGATAATCAATGTTTCAGGATTTCTGACTTGCCAACCACTTGAGACTTTTTCGATATACAGTTGGAATGAGATATCCATACACTTCATATTCATCCCAAGCATCCTGATCCACGATTTTCTTCAGCTTTTCATTCTCAACGTATTCTGCCGCTTGTTTCCCATCCATCTTCACATAATCGTACAGTGAAATATTTTCTGTAACCATATCCACTTTGAGTTTTTCAATTTCACAAAGTCTCTCTTGCTTTTTCCTATCCAGCTCTTGTTTACTAAAAGACCTTTCAACAGTAATCCAATCATCGTTGTTCATCCACTGTATTTTCCTCTTCATTACCAAGCGACAAAATTTTTCATTTTTTTCATCAATCTTCAGTTTCAAATCTTTTAGTTTTTGCACATGAAGATACAGCATAAGAAAGTCATTGTAATTACCTCGAAAACCGCTTCCACAAGCAACTCCAAAAGGCGTCTCATTGTCGTCGTTCTTTACATCTATATCAGCACCGACCATCAGTAACCAATTAACCAAATGAATGCTATCGTACATCTTTGAGCATGCAATGTGCAAAGCTGTTGAACTTTCCGAATCGATAGCATCAACATCTACACCAAGTCTGACAAATTTATAGGCAAAATTTTGGAGTTCACCTTTTTCTTCAAGACCCGCGCTTGTGTTAATTTTTGTCTTTCCAAATCGTTCAGCCAGCAAATGTAACGTTGTTTTTTTACCATTTTTTTGTATCACTTTGGCATTGGCTTTATTCTTCAACAGCAGATCTATTAGTCGATGATGACCATATTTAATGGCCAACTGAAGAGGAGTGTCGAACTGCGGATCATCGTTGTTAGCATTCACATCTGCACCTCGATTGATAAGTAATTTAGCCATATTCTCATGTCCATATTTTACTGCAAAATGTAACGGAGTGTATGTAGAAAACTGACGCAAGTTTTTGAGTACTGGTTGATTAATATTTTCACCAGAGTTCAGAAATTTTTTCACCAACTGGAAATCATTCATAGTCACTGCAATGTGAAAGTAAGTTAGACCATTACAATCCATCAGATTTGCTTGCTTATTTTTCATGGCTGTATAGACCAACTTTAATGTTTCATCTTCTTTTATTTTATCCAATGGATCTTTGCTTTTATCTTTGTAAATGTGATTGTACATAGCCAGATGTAGAGCAGTCATACAGAATCCATTTCGTCCATCGATGTTAGCACCTTCTTGTAATAGTAACTTCACCTTTTCATTCTTCCATTCAGTTTCACCTTCAATAGCCATATGCAAAGGTGTAAATAATGGATTTGCACGTGAGTTTCTGTTAATTAAAGCATTAATATCTTCGTTTTTCTCCAGAAGATCTTTTACAATTGTCAAGTTATCCTTGAAACATGCTAAGTGAAAGTTTGGTATGCAATTACTTTCTTCATTCTGCTGCAAGTTGATGAGAAATTTAGTTAGATTTTTAAATAATTCCAAATTGTCATGAGGCATATTATTAGTGTCTTCATCTATAGTTGTACCATGCAAACTACTAGCTTTTGTCAAGACTTTTATTGTTTCCACTCTTTTGTATGCACAAGCAAATCGCAGTGCTGTGTATCCTGCATATAGTAGAGAGTCTTCGTTTACAAACTCATCAACATTACCACCAGCTTCTATAAATTTTTGTGTGATGAATGCATTTCCTCTGGCTGAAGCAATGTGCAAATGACTAAGACCATATTTATTTTTTAAATTAATATAATTACAAGCCTCTCTTATGTAATTTAAAATCAAATCAGTCACTTCATCATAACCAAGCATAAAAGCAAGATGTAACGGAGTATTGTTACCTCGATCAATAGCTGAAATTGATGGTTCTTTGTTCAAAAGCTTTTTGATCAATTGTACATTATTCAACATTACTGCACTGTGCAGAGATATATTTGTAGTAATACAAAACTCAGTGGAACAATCTAGATTGTAGTTTTTATTTAGAAGATAGTCAGTGACATCTTTCATTCCATACATGGTAGTATTCAGTATTCCATTTTCTTGGCATTCAGATTCATTAGAAATTTCTGTTAATAACGTCATTTCCTCATAACTTCTTAGTACGTCTGAGTTTTCTTTTTGCAGTACATTCATTGTTTCAGATCTGAAATAAATTTTATCATATTTTAGTTTCGATATAATAATAAGCAGTTATATTAAAATGACTATTATAGAATGCATATATGGTACATGTAAAGACGATAAAATGATTGTGTCAAGTCAATAGAAATTATATATTAAAATATAATTCTAATTGAAGAACCTATAAATATTAAATAGTGCGAAAGTAAATACCTTTGATTAAACCAATATAATTGAATTAAGAACATGTGAGATATAAAAGAATGAAATTATAGAATAAACATGAACTAAGGATATAAATATGATCAATTGTAATTATAAATTATTAATTTTCTAATTTTATTTCCGTTTTGAATGAAGTATACACTATTCACGAATTTTAATTATTTCTTATAGTAGCATTTAGTAATGTAAACAAACACGAAATTGAAATATTTTTGACGTTGCTACCCAAACGAATCTGTTATAACGACTTTACTAATTCTGGATTATTTATGTATAAATATTAAATCAAACATTAACATCGAATCTTTAACATTAACCTTTGTAAACCAAATTTTTAAATCGTATCATGAATTTGGAATTCGAAAACTCCAAAACAATATGTTTATATATGAAGCGTTGTTCTACAGAGAACGATTCCAAAATGAACGACACAATGCCATGAGCAAAACAATCGCATGAGAAATCGAGCATACCGCAGCGACGTCATACTTTAGGACAAAATTTGAATTCGACTTTAGGTTGGAATATAACAATAAAAGTACTAGACGGAATATTTTCCTTGCGAAATCGATTTTTCTAATTTATACATCTCATAAGCTATAAAAATCCAATTAATTTTATGCAGATAAAGATTTACAACATAACTTCAATGTATCATTAGGTGTCTATTCGCGCGTAATAGAAATTAATTTTCATTTTGATAATAATTGATTTACTGCTTATAAAAAATACTTTTAGAATTACTATTTCATTTCAATACATGTTTTTATTAATATTAGTTTTTTCCACTCACGGATTATTTTTTATATAATTAATAAGCCTGATCGGTTTGTTATTTAGTTATGTCTATTTGTTTTATCACTTTCAAAATCGTTTGCAAGGTAAAAGTCTACTAACTTCTTAATTGATATCACGGTATCTTACTTTATATTTAATTGATTTCCATTACAAATACTAATTGTTTTTAAGATTAAAAAAAGTTATACTTAAGTATAGCAAAATACAAATAAATGAATGACACATTTTTGTCTAAATTTACTTATGTATAATAAAATGAAGCAATGTGATAAGTGTTGTTATTATCCTCTTCAAACTTTATTTTTAATTTAATGATAAAGACTATTGCTAAATTCATGGTAAATTTGTTATTTTATAAAAATCCTTTAAAGACATATGAGGTGGAATAATTGAATCTAAATATTTTTTTAACGAGAGTAACGATGCGTTATGACGGTAATTACGATATTGATTTGGCTTCAAATCTTTTATCGTATAAGCCTTATCATACTCGCTGCAATAGTTTGACAATAATAAACTTTGGGGTAGTAATAAAGGGTTTGTATCTTCAGGAGTTGATGGAAATGAATCACACAATGTTTGAGAATCAAAACACTTGCTAAATTCACTATTTTCTTGAAAATCTGCAAGAAAATCAATTCGTTAATAAATTATATTTATAGTGGTTGTAATGTATTCAATTGTTGGTTTTTATACTCCATGTATAATTATGCATTTACAGTACCTATATTCAAATGTTCATTGTATAGTTTTTGTCTATTGAAAATAATACTTTGTGCATCTTGCATTATGTACTCAGTGGGTGGATTATTAATCATTGAGAATTGGCCAGAAGATGTAGTTTTTATATGTGGTGAATAAAGTTCTTTATACAAAACTCCTTTTTTCTCATATCTGCCTGACCAATTATTATCTTTTACTATAAATGTACCATCATGATACATTTCTGCCAACTTTCTAAATGTAAGTTGTTTTTGAACTTTATTTGTTTTGCCGCATTTAGATGAGGTACTTTTACCAAGATTGAAATCTTGAGATTTATTAATATTAGATAGTGAACAATCTTCATTAGATTCTAATGAGATTATAGGACTTTTTACTGTGCAACCATTAATACTTTTTGGTGACTCAATTTTACTATTATTTTTACTGTTAGAGACTGCTGTTATACTTTGATGTAATATGTTTAATGAACTTTGTTGATTTGGTGTTCTAAAAGAACGGCTATCATATAATTGTGTCATTACATATTCTTCATTTTGCACATTGTAAGGCTCATTCTGTTGACTTATCTGCTTTTGTGAATTATATAATTGTGACATAATGTAACCTTGATTTTGTATTGAATTACCTGAAAAAAATAAAATAAAATATAAAGCTAATAAATAAATTTATCTTCACTCTCATAATTCTTGCCATTGTCAGCAAAATCACCTTTTTGTAAAAATATATATTGAGATCCAGTTAAACGAGTATCATTAGTACCTACATCAAGACCAGACATAGTTTTACTATCATCGATTATTGGATTAATTGAACTTTGACTTATTTTTGTTTGTGTGTGGCAAGCAGCATTCATAGCAACTGATGGGAGAATAGTTTGCATAATATTAGGGTCACATTGAACAGCAGATTCATACAAATTCTGGCTGCAATAAAACGTTTTAACTCCTGATCCTAATGAAGAGACTGGAGTTTCTTCAATAACTTTATCTGTTACTTTAATTTTCTTGATAATGTCACTATTTTTCCTTTTTCGCTTTGTACCTTTTTTCGAGATCTCATTGCTAACATCTGATAAAATATTTATTCCAGATATAGGGGTATAACTATTTTTAAGAAAATCATTCTTTCCCTTAACATTTGGTAAAAAACCATTTTCAGGGTCATATCTTGATGGTTCCGAACCTTGTAAACTCCTAATTTGTAACTGATTATCTGAATTATCTCTGATTAAATTTCTCTGCATTTTCAATTTTTTAGGCATTCTATTGAGTGGGCTACAAATTTTACGCTTTGTAAATTCTTTTTTTATTTCTGGAGTTAGTCCAAATCTGCAAGAGCAAATGGAACATCCATTTTAGAAAAAACTTTTTCAAGCAATGCAATCATTGTTTTCTCAAGCTAATATTTATATTTTGCAGTTGGCAAATTGAAAACTATTGTTAAATCAATGATTTCCAAATGTTTTGTTTTATAAAAATTTTCGATTTTTAGAGAAAGCACCATTGCAAAAGAATATATGAACTAATTGCTTCACAAAGACCTTGGTATATCACCCATTATACTATTGAATCCGCAATGATACCAGGCCTTGCCACGAATTTGCGAATCAGTCAGAAATGGTATAGCCACTCTGAGTACCGCGATGAATTTTTCAAGGCGCTTGACCCAACTTTGTGTACTTCGAATCGGTTCGCAAAATATCCGCGTCCGCCACTTCTCAATCACGTTTGGTTTACTGGTCTCAAACATCATTCAGGACATAAATTACTAATCAGTTATCGGTTTCTTACATTAAATTTTTTTCTTTTTTGTTTACCTTGATATTCAATTGTTTAAAGTAAACAAACTTGAAGGGACAGAAGAGCCGGTATGAACGTTTAACTGAAACAACTTAATTTATTTTCTATAATAGTTTGTCGAATCTGTATTAAAAGGAAAGAAACATTCATGTTTCAAGGTGTTTATTGATAGAAATTGATCGATAAAAAACAGGAAATATTCGTGAAACAATACAAGTAGCATATATATAAATTATTGCTACTTTGTGTAAAATACTAATAAGTGATTGGAACCTTTGCATTTGTCCTCTTAATCCATGTTTGATCAGAGTGGTTTCTTGACGTGAAAAATATTGACACTTTTAAGAGATCATACTTTTAGAACTTAAACAAATTCGCAGCGTAGCATTTATAGTCTCTGCTAGCATGCAACTTTCTGCTTGACGTGCACGCCGCATTTGCTGGTGTAGGATGAAGCCTGCGTGCAAGTTTGTACTTGCATTGATGTCCTCACAATTGCTTATTTTTTTGTGAATTTTCTGTTATTTTTTTAATAGAACAATTTTATGTATGGGGTGCAATTGTACGAGTACCTCTTGCTTACTTGATGCACGTACAAATTATATTGCGATAATTATTGTCATTTATATTGAAATTTCTTAATAGATAATATTTTGGAACTGGACTTTATAAACGCTCGAGGAATCAAGCGTGTATTACCTGCAAGTGCAGGAAAGTAAATTCTTGTCTCTTGAGGCGTTTACGCTAGAACGAAGCAGGGGTACAAGAATCTACTTTCCCGCACTTGTATCATAATGTACTATTTCATAGAGCATGTGGCAAAGTAGCTTTCTGCATGGCGTGTTGAAGAAAGCAGCAATTTTTTATATATAACAATTGAAATTATTTTGTTAGTTGGAAATAAAATAAAATATTATTTATTAAAATATAATAAGATATTGTTTACCATCTTCTGAATGAATTCGATGCACATGTCTCTAATTCAAATCCATACTTAGTTTTAAAGCAACACTGTTTGCATTTGAAATTTGGTTTTTTTCCACAGTGAGTCAAATGATAGTCCAAAGAATAACCATATTTGTATGTTTTACGGCATTTAGGACAGGCTATCATAAAATATATTTTTATTCAAGATATAAACTCTTATATAGTAAAATATATAGATTCAAATGCAAGATTTACTAAATCTTTTCCATTTGACAAGTTCTTTCATAATGTGATCCCTTAAAATTCCTTTATATTCAGAATAGAAAGGACAGTGATCGCAATGAAAGCTTGGTTTTAAATTGCAGTAACGTTGTACGTGTAATTTGAAGTTTTCCCTGTTTTTGCATATGCGATGGCATTGAATGCACACTTAAATCAAAATGCGACTCTAGAAGTGCAATTCAAAATACCAAATTGTTCTAGAAAAAAAAAAAGACTTACCATACATTTGAGAATCATGCATGCTTTTGTAATGTCTTGCTACATATTTCTTTATAAAAAATGAATAGCTACATTTAGAACAATGATACAATCCCTGAGGTTGGCATACAGATAGCAAATGATATTTAATGGTCTTATATGATTTACATTGTTTGCTGCATTTCAAGCATTTTAATAATAATAGTGATTGACAATTGTTACAAAAATTTTTTACACTAGGCTGATTTATTTGACTTTCTCTAGAACATTTTAGACAATAATGTACTGACATTTTTTTTAGATCTGAAATGATTATAATTTTCAATTGTTGAAATTGTTGTATTACTCAAATAAATATATAATTAAGCAACTCTTACTTAGGGATATTACATTAGAATTTAATTCAGCATCTAAAACTAATAAAATTAAAAATGTTTATTTTCTTACCCAAAATAAATAGAAATTCTTTAAAAGATTATATTACATACTACTTGCATCATTGGAATCTTTGTATTCTATTAAACTGGTATAATGAAATTTATAACAATTCAAAGTGTGATTGTTTAAATTTTGTGTACAAATAAACTGTTGACCACATGTCAAACATTTATTTTGATTTAATTTAATTTTTTCAATGTTTTGTTCACTTTCTATAGACTTTTTAATATTGTACGATTTAAGAGTTGGATGACATCTTTTTGCATGTTGCAGTACTGAATTTCGAAGATGGGAAACAAAAGTACACTCTGGACAACAATAGCAGCACAACTTAGAATTACATATTCTTATATGATATAGTATTTTACTAGCAGTTGAACATACTATGTTGCACTTTTGACATTGATAAATCAAGGAAGTTTTACACTTTGAACAAGTAGTAACATGATTTTCACATTCATCTGTTATTTTACAATACATACAATATGTTTTGTACTGCTTCTTTTGTGTACCTATAAAAATATTATTGTTAATTAATTTTTATCAAAATATGGATCGTAAATTAATTTTATAGATAATTATATCTGTCAACCTTTTTCTTTTTTCAGTTTGGTGCTCTTCACTTTGTTGGATAAATATTTTTGATCAAGAATTTCTGTATTATCTGACTCATCTATCTTTTTATCTGATTTAAAAGTTCATAGTTTTCACCTACAAATTAATTTATTTACTAGATAGAGATAATGGTCTTTTATATATATTAAGAGAAAGATTTCTATAATTACCAAAAATATTATGTTCTTCATTCCAATCGAAATCAAGTTCTGTTTTATAAACATTTTTTGACTTTGCCAATGGATTAATATCATTGTCTACAAAAACATTGTTTACATAAAGTAAGAAAATGATTTTATAATTACTATAGAATAAATAAGATTTTTTCACTATTTTTCTAATTCATTATAAACAATTCCAAAATGAAGATAATATAACTCACTTTCAAACCAAATATCTGGAAAAACATTTTCAATATTTTCTAACTTAATTTTAACTGATGTACAATTGTGCGGACTATTTTCCATTTTTCTACCAGCTTACAAATGTTTACTATCTGAGAAAAAAAAAATGTTGAATAGTAATTAGTTTTATGTTTTCGACGAATAGACTAATTTACAACTCATAAATTGGAAGGTGCTTATTAAAAAATATCTTATAATAATTTGACAATACAAAAAATTTTATAAAAAAATATTTTGCTAATCAGACTTATAAAACAATAGATATATAACGATAAAGGCATTTCACGAGTACTTTGAATTAAAGATAGAGGTTGTAAATGATAAATAGTAATAAATCTTGCAGTGTAAATATGTAATACTTATACTATTTCACAAAGTACCAAACTCAAAAGTTGTATCTAATACTTCCTGTATATATAAACAATGAAAGTAAATAATAGTGATTTCATTGTAATTTTATTCATTAATAATTAATAACATCAACGAATACAGACGCTTATACTAATAATATTCAAACTTCAAAGTCAAAATACAGTGAGAACAAAACGTTATAGAATAGAGTATGTCGTCTGCTACTAGGTCAGCCATATGCCGTATCCTATAGATAACATCCGATGTCTTACATTCGCGCATTTTTATTTGAACTTTCAAACAATATTTATAACGAAGTTTTTCTAATTACTTTAATCTTACATCTCATATTAAAGTTTTGAAAGTTATTATGCAAGACCTCTGAAGTAACTTCTACTACAAATATTTTTAGTTATTTATAATTATTAAAGTTTTTTCTTTTTTCTTCCAGGCTAAATTAAGTTTCATTTTACAGGAATTTTTTGGTTTAGGCAACATAAATCAGTTTAAATATTAATATATTACTGTCTAAGAAAGAATTATATAATATATAAGAGATATTAAGACAATTACTATGGAATTAGTAAAGCTATTTAACCCTCTCCTTCATTCTTTAATAAATTACAAAAATAAAATTATATTTCACTGGAAATGTGAATAAAGGTATAAAATAAATATATGGAAATTTACTTCTGAGCAGAAGGTTTCCTGTGTTTTAAAACCTATATCACTGTCAATAGTTATCATAAAAATACTTGTTTTAATTTTAGAGTTAACATAATTGTTACATGTTGCATCAGCAATGCTTAAGGTTAGTATATGGAGAATCGATGAATAAAATAAGCAGGGGGGTACCCTTTTAGTATATATGTAGTTGAATAACATTCAATTATGCAAATTTATAAAATTAGTAATATGTGTATTTCTGAATTCCACAAATAATATGATGTAAAAATGCGCTAAAGTAATTTACTGACTTGTAGTTTTTAAAAATGTTCAACAAATTTATTAATATAAGTCTACTTTCGGACTGCATCTAGATATGGATACTGGATAGATAAAATGTTTCGTTTCAATTTTAGCCGTACTGAATTTAATTACGTTTGATGAATGATTCTACAACAATGTACACTCAAGATATATCATGTACTTCGTCATACTTACTGAGTATAACTAAAAGATTATCAATGAAATTTATTTATATCTTATCAGGAACTTGATATTTTTGATCAGGATTGTGCCTGTTTGACATTTCTTTATAGATTAGATAGTACAAGTGAGGCGTATGTACGTTGCTTGATAACGTTATAATCTTGCAGGTGGTAAAATCTACTAGCATTAAGTTATCGTAGTTATGTACATACATTTCGCTCATTTAGACGAAGTATATATATATATATATATATAACTTAAAGCTTCATGCTGAAGCATAATATTTAATCATTTGAATAATATTTATTTGAATCGATCTGATGTGGTATTGTGGTGATTGAAAAAGAGATTACTTATAAAAATGGCAGCTCCAAAATCAGCAAAGATTGTGTTTACCCGGTAATAACGACAAATGATCTGACGTGAACAAAGGTTGGTGAAACGTTTACGTTTGTTTCGTACATAATATTGATTCTACTTAGAATCTCATAAAATGTGGCTTGAATCTTTTAAATACTCTATAAACAATTTTCAAGCAATTGAATTTTTGCAACTTTTAAACTATTTTTCGTAAATATTCTAAAACGTACAATATTTTTCAGGTTTTAGAAACTTCTTGCTATCCTTTGCTGCTATCAAGGATCGGAATAAACGAATTTTCGTAATATTGTAGGTTTTTAGATCGATTAGAAAATATAACTTTAGTACACCTGTTATTAATTCTCAAACAGCGTAGTTTTAAAGATTGTCGTTAAAACAGCTGCAACAGACATAATTTTTTTAAAGTGTATGCTCTAATAAATTAAGAGCATAACCATAATTTTAAACGACTTTGGTACTGCAATAAATACAATTAAATAAGCAAATATTATTTATATTCCACTTTATATATTAGTTCGTTTAAGCATGAATAAAGTGTATCGTTAAAATATAAAATCATTTTGGATTTAATATTAATGTTACTTTAATAATCTAGATTGGATGAATACGGCCATAGATATAATATAAAACAATGTCGTCTACACTGTGGAAAATAAGAATTATTGCCTCGCAATGCTTTGCCGCATTGCCAATCTATATTTTAAAATTTACTTATGGAAGTTTCGTGGGCCTCACCTTGGTGCTTTCATCTCAACAAGAAGAAATATCTATGAATTCCATTCATAAGAAACTGTTTGGTGATTATAAAAAATTACGAATGCTAAATATGTTATGAGCTCTTACAGTCAGTAAAATACGTGTAGAAGAAAATCCAAAAATAATTTCAAAAAAACATTTTCATCAAGAATGTTTTCTATTTATACTGTTACTTGATTTTTGTTTGTCTTTGATATTATTGTTATTAATTAAAAATAGGTGCAAAGGCTGTTCTATACAAAAGAAAGATATGTGCACGCGTGCGCGCGCGCGCGCGTGTGTGTATGTGTGTGTGACTTTATTTTGAGATCATAAATAATGACAAGAGTTTATTAATCAATATCATTTAATAAAATATTATCTATCACGATGAATATAGCTGACTGTCGAATCTCATATTTAAAAATTATTTGAAAATATTTACATAGTGAAATTGCAAATTTAATGTTTGTGAAAATGAATGATTTAACATTTTGGTAATATTCGTTAGCTTATGTCAAATAAAATGCGTACAATTCACGAACGAAAATCATAAAATTTTCCAGTTAACTATTGTTACACGCAACCGTTTGGATATATCCTTGGTGGCATACTGGGTCACATTTTTGGTAGTCGTAAAATATTCCTGGTAGGAAATATTATTTTCATCTGTTCTTGGCTCCTTTTTCGTTCTACATCAACAGTTGAGATGTTGTTGTGCGCACAATCGATAATTGGATTAACAACTGGAATGATTGAAGGTCCATCTTATACCTATTTGGCAGAAATCACTCAACCACTTTTTAGAAATACACTCATGGCAGCGCTGGACTTGTCATTTCTAGTTGGAACTTTATTCTTCGTACTTATAACAGAAGTAATGCATTGGAAAAATATTGCATTGATAAATTTAGTCTTTCCCATCATTGGACTATCATTGATGTTTTTCATACCTGAAAGTCCATACTGGCTAGCAAGTAAGTTATTTTCCAAAAAAGAAAAATAACATTTTAACCACAGTCATTTTATTAATTTTAACAAATATTTTTGCTTTCAGATAAGAATCGTTATGAAAGAATTGCAAGATCTTTATCATTGTTTAGAGGATGGAAATTTTCAGATAGTGTAAAGGCTGAAAGCTATTTGATAATTAATAACGCTAAGAAAAGTCCTGCAATATTGAAACATTTTTGTCAAAGATCATTTTACATTCCGTTGTTAATCGTATTTTTTACGCTACTAGTGGATACTGTTGGTGGATCTCAAATTCTGCTAGTTAATTTGAATAAAATTATGAAAGAATTAAAATCGCCAATCAATAAATCTACTGTAGCCATAATTATTATGAGTGGACGAACTATTTGCGCGATAGTTTGTACTCTCAGTATTCACATTGCTGGCAAGAGACTCCTTGTATTTGTCTCTATTGTTACTGGAAGTATCTTCTTAATTATATCGTCAATTTTTGGATTTTTAATTGTTAAAGGTAAGGTGACTGCCGAAGCTTACTTTTGGATACCATCATTCACGCTAATAGTTTCAATTTTCACATTAACTACGGGAATCAGAAATGTTTCATTAATATTAAACAGTGAAATTTTTCCAACTAAACTTCGCCAAATCAGTACTGGCATCGGATTTTTCGTTAGGTATATTATGTTGTTAATTTTACAAGCAATTTTTTTGAGCACAATTGATAGTCTGTCTGCTCCCGGTATTCTTTTAATATTTGGTTTTATCAACATTATTGGATTCATTTTATTGTATTACATTTTTCCCGAAACTGGTAATCGATGTCTCATAGAAATCGAAGAATTCTATGTCGGAAATAAAGTCCAGAATAAAAATTTTAACCCAGAATAGAAGACTTAATTTATTGCTTATTTTCCGGTTGAAGAGAAAAAAGACTGATGTTTAAAATGTCTGAGAAACGATGAAAGATATCTCAATGAAGAAACTGTACGATGTGCGTATATGCAATAAAGAAAATTTTATTATACTTAACAACTGAAATGTTTGTTGAAATAATTACTCCACTAAGATTTAAAAAAGCCTAGTATTTATATAATAATTATAATACATTGTATAAAAAAAATATTAGTAAACCTTCATTTATTGGAATATTTAGCTTCTACAATACCAAAGAGATTCTCTATAAATTGTAATATGTATGTACATTTATTTTTATTGAATGTGTTACACAATTACTATATATATTGAGAAAAATATAAAAAAATCCTACTTCTCTCGTTGAAAAATGTTAATATAAATTTAATGAAAATCTGTTAAATCTTGATAAAAATATGATGAAAATGTAATGATTTTTAATGAATCGCAATCGCTCTCGAATAAGTTCTTATTGAACTTGATTCATGATGGATGTTCGATGAATACGTGATGAAACCTTGATAAAATGTTCTAATTCTGTCAAAGTTTATAAATACAATAAAAACTTATAAAAACTAAGTTTAAGTTTACGATTAGGTTGAAAATAGCATGAAAAGGAATTTTGAGTGTCACGCGCATTTGTATGTGTGACAACACAAATTTGTTAATTATGCATTTCGTTTATTTTTAGAATTTTATTAAAAAATCGTATTTAAGCTAACCAAAAGAATAAAAAAATAGTGACGATATTTACAATTGTTAAAAAAGTATTCTATTTGATTAGCAGTTTTTACATTTTAAAGCGATAAATAGCAAAAATATAACCATTTATAAAATAATGCGTAAATATTTTCATTATCATGAACGCTTATGTAAATCAAGGCTTATCGTTGTTATTTACTAAGTTTTACAAATTTGTTCTAAAATAGATGTTACATATTAAAGTGCAGCATCTTCGTGAGATTAACCAGTGAGAGCAGATATCGAAAAGTCGATTGATTATCCATATTTTTCAATAAGTATATATTATTTAGTAAATGTGTATTTCGAATTATAACATTTATGTGAGTGGTAATTTTAATGAAATATTTTTAAGAATTAAATTAAACAGTAGCTTTTTATTTTTTTACTGGCCTAATTTTACGACGCCTAAGATGTACGCATTATTTATAGCAGCATATTCTAATGGATTCTTTAAAACTCGCGTTATTTGAACATTATTTCATTCGTAAATTGTCGTTAGAAGGTTATTCAACTTTGAAGCGCAAGATAAATGATCGGTGAAATTGTATGTTCAGATCACCCATTTTCATCAATCTATCGATAATCTTATGAAATTAAAGTTATTTCCAGGAACCTCTAGAACTTTATAATGTTATATCCAGTGAGAGAAATTATTCTGCTGCTGTGCATCATCGCATCTTCATACGTATTTGCTCTTGAAAAAGCGAAATTCAGCAAAGAATTATCAATCAACGTACCAAATTCGATTACTCTTCCTTATGGCAATCAACTATATACAGTATCTAAAAATCGATCACACGTGAACATCGAATCTATGGATGAAAATTACAAGCCATGCGCCATCAGAGTCGACGCGTTCGACGACTTGATCCGCGGCAAGATGCGAGCTTTTAGTTTCGACTCGGAAATCTTTTTATGGGGTGAACGTAGCAAACAGATCGCCCGCAGCGCAACAAAATTCTCGAATTACACACTTTTGTTGCTGAATCCAAATACTTGCAATTACTTGTCGGCATCGATTAACGAGCAAGACGAGATGCCGGCAGTTGGCGAGCAATTACCCGAGGTCGTAAACTATGGCGACAAATTTGACGTTTTCTTTCCTAGTTTGACAAAGTGCTCACCATGTCGATATAATCAGTGGGGTGTTAAAGATGATCCTTCGCAACAACCGCTGAATAAACTCAGAGCCGAAGAACCGCATTCCTCCATATTTTTTCACATACGTTGGATGAATCCTGGCTACTTTTATGTTTTTAATTTTGAAAATGGGACTTCCGTGCTGAGATATTTGGATCAAGAATTTTTCACTCTGAAGGAGAAGTACGTTGATCGTACGGTCGACGTCATATCAAATACCGTCGTGAGTATCAATAATACTACTGAATGTAAGAGAAGAATGTTACACACAAAATTATTCCGTAGAACAAGACTCGAAATGTTGGTGTATGCTATAGGAGATCCCATCCAGTGAGCCCGGAGATCTTTTGCACAAAGCTTAATTCGCAATTGCATTCTTTGGATTTCTTCCGAGTACCTGTATCAAAAAGCTCCAGTGTGTCTAGCATGTCGTTCGAATACGACAAGAAAGGCCATTCGTTCGTTGGTTTGGCAGAGTACAAACAATACGAGCTTTTTATCTATGATAAAAATGGTCAACTTGTTAAATCTCTTGATTTTGGTAAAGCTGTACCAAATTATCTGCCCTCGGAAGTACACGGACACGTCGTTGGCAACCAGTATTGCCTTATCATTGACGAAAATCAGCTGGATGCTGTTGCGGCACAACGAATTGTCAAGTGTATTGATATCAATAAGTACGTTGCGTAAGAAAACTCTAATTTAGCGTTTTGTACATAATGCCTCGCAGAAAAATATGTTTACGTAGAATTTGAAGTTGGAGGCACATATCAATACAATTTTTAACATCAGTGTTTATATAATAACGTTGATTTGAAATTTGATAGAGTAGGCGAAAATGGGAGAGTATGGACCATCTAAAATTTTAACAAACCTGTAAATTAGGAAACACTTAAAAAATTTTGAAAGCCATCGTATTTGTCAGTCCTTCAGTAACGAAATCCTGCGATTAATTTTTTTCTAAACATTTTTAAATAACAAAAATTTTTATTCTACACAAGTATCCGCAAACGCGCTTTTGACATAGGTGGTGGTATGACGGGCTACCCAAAAAATTGTTCCACAGTTTGTATAAAATGATAATATTATTTATTCTTAATAGATATTTATACTATAAATTCCCCTTATAATTATTTGAATTATCGTGATTACACACAAATTTATTTTGCTATTATATCTAATAAATGCCTATCTTCCGGAATAAACTCATCATAAATCTATACAGTATAAATTTTTTCTGCTGTTAAAAATACCTGTATAAATTCTATATTAATAATGCATGATAACTGATAAGATATTGATAACTTGTAAAATTTATGTAAAATTCATACAAAATTCGTATACATTTCGTGCCTCGATTGTCCGAAAATTAGTATGCAACATTTGTACGAATTTTGTATGGATTTCATATGAAATTCGAATAAATTTTATCGGACTTTCATAAGAATCTTATTCAAATATTGTTCTTATTTCCAGGGAATATATTATATCATTAGAATCAATAAAAAATGTGAAACCTAATTTTTAATTAATGAAATTACTATTTAATCATTTATTTACTACATGATTAAAATAAGCATGGATTCTTAATGATTTATTTGATTTTCATAAATGTGAATTACAATTGCATTACTTAATAAATTCTTATACTTGTAGAAGATATCAAATTAAGTAATAAAAAACTAAATAAAAAATTCAACGGATAAATATACTATCTTTTTTAAAACATCATCAGTATAAAATAAATAATAAGTTTTTCTTGAAGGTTTTCATGTAAAAATTTGTGGCTTGATGTACGTAAGCAACTGTACTCAATCAATAATCATATAGAAAATATAGATAACATTTTACCGTAACGAAAATTGGTATTTTTATACAGATTGTGGAGTTTATAGTTGACAAGTGGTAAAAGAAAGAAGATACGTCATATAACTTAGTTGAAACAGAAATTGTTTTTAAAAATTGCACGAAAGTGAAAAAAATCGTGAAAATTCACGATTAAATAAGGATTATAAAAACGGATGATATTTTTCATATTGCAATTTGTGTAGAGTTGTCAAAAAGTAAATGTTAGCGAAATACCTAATATGCTCAAGTACTAATGTTTCAATTAATTTGTTAATTAATTTTTAATAGTTCAATTAATATTAAATGATAAGAGGAAGAAAGTATTAATAATTTATATATCGTGAAAAAATTTATGTATCAATAAAATATACTTTGTTTGATTGAAGCTATTGCTTAAAGCTGTTGCTTAAAGATTGAAGCTTAAAAATTCGATAAATTTATAGTAGAAAAAAATGGACATAAATTTACTCGTATTATGTATAAATTATATAAGATATTTATTCGAAATATAAACTAAATTTGAATTTGATGCCTATAAAATTTATTGCGAATTTACGTGAAATCCATACAAAGTTCGCACAAATTTTGCATACTAATTTTCGACCAGTTAAGGCATGAAATTAATACGAATTTTGCATGAATTTTATATAAATTTTACATAAATAACGATTCAATTTTTATGAATTATTAATACAGAACTCATGCAAACATTTTTAGCAGGATGTTTTCGCCGTTTTTTTCCTTTCGTTTTTCCGTATAGTGATTTCAGAACTAGATCGAAACTATTCAGGGTCACATGAAAATGTCAATAGCCACGGTCAAAAAGTATATACCCTCTAAAAAAAGTCTAATTTTAGTTGAATCTACAGGAAGAGACGTGCATGCCGAGGGCGAATTAGTTCCTGGCACGCGCGTCAATATCGTGAACGCGATCCTGAAAAAAGGTTGCTATTGGTCGGTCTGTCGCGCATGGGGTTGTGAACCGCTGTTGGGGAGAAAACCGACCATGCGACGCTTCGTTTTAGTGCTATACAAGCATCGCCGCCGCTCGCAACATAAGCTTTTCTTGTGATACACAAAAGAATAATGCTGCAAAATGAGATATCGACGACGAGGAAAACGCCCGATGAAGGAAGCGATCCTTCAAGATCGTGAGATGGTGAGTTTAGTGTAGATGCTGTTTATTTAAAAAAAAACAGAAGCACGATCAATTGTGAAATTGATTGTGAATAAACATACTAGTCTATCATGCATAGTACGAAAATCTCACGCACTCATTTTTAATTTATACACCTATTGTAGAAAACTGAATAAATACATAATAAATACATAATTTTTTTCGCGTATATTTGGGGATTATTTGTACGTCTCAAGAGTTCATATTAAACTTGTGTGAATAAGTTTGTATATAATTTGTTTCGCGTAAATATAAGGACATTTGGAACTGGCAAAACTTATCGAATTAAAATAAAATAAGGCGATAATATGAAATATAATTTTCAGAAGAGAGCCGAGCAGAAAACGGTAAAGAGCAAATGGATGGCGAACAATTGAAAAGTAAGAGTAATTGAAAGGACAAAGAATACTGGAAATAGAATATATACAAGCGTAGCATGAAAAATTGATCAGTGGCGTGCACGCCCAGTGTGCCATGGTCACAGGCAAGTGAGTCATAAAGCGACCTTTACACGTGCGAAGGTACAATGTCAACATCGGAGCCTTGGACAGAGCGTGTAGGATCTTAGCCTAGAATTCCGCAGCCATTGATCGACGTAGCTTCCACAGGCGGATCGCGCGCGATGAATTTGTTCAGTCCGAAGAAGAAGAAACTCGACGAGATCAGTCAGTCGAGGAAACTGATCTATGCCACTTGCAACGGATGGACGAACTCGGTGGTGGAATTGGCCAAGAGCGGAGTGGATGTGAACGTCGAAATCGAAAGTGGAATAAGACCGCTGCACATTGCCGCGGTATCGGGCAATAACGCGACGCTCAAGGCGTTGATTCGATGCGGAGCCGAGGTGAATTGTCGGGAAAACAATTACCTGTCGACCCCTCTGCACTTTGCCGCGGTAAAAGGGAACGTGGTGAGCGTGCAGGACCTCATCAAATTGAATCGAGAGATGGCCGACCGAGGCTGCAGCTTTGCCGGCGAGATATCGCTGTCGGACAGCAGAACCTATTCGGCAAGTTACGAGGCTGTGATTCTGACGCTGGCGAGGAAGGGAGCCGACTTGAACGCCAAAGACGCCCACGGAAAGACGCCGCTGCATCTCGCCGTGCATTATCGTAGCGACGCGGTGAAAACGCTTCTGGGACTGGGCGCTGAGGTGGACGCACAGGACAACGCAGGACGTTTGCCTTGGCATTACGCTCTAGACTATAACAATTGCGAGGGCCTGCGATGGCTGCTGGCGTTCGGCGCAGACATCAATGACATCAATATGTTTTGCCAATTCGAACTCGACAAGATCAAGTACATTCTGACGCATTACTCGGACGTAAAGTATCTGCTGTTCGAGCAACTGACCAGGCTGCAAGCAGCCGGACTCTTCATCTCGAGGGTTTACGCTGCGCACCTCTCTAGCACGGAGATATCGCAGAGTTACTACAACGAGTGCGTCGAAGAGGTGAGGAGAATGGAGTTCTACGAGATCGACGATGGCGTGTCGTTGTTTGATCTACTGCACATGAGTCCCAGGCACAAAGTTGTCTACACGAAAGCTTCGGATAAGACCAAGAGTATGCTGATCAAGTTCGAGACGGAGTTTCCCAATTATTATGGCATCATTCGTGCGAGCTTCTTCGACGAGAATAAGAGAAAGCCGTTGTTAGATAAGGCTAAGTCAGCCTGGTATCATTTAACTAATATCAACTTGCCTGATATTTGCGTTGAGCATATATTGAGCTATTTGAATAGTTGTTATTTGAAAATTATGATCGAGGCTGCGAAAAATTGCGAAGCACTGGAATAATTTTTATTTAGCGTGTATTTTTTAGCGTCTAATCATATTAGCTTTATTAGTCAGCTTCTGATATCGCCTTCATTTCAATAATATTTCTAGTCATCAAATTTTTCAAACTTTTCAGGGACTGCTAACTATGTGATTTTTTCTAAAATCAGCATCATCAAACAGTCGAATGCTATAGCGTAAACGTTCATACTACGTAAGAAAGACAGATATATTTATATCAATCCTTTTCTTGGAGTGTTTGTTAAGCGAAAAACAAATTTTATAACGAGAAAATCAAAGATTGTACTTTTACAAATATGCTTAAAGCGCCGAAAAAAATTATATTCTAAAATATTTGTGAAATATCTTTATGGTCATTGACGCTGTTTAAAAACAAATATAGTATTTTTTTAAATATTTAAATCCTATCTGTTCCTAAGTCCTTGACATACTGTGTCATCCTGCTCAATTTTCACTATTCTTTGTTTATCCAACGTACAAAAAATACAAAATTATATTAAATTATCGTAATTTCAATAATGAAATTTTATAATTGACTTAACTTTATTAAAAACTACTGCTCCGTTTGCACTTGATTTCAAGACTATTATTTTTGAAAAATAAATTTTAAATTACTAGATCTGGCAAATAAAATTAATTTTTATCAAAACATTTGTTAGTTTTAATGAATTTGACACTTTTGGTAATTCGGTAAATAAAAAATTTTACAATGGGTAATTGACAAATTTAAATATCATATAAGTCTCGCAGTACAATGTTATTTAAAAGTTGAGATAAACGTGATTGATTCACGTGTAGTTTAATTGTCACAGAGCTGTTCACACTTTGTAGTTTCGCACATCGCACTGTATACTACCAGCGTAGTCGGTAACTGACAACCACTGTCTCATTGTTGTGCATAGCAGCTGACACTCTGCCAGCTGCTTAGCCTCTTAGGGTGCTCTTACATGGGAGCGGAAAGCGGACAGAGCGGCAGCGGACAGCCGATTCGAGTGGACAAAAAGAGAAAGTTTTGTCCGCTAGCGGACAGACGCTCTCCGCTGCATCCCTAGCCGGCGTCTTGCGTGGAACATCCCTCTTCCCCCTCTCCTCTTATTTATAGCGTCCCTTTCTATTATTCTAAACATGATATAATTATAATTTTCTCGACAATATTATTTTATATGTCGTATATATATATGTTATGTATACACATGTATATATAACGTATATATGTAAGAAAATTATAATTATAGCATGTTTAGAATAATAGAAAGGGACGCTATAAATAAGAGGAGAGGGGGAAGAGGGATGCACCACGTAAGACGCCGGCTAGGAACGTAGCGGAGAGCGTCTGTCCGCTAGCGGACAAAACTTTCTCTTTTTGTCCGCTCGAATCAGCTGTCCGCTGTCGCTCTGTCCGCTTTCCGCTCCCATGTAAGAGCAGCCTTATTATACGTGCCTTCATTTTGTATAATGATTACATATTTAAATAATCATGAGTACAGTTCCGAATAATTATACTGTATCATGCTGATTATTGTTAGTAAAAATTATAAGATAGCATGAAGACTTTAACAACAGTAGTTCTGGACTTTTTAAGAGTGTTTCTAGCCGTTGTGTGAGCGCCATCTTTGACGCCGTATGGTTAAACGGTAAGTTGAGGTTGCGGCCAGTGTTTTTATTTTTAAATCATAGAAACATCTCTGAATTGAATTACTTTGTGAAGGTGTAATTTAAAAAATGAATATAATATTGCTTACTGAAATTGAATAAAAATCATTGTTTACAGTGGATGCTATGTTAGTATAGTCAGTTATATACAATGTATATAGTAATAATTTTAAGCTACATAGATAGACTATCATAAAAATAAATAAAATATCTTATATGTTAATTACATATGATCTATTGATAGATTTTCCGTATTTTCTACGTAATTAATACAATAGCACGTGAGATTTGTTTATGATAACCACATTAAAAACTCTCCAATTAAAGAAAATTTAATTTACTTGAAAGGATGGGAATTTAAATTTATTTAATCTTATTTAGTTATAATGGACAGATTTTATGAACATTTTTGAAAATATTCATGTCTTTTAACAAAATAATTGGTGCATATTTAAATATTGGCAATAAAAATGTCATGAATTTTTTTTAACAAATGTTTATAATTTTTATATTATAAAAAAAGTTCATTTTTCCTCAAAAGTGCTTGTTTTCATGTGTTTTTACTGTTTTTCCTACGGATTTGATAATAAAAAATGTGTAGTCTGTTGTAAGAGACGTCAATGCACCTTCTTTTATTGCTTATGAGGTGTCTTATACACAACAGATCACGCACTTTTTATTATCGATGCCGAAAAAAAAAAGATAGAAAAAAAACAAACATTTTTGGGAATAATGCACTTGTTTATAAAGAAATTATAAGCAGTTGTTAAAAAAAACGACAATATAGTTATTATCAACAGTTTCATGTTATTACGAGTATTTAAAAACATGTTCATCAAATTATCTGTAACAATCGCCGAAAGAAAACTTCATTTTTTTTATTTATTAGTAATATCTAAAGAACTGTTGTATTGATTTAAAATCAATTTGTCGTAACTCAAAAACTAACCGGAATATAGTTAAAAAATCTATAATCACAAAATAGTGTCCATTTTGTCCCAAGTGGGCTTGGGAGTTTGAAAATTCTTCTTGCTTTATTTAATCATTATAATATTAATTTATTTTTCAGAATCAACGTTTATTAATAAGAGCAATATCGTTTGAAAGATGACAAATAACAACATCAATTCCAGAGTACGCGTTAAAAACGGACGGAAACTTCTTGGCCTCTGCAAGGAGTTGAAAAGGTGGACAGAAATTAATTCGCTTTTAAACGAGAATAGTGACATAAACCTCACAAATCCATTAGGTCGCTCAGCACTTCATTACGCATCGGAAAAAGGATGTCTCGATCTCATTACAAAGCTAATCGAGCTTGGTGCAGACATTCACTGCCGCGAAAATGAACGCGGATACACTCCATTGCATTTTGCAATATTTAGTAGTAAAACACCTGTAATCAAGCTTTTACTTGAGGCTGGAGCAGATGTCAATGCTGCAGCTAATCACGGTGTTACACCGTTACATTTAGCTGCTCGATTAGGCCCTATCAGTCTAGTAAAGTATTTGATAAAAGAAGGTGCAGACGTTAATGCAAGAGAAAACGTTTTCGATTTCACGCCATTGCACATCGCTACCTACAATAACGGTGACGAAATTTTAGAGGTACTGATAAAAAAAGGCGATAGCGATGTCAATTGCGCGGCTCACGAAGGACTAAGTCCATTGCACATAGCCTCGATGTCAGGTGCAATTAAATGTGTAAGAAGACTTATTGAAAATGGTGCCAACGTTAATTGCAAAATGAATAATTCTCGAATCACGCCATTGCATGTAGCTTCGATGAATGGATTTTTCGGAAGTATACCTGGCCTCACGGAATTCTTTGAAAGTACGGACGACGATGCCAAGCATATACTCGAAAAAATTGTACCTTGGAAGCATCTGGAAGACGAAGATTACGAATCTGTTGTGAAGGTATTGATAGAAAGCGAAGGTGATTTACAGGCCAAAGATATTTCGGGTGCGACTCCACTCCACTTCGCAGCACGTCATCAGAGCAAAGTGCTCAAAACACTACTGAAGTACGATGCTGATGTAATTGCTCAAGACAATATCGGTCGATTACCTTTTCACGAAGCAATGGAACATGGTGTTGGATTAGATTGGCTACTAAGATATGGTGCAGATATCAATGATATAGGTGAATCTTGCGCGGATTGTATGGAAGTTATCATGAAACGATGTCGATTTAAGTATCAATTACTCGAACATTTTATCAAACTGATCGCCGCTGAATTACCCATTGCCGATGTTTACAGACCTTACATAGAGGAAAATTACTACAAAAGCTTTTTAAACGAATGTATGAAAGAGGTAAAGAAGATGAAAAGCCTTGAAATTGAAGATGGTTTGACATTCTATGATCTGTTGCATTCTGTTGTAAGCCCGCAATCGAGTTATGAACTACCTTATAATCTTGAGTTTAAATTTCCGAAATATCATGGGATTCTGCGAGCGGGTTTTATTGCACCACTTAAAAGAAGGCAGCTACTTGATTCAGCTAGACTCGCTTGGTATCACCTGACTAATGTCAATTTGCCTGCTATCTGCGTGGACCTTATGCTTGGTTTCTTGAAGACTTCCGATTTGAAAATTATTGTCAGAGGAGCAAGAAGAATGTCAGCGTTGTAGACTTAATTTTTGTGCGATTCAATATTTTTCAAGAAAATAAATTTGTACATAAGTTAATAAAGAGCAATAAGTATTTGTTTATAAACTTGATTATATATGCCTTGTTATGTTTGCTTAAACAACTTGTAATTATAATTTACAAGCCATAACTTTTCATTGCAAGCGACTTGTTTGAAAGTTAGTTTAATAGGTTTTAATATAAAGCAAAAAGTACTTCGAAAGCTCAAAAACACATCTAAACAAGTTTCAATATCAGAGTGTACTTATAAGTAAATACAAATTCAAAGAATATAAACTGCATGGCAATATATAACTTTTTTAATTTAAAAAACAGAAATATTAAATTTCTGTAAATACAAATTTTTTTTATAAGTTATTTTATTATTTTAAACGCTATTCTCGAAAATTGTAAGAATATAATTACAAATTTTATTGAAATTTTAGCAAGAATTTTCGAGTATTAGGATAAAAAACATTCGATTCAAAATAAGAAAAAAAGTGATATTATTCTTAATTCTGTACAACAAGGACTTATGGCGCATAATAAGCCAAACAAATTAAAAATAAAAACTGTCTTCAAGCGAGGACAAACTAATTTTACAAGCGATTCCAACAACTGACGTCTTTATCAAAAAGTCCCGTATTTCAACGGTCTGGCGCAATTCTCCGGCTCTTCAATTTGAAATTCGAGCAAGTGGCGTTGAGGTTGATAAAAATATACAAGGCACTTCCACATTACATACACATCACGCAATACAAAATAAATGTTCATCACGCTGAAATATTGTTTCTTGGCAGAAAATAAAAGGACGCTTCAATTCGAAATTCAAATATAAACTAGAAAAGATGTGGAACTAATTATCGAGTATAAATTCACAAAGAATGATAGAAGGGAGCCAAAAGTTTTACTACAGTACAATACGTTTTTAATTCACTCATCCGCTATATAGGTACGCGTGTATCAACTCTACAGTACAGTCCATTTACCCGTGATATCATAACTATTAATTTCGTTACCTGCGCGTGCGTTGAAGGGCGGCAGTCGAAAAAATATGCGTACAGTGCGTGGGTAGGTTGAGTTGTCCGATATACAGTCGTGTCAGGTGAGTCAAGCCAACGTGAAATAAAGCAAATGAGGGGCGTAATTGTCTAACTGTTTGGGTATTTCGCCGTGATAACCCATGAAAAATGGTGAATAGTCGTTTCAATCTGAACAAAAGTTTTCTCCATCGTCTGCGAAAATTGTACAAAAAGTCAGCGACAAAAAACGACGAAGAATCAATAACAGCCATGACCGTGCTCAATCAAGATTTAATACCCGACTTCCATTCGGCTTCCTTAGAATTGAATCTCGCGAGGAAACTCAGTCCACACGTGTGCACCTTCACATCGTTACATTTGGCCGTGTTCACCGACGCTACGATCGCCGACTTGAGATGGTTGTTGATCGAGGAAGACGTTAATGCCGTGGCTTACAACGACATGACTCCACTGCACATGGCATTGTGTTTGAAACTGAACCCTTTGGAAATGGTCAGGTGTTTGATAGAACATGGTGCAGATGTGAATTGTCGGATGAGGAGTTCTCAATTCACGCCGCTGCTGATTGCCGTCTACGTAGATTGTCGCGACGCTTTAGAAGTGCTCATCGCAAGTGGAGCTGATGTAGATGCATCGAGTGACGAAGGCTTGACTCCGTTAATTTTAGCTTCGGCACTGGGCAACCAAGACATGGTGAAGATTTTGATTCAGTGCGGTGCTAATGTTAATTGCAAATTGCAAAGCTCCCAACTGGCACCGTTGCATCTGGCGTCGATGAAAGTCGATTGCGAGCTTCTAAACCAAATTATTCGTTCCGGTCGAGAATTATCGAGTGGCGAGGATATGATTATTATGGATATGGAGAAAAGTCGCATCGTCGAAGGAGGGCGCGAGCAAATTGTTACTTGCCTTTTAGATAATGGAGCTGATATACACGCTAAAGATGTGTCAGGTAAAACAGCACTTCATTTCGCTGTTCAATACGAAAATTTCTGTGTTGAAACACTTTTGAAGTTTGGCGCTGACGTCAACGTTTGCGACAATAATGGCCGTTTGCCTTTGCATTATACAATAGATAATCGACAAGCTTATAATTTAGAATGTTTACTTAAGTACGGTGCTGATATTTACAATATAGAACAGGTCGATCGATTGGCTCTTCGTAAAACTATCGAAGGCAATAATGGACCACCAATGTTATTAGTCTTTGATGCGCATATCAACGCTGTCTATGAGGCGTGTAGAATCAGCACGGAACGAACTGCAATTTTCCAAGATTTACTGGAGCAACGTATACTCGAGTATTTGGTGAAAATGGAAGCAGCTAATTTACATATCAGCGATAATTCGAAAAATTTAATCGATGAATTTGGCTTTGATCATTTTTACGTTGAGTGTTTGAAAGAAATTGACAAGATGAAAATGTATAAAATTAAACGTAACTTTTCAATTTATGACTTGTTACACATGAAGCCGAAGCATCGATCGCGTTTCATAAAAAATTGTAATATACCAAATAATTTTGAATCGAGGTTTCCTATCTATTGGGATGTTTTTGAAGCGAGTTTTTGCAAGGGTAAAAAAAAAAGAAAATTGTTAACGGGGAAAAAGTTTTCTTGGTATTGGGTTACTAAGGGAGAAATACCTGATATTTATGTTAAAAATGCACCTAATCGTTTGAACAGGACTTTGAATGTTATGAGCAGTTATTGGTACAGAGAAGTATAGACAATTATTGTAAATACTACATCATATTCATTCTTTGAGTATGATGATTTTTGGCAATTCACGGAACATATCATATTTTTTGCGAGCTCACTATTGCATTAAAGAAACACAAGTGCATAAAAAATTAATTTAATTATTAATAACATCAGTCCAATATAGTGTATTTAATAATATAACCAGATAGTATTGAAACATTTGAGTAAATTATTATAGGTTTTCTTAAAAAAATAGTGATTTTTTTTATACATGTTTAATTGAACAGTGTAAGATTAGATCAAATATAGTTTTCTATAATCTAATAAAACAGTTAGCGCATTTATTTAAAGTATTCAAATGCTAATTTGCATAGAGTTAAATAGAATTTTATTTAAGGACATTTATTTGCTATTTATAGAGTGAAAATTAATCAATTTAATTTGTAATCGATAATCTTTTCAGTATTTGCCATGTGAAATTCTTTAGAATAAAAAACTGTGAAAATAATATGGCAAAAGGATCGTATGTCTAATTAAAAATTGAAAGATTGTCCTTAAAAGTTTTCTGCAAGTTAAAAAGTCATTTGCCATTGTTGTGCCTGAAAATAAAGTAATTCCTGTATATATAAAGTTGATTTCAAAAGGAAATCGCAAAAATGTAAGCGAGCTTAATCGTTCAACTTATAAATCTAAATAATTAATTATATTATCTACAAAAGTTGTGTTTTTGAGACAAAATTTGAGGATTGAATAAACTTGAATGTTTCCAATGAAATGTAGTATATATCGCTGTATTTTTGACACGACTGTATACTCGTAGTGAACAGTACATTACTTAATTATATTGTGGAAATGTAGACTCTTGTCTTCTTTAAGACTTAGACCCGAGCGAAATTGACATGAGCAGGAATTCAAAAAATTTCAATGTGGATATGAGGATCAGAGTTCTTCTGGCGTTAACCAACATTCGGGACGTACGCGCTAAGAAGCAAACGCAAACTGTCTAACCAATTTTTAATCAGTGCAGTTGGCTACTTGTCCTATATATCAAACTTTTATCAAGGCTCACCCCTACGTCAGTTTCGTGTAATTATAGTATGGTTATCACCTAAAAATTTGTTAGCCCTGAATAACTCCAATATTGTAAGCTATAATACTATGTCATGTCGCAAAGTGCATTGCTACTTATATTTTGTTCATATTATTCAGAGGTTCTCAAAGTGCAGGAGATAATACTTTGATTTTTTTTTCTGTTAGTTTAAAATTTGTATGATTTTTATTATTAGGTATATTTGAAGTATAAAACGATTCGAAAATACGTAGTATAAAATAGAATTTATAAATAACAAAAACTATGACTCATATTGTCAATGTGTTCCTTTATATTTTCATTTTCAGAAAAGGATGAACAAACGTATTGAATTATATATTTTGCTTTCATACGAAGAAAGCTTTGTATTTATTTTGTTCTTCGAAATTTTTTATTTAGCTATACTATTTCTAAATATAGGAGCCGTACGCATAAAGTGCACTTGCATAATAACAGCTTTAGCGAAGATGAATGAAAGCATAAGGAGCCTTTTGATCGCCCCTTATACGACCCGAGCTATGAGCGCGATCTCTTTCATTCTTATTTGTAATAAAAACTCTTAAGGTTAACTTCAATTTATTCACTTCGCACACCCAATCCCATTGATTCCAATAAGCTAAAAACAGAATTCGTGACAAACGTGTATTTTTTATTGGTTAAATTTTTAATATCTGGCACTTATCGGTTTTCGGAAATTAATAGTATGATTCTATAATAAAAATTGGAATTGAGTTTTAGCCAGTCAAGGCTTTGAATGTCATATTAGCATACCTAAAATTACTTTTCAGAATTTTGTTTATTTATTAATAGACAATAAACCTGAACATTTTATATCTGCTACTGCTCGGTTTCGGCAAGAAATAATATGATTCTATAATGAATATTCGAGTTGAGTTTCAATAATTCATGGCTCTAGTAATTCTTTTAATTCCATTGTTACACATAAAATATGAATTAGAATAACTTTTTGTTAGGTACTCGTAATTTTTATGTTTATATAAAAAATTTCAGCTTTCAAGATAGGTGCGCCCGAAAAAAGCAACACATTGATTTTTGCATTGAGCAACTCCAGATAAACTGAGTGCTTATGTTGCACGTCAGTATCAAGTGCTTGTTAATTGATTTTTACTTGTTCTAAATAATAAGAGATTGAAATAAAAAAAATGAGCTGAATGAAAATTGTTGTTTTGTTAATTTAAAAAAATTTATAACCTAGAATGTTCAAAAAAGCGTGGCAAAGTCAATTTTTTCAACAAATAAAATGTTACCATTAAGGGAACTTGCTAGGACCTCTAAATAAAATTTTGGTACTCATGAGCTAGTAAAATGTATTTCAAAATCTTTGCGATTTTTTTTCGATATTTGACGTGAGATCAAAAGTGAACAAAATACGTTTTAGATAATACAATTTAAAATGTTGGTTTGAAAAAAATAAGAAGAAACGTTCGGTTGTATTCGTGGTGCATACCGCTTTGCAAATTGTCCGTTTCTGTAGATTACTTTTCATCAAAGATGTAAAACTTTAAACTTTAATATTGTGCTTGTGGGGGGCGAGGGAGGGGTAAAAGTACATACCCGGCAGTTCATACAGAACCTCCTTCTTTTCAGACGGCAAGAAGTTAATTGAAATAATAAATACGAAAATAGCTTACTTACAGCTAACCCCTGAGTTTAAATAGCTATCTTTTGCACTTCCTGTATTATTTTTCGACTTGTCAGTGCGCACGTGTGCAAAGCAGCTGACTGCGTCAATATCGCTCCCGTATTTTGAAAAACACGCATTGCTATTGGCTCTCGTTTTACGAATGCGCGTGCGTCGGATGTAGTTGCCACAGTTGTAGCTCTCCGTTGTCATCAATGATATGGTAATGTGCGTAACACTTTTTTGCCAAGTTTTTTTGATAAATGTAAAAATTGAAAAGAATTCTGAAAATTCTTCGTTCTAGTTATAAAAATCTGATTGGAGATAAAGAGCCGGAGCAGCATATTTGAATGAACAAAAATGGGCTGAAATATGTGTACACAATCGGAGCGAGGAAGCTTTATTTATTTATGTTTGACGTGAGTTTGAACAATATTCGAAATCTCTATATCTCCACATTATCACGAGGAAACTGGCTGCACTTTTCAATAACTGTTTACTAGCTAATATATTTTATTGACAATGAACAATTTCGAGGTTATCCATTAATCTTTGTGTAGATATTGTTTATTTATTTTTTGTTCCATTATTAAATGTTTAAAAATACTGTGATCGAATAAATTAAAGCTAAAAGTATAACGTACTTCTGAAGTCAAATTTATTTGATTGAAATGCATAACACAGTTTTTTATTAAATATTACTATGTAATTAATATTTACTTTATTTTTGTAAAATATAAGTTCAATGTTTATGTTATTTCAATATTCTTAATTCTGTCTTTGCAAAAGAAAGTTTACGAGCCAAATTTTTTATCCGCTCAAACAAAATCAACGCGACTTCAAATTAATAATATATATTTATCATCAAATTACCTTTCAATATTTATTTTAAAGCAACATATAAGTATTACGAGGAGTTTTATATATACACTATAAACACATATATATTTGTTCAAGGCAGATGTTATCATAAAAACGATAAAAAACGTGGCAACTTATTACGTTTGACCAATTGACAGGTAAACTCCAGAGATCAACTGTAATAAATGAAATATTTTTTGTTACAGGATAGCTTTTGTTTAACGCATCCTTGATTAAGAGATAAATGTAATATCTCACATCCGAAAATGGCAGAAGGTACCGTCGACACGGACAATCGCATAGACGGCAACCAAAGACTGGTTCAACTGTGTAAAAAGCCATGGATCCAAGATGACGAAGAGTCAATAAAAATAATTTCAGAAATGGAGGAATTGCTGGTGCAAGAAGACATCGACGTGAACGTCGTTGATAAAGATGGGCAATCGGCCCTTCATTACGCAGCGCAATCAGCTCGCATCCACCTAATTGACGAGCTGATCCATCTCGGCGCAGACGTTCACCGTAGAGAAAACAAACGTGGTTTCACAGCATTGCACTTCGCAGTTCTCTCCGGCACCATAAAATCAGCCGTGGAGCTTCTTTTGGCAGCTGGAGCGGACGTCAACGCCGAAGCTGATTTCACTGTCACTCCTTTGCACATTGCATCGTTTATAGGCCCAATGGACGTACTTACGTGTCTGCTCGAACGCGGGGCTGATGTGAACCGGCGCGAAGCAATTTTTAAATTCACCCCGCTACTCATTGCAACTTACCACGGCAGCAGTGAAATTGTGGATCTGCTGATCAGCAAAGGCGGTGCTAAGGTCAATGCTGCGACCGATGAGAACTTGACTCCTCTGCACGTAGCAGCAATGCTCGGCGATGTGAAAATCGTGAGAACATTGATCAAGTCAGGAGCGAATGTAAACTGTAAACATAAAAGTACTCAGTTAACGCCTTTGCATTTGGCATCGACGAGCGGCCATAACGAAGCTGTCAACGACCTCATAGAAATCGGTCAAGCACTGACGAACGTCGGAAGCAGCGTAATCACGGAAACGATGACGTATTGTTCGATATCGATGGACGGTCGTCAGGCCGTCGTCGACGTACTGTTAAAAAATGGCGCCGACTTGCAAGCTAGAGATAATTCCGGCAAGACAGCTTTGCACTTGGCGACTCGTCATCGAAGCAACGTCATTGAAATTCTTTTGAAGGCCGGTGCTGACATCGACGCAACGGATAAGGACGAGCATGTGCCGTTGCACGAAGCAATAAAAAATAAAAACGGCGAAGGTTTGGCTTTGCTACTTTCGTACGGGGCGGATATCAATGATGTATTCGAGCAGTGCGAGCCTCGACTTGTTACGACTGCGCTTTACGATTACGTACCGTTTCTGTTGCTCGAACATTTCACCAAAATGATAGCTGCGAGATTGCTGATCGCCAATGTTTTCAAGCGCTACATCAGCCAATACGGCTTGCAAGTTTATTACGGCGAGTGCGTAAAAGAAGTGGATAAGATGAGGAATTATAAGCTTGGCAATGAAATTGTTCTTTACAATTTGTTGCACATGAATCCAATGCGTCGCTTGACTTTCATTAAAAATGTACCCGTTAATCTTGAATCTAAATTTCCGAAGTACTGCGGTATTATTAGAGCTAGTTTTTTAGAAGCTAGTAGGAGGAAACCGTTAATACAACCATCAATGGTGGCTTGGAATCGATTAACTGGAATTACTTGGCCTGAAAAATATCTAGTATATTTGCTTGCTTTCCTTGATAATGGGTTACTGAAAATGATTATTAAAGCTGCTGCCATCAAACCTATTGTCAAACAGGTAACGCTTAACTTTTTATTTAATAAACAATCAAATTATTAGGAGATCAAACAAAACTGTTAATTTATAAATTTTTAAATTCTACTCACGGTATAAGGAGAATCATTTCAACACCTAAATCTTGTTATTTCAGGAAACACTACCAAAATAGAAGAGTATAAGTAATCCAATGAGTATCATATTGGATATTTTTTCTACATTGTAAGGCAATTAAAAGCAAGTGTCTTGCATCATAATTATTTTATAGAAGTTTCTTAAAAAAAAAGACTCGTTTTTTGATAATAAAAATGTGATGTTAACGAATGACTTCGACCTCGACGAAGTTAAGAAAAACGAATAAACTTTATTGCATCAAGCGACCGTGTAGGCCGATCTTCTAATGGAGGTACTACTAATACTACTCCGAAGAGATGTAAAAGTGAATTGCTCCGACAAAATTTTAAGGCCACTGACACTTGCATGTAGTGAAAAATTAAGATTGAATCATTTCAGATTTGAGAAACTGAATTCAAAATTAAAGTTTTGTGAACGTTCAATTGTAAACCAAAATCTTTTGGGTATATACGTTCCGATTGCTTCATTTACAATTACCGGTTTTGACACCATTAGTCAAAGCTAATTTTCATTACACGAACAATTAGTTTACAAAAATTATTTTCTTTGAATTACCTAATTGTAAATAGTAAATCTGTACTTAATGAAATTTTTATACAATTTTCTTATGAATTTGTATATTTTCTTAATATATTTAAACAATATAATTTCTCTAGTGATGTGTTTAAAAATATTTTTGAATAAAAATTCTAATTTGATCAATTTTTAATTTAATTTAATTTAGCCTTATTTAACCTTAGTATCTACAATATTAAATTATTATGACATGCGATTGACAAATATGAATAATACAGTTATTTAACATAACATGAAAATAAAATAATACTTAATTTAAATGCAACAAAATACCTCCTTCATTCTCATACACAGTAAAGTAAGTATCTACTTGATTATACCAATAAAATGTTATTATTGGTGGTTTATTAATCGAAAAATTTAATAAATTTCAATACAATATTTAACTATACAAACCGCTATTTGAAAAATTGATAAATAACTATTTATAAAGTGGTTGAAAATTATCAGTGCCTGGATAATTGATAAAAAAAAATTGCACATGATCCTGGTACATGAAGTGAAATCTCCAATAATATAATAGTATTAATTATTTAGAATACCATATTATATAATATCACTTCATTATTATTTTTATCGATGAATAATATTAGTAGAGATACAATTGTGCATTTGAACATATTTCTACTTATGAAATAGTATTAATTAACGAATACGAAGTTTTAGATTTCTTTTGCAAAAATTCTGGTACAAGCTATATTAAAGTTAAGTAGAGTAAAACATTTAATGATTTATTCGAAATTGCGAAAAATTGATACGGAGAAAATTAATAAATTGAAAAAACATTTCATTAAAGATACTCATAAAGAACATAAAAGTAAACATCTTATTCTGAAAAAATAAAATGTATTTATTTTTGAGTGTGTTAAATAATTCTATCTGCGTTTATTGATTATGAAAATATCAATGATATGGGAAAATAGGTGCCCTCAAAATCAGCGTATCCATGGGAATATCGAACAATCAAGATAATTTAGCTTTTATTCGCATGAAAAAAATGAAATATTGTAGTTATTTGAAAAATGTTAATGGAGTGGTAATAGATTTTAAAGTTGAAAAATAATTTTTATATGTAAATAAGCCAAAACCAAAATAAAATTAATATCTATAACACAGCCAACTTATTATATACAATAGATAAGCCTCATAGTCTACCTCTCAGTCGTGCACGTGTAGTGCGACAGTATACCTTCATTCTTTACGTGTTCTACATTATAAGTTTGAGCTATTTTATAAGATATTCAAAATTAATCTTCCCTAATTTAATTAACTATTGATATAACTGTGTGATATAATAATTTGTGTTTCAAAATAAGGAAGAGTGCATTTTTTAAAACTATTTGTTCGAAGAATCACAAATTAAGCAATAGTACGTAACTGCAAGTTTTATTAATTTTATATATTTATGTAGAATAATTAATTGACAGATAAGTTTGATATTTTAATAAAAACTAAATATTAATCTAAATGAGACAGTTTTTCTAACGTCATTTTTCTCAAAATTTCCTAAAGACGCTTTTTTCATAAATGGCATTATACGATCTTGATGGTTTTTTCTGTCCACTTACTGGAATTTATTTATTTGTTAATATAAGTACATTGTTGAAAAAGAAAGTGTTTTGGAAAAAAGTATTTTGAGCGAGCTTCATGTAAAATGTAAAATTTAATATGTGTAAACAAAATGAATTGAAATTGACAATACTCAATAATTGTAAAATGTTTCCAGATTTCTTACCATTATTTAGGAAAAACTCATAAAATCATCATGTTCACCAGCAATTGGGTCGAAAAGAATGCCAATGATTACGACGAACTTATTTCCGCTATCAATAGAGGCGATGCAAATACTGTAGAATCTATACTGAATAAATGTTCTATATCAGGCTGGGAAGCTAATCCTCTTTACGACGCAGTTTCGTGTAAAAATGAAAGAATCAAGCAAATGATGTGCGATCACTACAGAAAATTTGACAGATACAGTGTGATTGTATTGAAAAAGATAATCAACGACTGGGATAACTTCACTGCCAGAGATAAAAAAATCTACGAAACGATTATTTACGAATTGACTGTCAACAACGACAATATAAGTAAGAACAACATGAGTGGATCAGTGCTTGCCCAAGCATGTGGATCGGGTACCATCGACATTGTCAAAGTATTAATAAAGCAAGGAGCAAACTTGAACTTTACGGAAAAAAATTCAAAAATAGCACCACTGCACGTAGCCATACTGAAAAATCAAGCAGCTATAGTAGAGGAGTTGTTGAGAGCAGGAGCCAATGTCAACGTGTCGGACAAAGATGGTAAAAGATCATTGCACTTCGCCGCGGAAACCGGAAATGTAAATATCATGAAAGCATTATTGAGACACGGTGCCAGTCTCGACAGTAAGAATTATAGTTCGAAATGTACACCTTTGTATCTAGCTGTTGAGAAAGGTCACGTGAGCATGGTTGAAGAATTGGTTAAAGCCGGCGCCAGTGTAAGCATACCAGCAAAATGCGAGAAAAATCCGCTGCACCTCGCATCCGAACTGGGATTTTCAGAAATAGCGAAAGTGTTGTTAGCTTACAAAGCTGATCCCAATTGTGAGATCGCTGTCACCCAATACACGCCATTGTTTCTAGCCGTGGAAAAGGGTCATCTAGCCGTAGTAGAAAGTCTGTTGGAAGCTAATGCTCGTGTAAATGCTTTAGCTGCAGATGGCAAGACTCCGTTGTACGTGGGATTAGAATTTGATAGACATGAAATTGTCAACGTGCTGCTTGAACATGGCGCCAACGTACACGTCAGAGATAATACTAACAGCTCAACTCTGTTACACACTGCTGCACGCTATGACAACAAGATTATGATTGAAAAGCTAATTGCTATAGGAGCTGATATTCATTCGAGGGACATATCCGGGAAAACGCCACTTCAAGTAGCAGCTCATCATGGAAAAGAAGCCGCGCAATTGCTGTTATCGTTGGGGGCTGATAAATCCTTGCAAGATTATAACGGACAATTGTCTTTTCACGAAGCTATTCAAAATAATCTCCAAGTAGTAGATTTATTTTTTGATGTGAATGAAGCAAGACAAAGTCATGCTTTTCATGAGTTTGTCAATGATTTTCTAGAAAAATGTCACTGCCCGTTTAATTGTTCTGCAAAATCAAATGATTCTATCGATCGTGTGATGATGCACTTAATAAAGTTCGATGCTATAAATATACAAATTCATGACCATAGTCAGCTAAAATTTCATAAGATTAACGGAAAAAAATATTACGACGATTGTTTAGCTGAAGTTGAACAATTGAAGCAATTTGTTTTAGTCGATGACTCCATATCTCTTTACGACTTTTTGCATATGAAACCAAAACGTAGACTTGCTTATATTGAGCGCATACCAGCTGATCTTGTAGAATATAAAATATACAACCATCTTATTGAAGATTACGTGAATGAAACTATTGAGAGAAAATCACTTTTTGAAATGACCAGAAAAGCTTTGTATGAAATATCAAATATCTTTCTCCCGGATATCTGCGTCGAATATATATCTGATTTTTTAAGCGTAGAAAATTTAAGAAATTTATGTAATATTTAAATTTTCAAACAAATTCTAACAGTTATTTCGAATGAATTTTTAGAGATTATATGATGCTATTCAAACACTGAAATATGAAGCTAAATCGCTGTTGAAAAAAGTAAAGCATTGTCTTTAAATCTATTAATAATGTAATTCGTGCGAGTCACTGTTTTTCGTGAGAATATTCTGGACATCTTTTTCATGTTATGAGTTATTATTGTACTTGTTTCAACACATCTCCTATGAAGTTATAAAAATAACGTGACAAAAAATACCATGCCTATTGTCTGATTTTTATAAAATACAAATGAAATATGTCCATCACATTATATCGATTCAAAAATGATAGAATAATATGAATGTTATTACAGTAGGTAATCACTTATTTATTCTTCGTGTTAAATGTTTAACCATACGTTTATGTTCATAAGCAAAGTATTACATGTTCGAAATTTCGATTTGTTATCATTACGAGAAAAAAATGTAAAAACTGCTTTATTTATTTGTTTTCGACATAAATTAATACGAGAATCAATAACCCATTAAATTCAAACCGAATCTATTAAGAAAAAAATCACGCGGTAGATATTATTTTCATGTATTAGGAGTCTTTAACACGCACATGATGTAAATTCTAGGTAAAAATGATAACTGTAATAAGAAAAGTAAGCATACTGGAAGAATAACTATTGGAAGAGCAACTATATTATAATTTTCACATAAGTTATAACACAGAAAGAATCCTAATTATTTTTATACTGTTATTAATTCACTATAAATTATTCAAGACTTATGTTCCTATTCATAGCCTAATAAAATGTATATCAATTGTAAAAAATTATTTACAATTTTTTTTAATTCTTTATCTGAATCACAAATAAAATAAGTGCTAAAAAATATTATCAAGAAATTTTTATACTTAGATCTTGATCAATCATTATAAAAATAAGTAGACGCTGTAAATTGCCAGTACGTCTATTTTTAAATAATGAAAAATCAAATTATCAACTGTTACATTCACATTTCCGAGCCTTGTTCTAAAATTAGCCGAACTTTTGGTACACAGAATAACTCTATCAGAATTTTTATTTCTGTTAGCCACTATGATCCCTTAAAAAATCAATGTTAACAATCCAAACTCGCCGGACGGCTACACGAGCCGATCATATCGACGGTGGGAATCATGGACAGGCGACTCTCCTGACCGGCTTGCGGCTATCGAGTTTTCTTACTTACGCCAAAGATAATTTTTAAAACCTGTGCCGTTGTATTTACAAAAGTATCGGAGAGTGGAAAAAAAGCTGTCGGAGAAGAAAAAACCGTCGCTTATTTCTGTCGTTTAGGGCGTACTCAAATTCGCCGCTACTCTTTTTGCTCACGTAATTCTTTTTTTTTATTATATGACGTAAATTCCTCGT